ACAGGCAGGTGAAGGTCCCAGGATTTGGTTCCCTACCTCGCCCTACCCCGTGAGAAACATGGATTGAGTTCCTGGCTCCTGGCATTGGCCTGGCCCAGCCCCTGATTTTGTAGGCATTTGGGCCATGAAGACGGGAAAACTCGCTCTCTTTAAAAAAAAAAAAATTCCATGAACTTTCTTTTTAAAAGATTTGCTTATTTTTATTGGGAAGGCAAATCAGATTTACAGAGAGGAGGAGAGACAGAAAGATCTTCTATCCACGGTTCACTCCCGATAAAGCCAAAATGGCCAGAACTGATCTGAAGCCAGGAGCTTCTTTCAGGTTTCTTATGTGGGTGCAGGGTCTTACGGCTTTGAGACATCCTCCTCTGCTTTCCCAGCCCACAAGCAGAGAGCTGGGTGGGAAATAGAGCAGCTGGGACATGAACCAGTGCCCATAAGGGATCCTGCGATGTGCAAGGTGAGGATTTAGTCACTGAGTCCTTGTCCTGGGCCCCAGTGAACTTTCTGAAGCACCCTGTATGGGTATCAGCTAGGATGCATAGATTTTTTCTTTTTTAAGATTAATCAATTTGAAAGGCAGTGCAGAGAGAAGGGTAAAGCATCACATGTTCCATCCACTGTTTCATTCCCCAAAAGCCTTGAGTCAGGAGCTTCATCTGGTCTCCCACGTGGGCCATCCTCCACTGCTTTCCCAGGCGCATTAGCAGGAAACTGCATCAGAAGCGGAGCAGCCAGGACCTGAGTTGGTGCTCTGAACATTTGCAAGGCGGATGCTTAACATGCCATGTCATAACGGCCGGCCCATGAAAGTCCGAATCCTCAGTTCTGGGTTTCACGCTGGTATACTAGTGTGAGTGAGCACTCTGTGTGTACCACCTGCCGTGGGTTTGCACCTGAGTGACAGTTTCCTGGGTGGCCGTTGTCAGACCTGCACCGGGAGGTGCGCCGGCATGACCTGAGCAGCAGATCATTCAAAGAAAGCAGGAGCACGTGTGTGGGCGTGCAAGCCTGCGCGACCAAGCTCACACGTGCACCAGCGTGTGCGGGGACGCGCGAGTGTCTGGGCTCGCGCGTGCGCGTGACTGAGCACGCGCCATCCCCCGCCGGGGTCGGAGCCGGTTGCCATGGTAACACGCCGCGGCCCGAGTTAATCATTTCCTGTGGAAAGTGTGCGGGAGGGGCGGGAACGGGGCGGGCCAAGGAGGAGGAGAAGGAGGCGGCGGCGTGGAGCTGCCTCCCACCGGCGGGCCGGGCCCGGCCGAGCCCCGGGCGCTGCGGCGACGCCGGGATCCTGCCTCCTCCACCCGGCCGGTGAGTCGAGGGCCCAGGCGGGCTGGGGACGGGCTGGACGCTCGGGCTCCGCCCGCTCCCCCGTTCGGGACGCTGCGTCCGTCTGTCCCGGCTGGCCCTTTCCGAGGGACGGCTGTGCCAGGACCCGCTAGGAACGCAAGGAGAGCCGGGCCCCCAGAGACCCAACCCTTACGCAGTACCCCGCCCCAGACCCTCCAGCCAGAGCTGAGGACCTTGCTGGGAGCTGGGCCTGGGGGCGGCACGTCCTTTGGGAACCGAGCAGGCTCTGTGCCCGAGTCTGATTTCATTGGTCGGGGAGAGCGCAGACCCTACCTGGGAGCTGCATTGCCAATCAGCACCGCCCCCTTTGCAGGGGTCTCTTCCATGTCCCCTCCTCTCGACCTTTTGCCGGCTACGGTTTTGATCCTTGCCCTGCCACTGTGTCCAGTTTTCTTGCCTCCTGGCAGCGCTAAGGGTGGGCTGCGTGGTCCTGAGGTCAGGAAGGAGGGCCTGTGCCGGTGCCTTCATGGGGCAGGGAGGTGAGGACCCTTGACAAGCAGCAGCTGGGAGGGAGAGTGTCCCATGTGGGAAAGCCCAGCAGCCACCCGTTTCCACCCCCCCAAATGTGAGTTAGCGCAGAACTCAGCTGGCGCAGGAAAGGGCCTGGCCCTGGGAGATCTTAAAGAGGAAGCCGCGTGTAAATTTTCCAAGAGCGTTTGTCGCCCCCACTGCGACCTCCCAACATGGGGTGAGTCTCTAGATTGGGGTTGGAGGCCCCCTTCATCTTCTCTGGCTCTCCCTGCGCCTGAAGGTGGGTGAGCACCCATCTGAAGTGGGATGTGTGCCTGGTGCCCTTGATAAAGGCGCCTACTTGGTCAGCCAGAGGCACTGGCCAGAACCTGGGACCCTGTGTCAGCAGTGAGCGGATCTCAGGGACACAGGTGCTGAACTCTGCTGTTGGTGTGGATGCCGGGGTTGACGCCAGAGTTGAGGTTGCCTTGGAGTGACCCAAGTCCCTGTCTAACCTCTCTGACCTTTGTTCCACCTATTCTCTACCCCTCACCAGGGGGACCAAGCACTCTCCAGAAGTAGCCTGTCGGCAGATGTCATCTGGGCTGCCATCTACGCAGTGTCACCTGGTTTAGGGCAAGATCAGAGCCACCATGGTCCAAACCCACAGACACAGGTGCCCTTTTTGCCCTTGGTCCCCAGTCAGTCCCTCTAATAGTCTCCTGCTGCTAGAGTAGAGCTGCTGCAAAACTAAACACACTCCTGGCACATGCCATGATTGTACACTGGGCAGGCTCTCACTGGCCCTCTGAATTGCATAGAGGAAAAGGAGGCACAGAGAGGTGGAGGCATCCTCCAAGGTCACACAGCTGCTCAGTGACAGAACCAGGGTCTGCACAGCGTCGTGGCCCTACCCCAGGAGCCCCAGGTCTGGCATTACATTTCTGGGTTCCTTTGGGATACTTCCAGACTTTCAGCCTTACTTCCCTCCTTGCTGCTAAATTCAGCTGCTATTTCCCCTTGGGGAGCTAGCACACGCCCTTCCTCTCTCTCCCTAGCATCTTCCTGGCCCCCTCCGAGCTTCACTTCCTGGTAGCCCCAGGGCCAGCATCTCTGCCCCTACCCCTCAGCCAGAGCCCAGCTCCCCTCAGCACAGAGTCAGCCTTGAACGCCCTGCAGCTGGGCACACAGTGGACTGGTCCTTCCGCTCCTCCTGCTATTTTGGCCAGCAGGGCGGTTGGTGTGCCTGGGGACCAAGATGCGCTCTGCTTCCCATGGTTTTGTCTGCTCCGTCCCACTGCCTGAATGGAGTCTGCTCACGTGTTTGAACTGGCCCCTGTCCCTTGCTTGGGCACACAACTGCACTCCTTTTGCAGTGGGCCTGCACCTGGGAGCCTCCTCCTCCAAGTGAAGGAAGAGACCGGCGCAGCTCTGCAGCCTCTGGTTCTTCAGGCCTCCAGCCCTGGACTCTTACATGCATTCATTTATTTTGCCTCCCAGGACCTCATTCATTCCTGCCTATCTACGCATCGTGTTCAACTCTGTCTTTGGTATACCACATCCTCTGGGGTGTCTTCTCTGCCACCATAGCTAAAATCCTCAAGCAGAAGGAATTGGCTGCTTCCTCTGGCCCCACCCCACTCCTCCAGCCTTCTGAGCTGCCCTCTGTCCTACCCACTGCTTTCTGCCTTCGGGGGACCCTAGAGCCCCCACCGTCTCCGCTCTCTTCCAGCTGTCCTGATGCACCATCCTCTCCCTCCCTGCACTCACTGGTTGTTTCTTGACAGTACACCTGCCACCTCTCTGACATCCTTCTCTGCCCCCATCCTCACCCAGCTGCCACTCCTCTCACTCACTCAGCCTCCCCACCTCTGTAGCTGGGCTCTGTGTCCAGCCCTGGCCTCTCTTCCAGGTTGCAGGTTCAGCGATTGTAAGGGAGGCAGTTCAGAACATCCACCCAGCAAGCAAGCCGCGCAGAGTGTGTGATGTGGGTGCAGCTGTAGGCTGCATGCTGGAGCCAGAGTGGGCTGGGGCTGGTGGCTATCATTCTGATAGATGACTTTCCTGCCTGCAGGAGGTGGTCTTTGCAGTCGGTGGGGCGAGGGGGGGCGGGGGGGGAGGGGGAGGGCGGGAGAGAGGACAGTGCTATACTAGCACATCCATTGGGGGAAGCACTCTCCCCAACTCAGAACCAAAAGCAAACTCTGCTTTGCCTCTGTAGGCTGACCTTCCTTCTGTGACATGGCCATTTGAGCCTGGGACTGTAGCTTTGATGCCCTCTGGGCTGCTTTGCACATAGTAGGTCCCCAAGGAGGTTTTGTGCAGTGACTGCTGGGACTCTGGTCTGTTGACCCCGTGTGTGAGGGCCCACTGAGGTTTTCAGTGTCCATCTGTGCTGTGCATGTCACCTCCATTTTCTGCACCTACCTTGGTCCTGGCACCCACCTCCCGCTTCCCTGGATCCCCATTCATACTGTGAGGGTTTATTGACATGTTGACCTCATTCATTGATAGGACTTTTGGCGCTGGGGCCATATCTCTCCTGATCAGAGGTCTCTCTCCCCCTTCTATGTGTAGCAGGGGCCCAGCCCATAATAAGTCACCTGATAAATAATCAGTAAATGAGGATTGAATGGGTCTCCTGTTCTCAACACCTGTGGTGGTGCCTGCCACACCCCTGGCCAGACAGATACCTGAATGAGCTAACTTTAAGAGAATTTGTCGCAGATCCATCGTGTTTGGCACTGGCCACAGTCCGGGACCTTTCCAAGCCCTTCCACTTGGGAGCATTAGCTGCTGGGCCACAGACCTAAAGCACAGGAGCCTGAGGCCGAGGCTGGGTGCAGTGAGAAAAAGAGATATCTTACAGAAAAAGGATCAAACTTTTTGGGAGACACGCCCACCCATAGCTCTGCCTCCAGGTGGGGCTGTGCACCCCTCATGCTGTCTTTGTGTTGCCCAGCTACATCACAGACCCCACAGTATGTTTGCACACACACCTGGTGGGCTGCTTGCTGAGCATCCCCTATTCCGTTTTAGCAAGCACCAGGCAAATGGTGGAGTCTCATTTCATTCTGGGGAGGACACTGCCATGGGGGCTGCTTTCCTGGGCAACAGGAGACCCATGTCATTCGTTCTGGTGTCTGTCCCCAAGCTCTTCTTCTGCCCCTCGATTTTTTCCCACAGGCTGCCACGTGCCCAGAGGAGGAGGAGGAGGCTGCAGAGCCCCAGGCCATGGTCCCCTCTCGCAGGACGTGGAACCTGGGAGCCACGCCCTCACTGCGGGGCCTGTGGAGAGTGGGCCGGGCCCCAGAGCCGGAGCAGCCGGGGATGGCTCGCCCCGCCCCAGCCCCAGCCAGCCCTGCCACCCGCCCTGCCCCACACACCGGCCTGGGGAGGTTGAGAACTGGTGAGTCCGCATTTTTAAAATGCCTCTTTATTTCCCGTCCTTCCTCCAGATACCAGAGATGAGACTGAGGTTTCTTGCCGGTTCCTAACCTCAGTCAGAGCTGACAGGTAATTACAGGGTGAGCGGCAGCCTGAGCCGGGCAGGCGGGCAGGCGGGCAGGCGTGGAGGCTCAGAGCCTATCGTGGTCTCACTGGGTGCCTCTTCCCTGCACCCTGCCTGCTGGACGCCCCAGTCCTCAGAGCCGGGTTAAACTTTAACAGTCACCAGAGTGGGGCTAACAACCTCGGTCTCCCCGACCCGGCCGGCTCCGGACTCTGCTGTCTGATCTGCCCCATCCCAGGCCAAGCATTCCCGGGCTTGCGGCTGGTAAACAAGGTAGGAAGTGGCGGCTGGCCGGGGCGCCCTGCGCGGTATTGCTGACACTTGATCCCGCCTGGGCTGGCCTGAGGAAGGCAAGGAAGGCACTAGGAATGGACGGAGGCTGCTCGGGAGCGCAGCCTGGCGGGGGTTTTGGACACCCATGTGTTCCCGGGGGAGATACCCTCCAGGCAGCCTCTGTGGATGCCTGGCAGCACAGGTTGGTGAAAGGGTCCCCACACTGGGCTTGTTGGAACCCTGGGTATCTGTCAGTGCCAACATACCTGTCTGGGTCACATCTCTCAGAGGCGTGTAGCTGGTAAGGGGTGAGTGGTGCCTCTGGTGCTGAGTTGGGCTGGATAGTGAGGGTCGAAGAGCTGCCCAGGACCCTTCCCAAGCTAGTTGTGGATAGGATGCCGTGGTGTTGTCAGACAGACCCAGTTCTCCAGGCTGGCTGCCCTGCCGGAGTTGGCTAACCTACACAGGGAAAGGGGTTTAGATGAACAGCTTGCCTCTTGGGCCATTGCCTGCAAGCCCCTTCCTGAACAGAAGGGGAAACTGAGGCACAGCACAGTTTCCCCTCATTCTTTCCCTCTCTCCTGTATTCATGTTTTCAGTGGCTGCCAGAGGGATGTCTTTCAAGATCCCACTGCTGCTCATCAGCGGCTCTGCCGGGTTCAGCATGCCCCCGGGGACCTCTGGGCAAAGCTAGGAGTTTTGGGTCCAGGAGAGGGCAAGGTTATCTTTAGGATCACAAATGTAATGTGAGCAAGTCCTGCCTTTCTGGCGGGAAAGAAAAGGGAATCTTCCCTTAGAAAAAAAAAAATGTGAGCAAGAAACTGGGACCAGCCAGTGAGGTTGTCCCGAAGGGATTTTTGTGGTCCCTGCCGGGCCTGTGTGTGTGTGTGTGTGTGTGTGTGTGTGTGTGTGCATGCACCTGTCAGGTGGGCACTGTGGCAACCACAGCCGTGCAGCCTCAGCTGTGTTAGAAGTGGAAGGCAGCAGTCGAACAGAACCCTGCATGAGGGGTGGAGACTCGGCACCTGCCAGCACAGCTGCACGAGGCCCCTCAGTGCCCCAGCCTCCCCTCTGCTATCCTCAGAAAGGTAGCCGCATAGGGCTGATTGGCACCTGGCATTGAATACTGGCTCCAGGTGACCCTGGGCACCCTGTTAATCCATTCGAGCCTCCACTTTTCTTTCTTTCTTTCTTTCCTTTTTTTTCATTTTATTGAAAAGGTAGATATACAGAGAGAGGAGAGACAGAGACAAAGATCAGGCTGCTGGTTTACTCTCTAAGTGGCCACGATGGCTGAAACTGAGCCCATCTGAAGCCAGGAGCCAGGAACTTCTCAGCTTCCCACTTGGGTGCAGGATCCCAAAATCTTGGACCATCCTCTACTGCTTTCCCAGTTCACAAGCAGGGAGCTGGATGGGAAGTGGAGCAGCCGGGGTATGAACTGGTGCCCATTTGGGATCCCAGTGGATACAAGGTGAGGATTCAGCCAATAGGTTATCTCACCGGATCTGAGCCCCCTGTTCTTTGCCTGACATTGGGGAGGTCGTGGGCGGATAGCAGTGGTGCTCCAGGTGGACCTGGGATGCTCCATTGTCTCATCCTGTCAGAGCCTCATCACAGGCTTGTGAGACTCCCTTATAATCCCCACTTTGCTGACAAGTAAACTGAGGAACAAATGAAATGGGAGGTCAGGATCTAGTGCCTCACACTTTGGAGTGTTTGGGGTCACATCCCAGCTGGCTTCAATTCTGGCTTCCTGCATGTATACACTGGGGGTGAGGGAGGGCAGCAGGGGATGGCTCAAGCAAGTACTTGGGTCCATGTGGGAGACCTAGATGGAGCCCTGACTCTTGGAGTCAGCCTGGCCCGGCCCTGGCTGTTGCCAGGCATTTGAGTAGTGAACCAGTGTATTCTTATCTGTCTGTATTGGACTCTCTGCCTTTCAAATCTATAAAAATAAACCCATGTAGACACAAAGGATTGTGGGGCCTGGAAAGCTCTTGGCCTTGCAGGTAGTGGAGATGGGCATTCAGGGCATTATACCCTTGGGGACTGTTGGCCCTCTCAAGGGAGCCCCTGTTTTACTTGTGGAACCCCATATGCCATGCTGGAAGGTGCAGGTGGGTGGGGTATCCTGCCCCAGGCAGCCCTCTCTCTTGCTCTGGGTGGGACATGCCAGGGGATAGGTTCTAGCTGCTTCTGAGTATGCTCTTAGAGACATAAGGAACCAGGCAAGGGTTGGGTCCTGGCAAAGTCAGGGGAGAAATTGCCACCTAGAGGCAGCCAGAGTAATGAAGCCAAGGGCTCCAGGTACCGCCTGGCACTGACTTCCTTCTGCCACTCTTTGCAGAGGGCGCTAAAGAGCACGTGCCAGCGCCAAAGCCACTGTAGTGCCAGGTAACACATAGGGTCTCCAGGAGAGAGGCTTGGGGGTGACCCCTGCCCATGTGTGGAACAGATGCAGGAGGATGTGGCAGGGGGAGGAGGCCAGGTTGGGTGGGAGGGGAGCAGCCAGGTTATGTATGGAAGCTGAATGCTGCCACAGCCCTGCACTGAACAGTGGTCAGAGTGTCTCACCTGCTTCTCTGTCCCGGGCCAGGGCGTGGGAAAGACGCAGCGATCGGTGGTGAGGAGGACTCCAGTGCCCGAATCACAGCTCGACCCGCCCTAGCGCAGTGCCGAGCGCTCAGTGTGGACTGGGCCGGCTCCGGGAGCCCCCACAGGCTGTACCTGACCGTGCAGGTAAGACCGTTGGGACCATGGCTGGCTGGCTGGGCTGGGATGCCTTTGCCGTTTGACCTCCAGCAAGCTGGATCCCCAGGGAGAGCTGGGACCTGCCACGTGCCTCTTTACTGTAGGCTGGTGAGGCAGTTTGCTTTGTTATCTGGGGGAGGTGACAGAGCTTTAGGGTGAAAAGTGTGGGGCTTCCTAGGGCGGGAAGGCAGACAGGTGTGGGGTGGAAGTGAGCTGGGGTGATGCTTATATTTCTTTGTGTAAAGGCCAAGCAGAAAGCTCTGCTGAAGGGAGGTTTTCTCTGGGAGTGATGGCTATGTCACGGGGTCAACTTGGTGTACCTGGGCCTGGTTGGGAGCCATGCAGGATAAGGGCACTGGTGACAGCTACCCTCTGTTGCACACCGTCTCTGTGCCTGTCGTCACACAGCTCGTGCCAGTCCTTGGGACCCTTGTCACAGCCTCCAGACACTGTCCCTTCAGTTTTAGAGAGGAAGACATTGAGGTGCAGAGAGGTGAAGTGAGTTGCTGTTGGCCATACAGCAGGCTGGGGTCTGAACCAATAACCAATACAAGCCTTGTAGCACACGGTACTCAGAGTTGATGTGGGCCACAGGTGCCAGCCTAGACCCCAAATGCCTCTTGCCTATGAAAATCCTCTAGTTTAACGTGTAGTTACTTCTCTCTCCCGTACAAGTGTCTCCTTGTATTTATGCGGTAGGGATTGTCCTTGACCTTGATGTCTGTTTCTGTGGCCAACTCTTTTTCTCAGCAGTGAGTCTTGGCCATCTCTTCATGCATGTTAATGTGTGCTGTACCTTCTTCCAGCGTAAGGCCTTGTATGCTTTGGGGCTTGTCTTCAAACCCGCCTGCTGTGCATCTGTGTCTGAGGGCAAGGAGCCCCTTGAGCTCTCCCCCTCCACTTGGGTGACATTCATTTTGTCACTTGGCATGTTTTCAGAGCAACGCAGACTGTGCCCATTCTGCATGAGTGCATTCGTTCCACAAATACTAACACAGGGCCTGCTGTGTGCCAGGGCCGTGCTAGTCACAGGGACATGGTGAGGAAGAAAAATACCTGGGGCAGTCTAGCAGTGCTCCACGCAGTGACCAAGCGGTCACGGTCACAAATATATGAACACAGGCAAGTGAACACCAGAGAGGACTGGAGCTCCCTCGGGGTATGACCAAGCAAGGGTGTGCGTGAGATCACTCACTGTCCCCCACTTCCTGCTGGCCACACACGTAGACTCTGCCCTTGCTAGAAGTCACGCTGGCATGGCCCCTTGAGGTACGTGCACATGGTGAGGACAGGATGGAGCAGGGGCAGTACATATACCCTTGATACGAGTCCTCCCATGTGCAGGATGAAAGTACTGGGCATGGGGAAAGCGTGCCCAGCAGCTGACCTGGCTTCAGGGTCAGTTTCCGGTTTGGTAGTATTTCTTGTTTTTGCCTCATGCCATCCAGCTGTGGCAATAGAACCTAGGTAGTCTTCTTTTTTTCCGGGAGGTCTGGGGGCAAAACAGATCTGGTGAGAGAAGAGTTAAAAGAAGTCAGGCGAGCAGAGCGCCGCTCGGACTTGAACTTGAGCCGGTGGTAGTTAAGTGGGCAGCCGTGGTCAGAAGCCCGCAGCCTGGAGCTGGGCGGTGGCCACATTCTGAGTTTTGATGATGGGGTGTCAGTTCTGGGGTCAGCAGATCTGCTGAGGATCCCCGAGGAGCTGCTGCGCCAGCAGATGGCTTCCAGGCCCTGGGAAGTTCAGCCACATTCAAAGGTCATGCACGTGGGGCATGGTGGGTCCCAAGAGTGGGGAGGTGACCTGGGCAGATACAGGGCCACCCCAACCTCTGGGGCAGCGGTAGAAACTCAAGGATTTTCTGCATACGAGCACTGATGAAATCCCCAACCCCTTGGGCTGGTCTGCCCTTCCAAGGAGTTGGCCAGCGGACCAGAAATAGTGTGACCATAGCTTGGGGTGGCATGGGAACCATAGCTGCCACCATCACTACATGGTCGAGGTCGGGGGTAACATGAGGTCGGTGGGCATGCCCCCTGCCTTTTCTAGTGGGACTCGCAGACAGTCCTGGGAGGACGGGAACAGATGACCCGAGTGGCTGTGTGGTTGTTATGTCTCCTTGCTTTTCTGTAAGTGACTTTTCAGTGATCAAAGCGAGATGTAAATACGACAGAAATAACAGGTTGCTGTAGTGCCACCTTCCCCCCAGGTGAAAAAATAAGTCTCAGTTGTTCCAAGATTCAGAACTTGCTGTGAGCTGACATGATGCCACAGGTGGGCACGTCCATACCACAAAAGTTTGTTTTGTGACAGAATTCTGAGTGTTTACATGGAAAAGTGTTTCATGAAATGACGATTGGGTTCTGTGCATGTGCAGCAGGCCTAGAGACTCCATGCTCAGACTGGGTGCCCCTCCCCAAGGTCTCTCCTGGGCTATGGGCCGATGTTCCCAAGTCCAAAAAGTTCTGGACAGGGGCTCATCCCACCTGTGCTAGCTGCCCGTGTTGGGATCTTTACCAGTGCCGGCCGCCTCCCGAGGACCTTGCCTCAGCGGGCCACGCTGGCCCCTGTGAGGCCGGAGCTGCTGCTCTGGTCTGTGCTCTGAGCAGGAAGATGGTGCAGCCAGCGAAGGCAAGGAAGCTGCCCACAGTCACATGGCTCACACCAGGCGGAGTCAGGCGTCCCACCACGACCCTGCCACCTTGGACCAGGCGTTTCTTTCTTCTCTCCCTCCCTCCCTTTTTCTCCTTCCCTTCTTCCCTCCCTTTCTTCCTCCCTTCCTTCCTTCCTTCCTTTTCTTTTTCTTTTTGGATTTATTTCTTTTTAATTGGAAAGTCTGATTTTACAGAGAGGAGAGACAGACCTGACATTTGCTGATTTCTCTCCCCAAGTGGCCACAATGGCCAGAGCTAAGCCAGTCTGAAGCCAGGAACTTCATCCCAGTATCCCACATGGGTGCAGGGTCCCAAGGCTTTGGGCTGTCCTCTACTGCATTCCCAGTCACATGCAGGGAGCTGGATGGGAAGTGGAGCAGCTGGGATACAAACCAGTGCCCATATGGGATCCCAGTGCATTCAAGGCAAGGACTTACGCCACTAGGCTACTGTACCAGGCCCTCTTTTTTTTTTTTAAGATTTGTTTTATTTTTATTGGAAAAGCAGATTTGCAGAGAGAAGAAGAAACAGAAAGATCTTCCATCAACAATTTACTCCCCAGATGGCCACAATAGCCAGAGCTGAGCTGATCTGAAGCCCCGGGGGCAGGAGCTTCTTCCAGGTCTCCCACAAAGGTGCAGGATCCCAAGGCTTTGGGCCATCCTCTACTGCTTTCCCAGGCCACAAGCAGGGAGCTGGATGGGAAGTGGAAGAGCCGGGACATGAACCAGTACACATATGGGATGCTGGTGCCACAGGTGGAGGCTTAAACTATTGCAAATTGCAGTGCCATTCCTCAGACCAGCAATTTTCAAAACATAGAGGGCATAAAGTTCTTTTGAAAATATAGAACCTGGCACAATGGCTCAGTGACTAAATCTTTGCCTTACATGCACTGGGGCTGAGGGGTGAGGGCAATGGGGCAGTCCTTGTGCTTAACATATGGACTTAGGTGCTGTGGCCTTAGTGGCCCTGAGGGTACCACTTGGATGCAGAAGATGCACCCTTGGGATGGTGGTGGCTGACGTGATGGGGAAGGGGGAAGATGCCTCAGATAGGTGCACATGTGGCAAGGCGGAGCGGGGACAGATGCTCAGGATCAATGGGGCTATTGCCCCGCTGACTCGCCTGTGGACTTGACGTGCCCTTGAGCTCTCCCTGTTGGTGCACAGGGCCAGCTGCCCCAGGGTGGCAGGAGAGGCAGTGTCTCCACATCCCTGTGGGGCCGTCCTCACCTCAGCTGGCAGGGCCTGGACCTGCTGGGTCCCCTGGGGTTCGTGCCAGCTCCAGGAGCGCTCCACTGCCCTGAGCACAAGGAGTCCCCTTCCCGGCAGAATCTCCATTGACAAGAGGCCTCTGATTGTGTCTTGGCAGGAGGCCCTGCAGGACAAGGGGTACGAGAGCAAGAGTCAGGGGACGAAAGAAGAGAAACTTGCAAAGAGGCCTGCACCGGCCCCCAGGCGCGAACGGGAGGCCCCGGAAGCCGGTGGCAGTGCCATGAATGTAGAGAAAACAGGTAAGGGAGGTCTACCTGGCAGCCCAGCGCCCTGGCCAGGCTAGTGCCAGAGGAAGCCACTTAGGGGGTCAGGGCCCACTCTCAGCAGCCACCTGCCCCTCCCCGGGGTCAAGAGTGGTGTATGTATCACTCCCTTTCCCCTGCCACCCTCTTCCCTCCCGGGGTGCCACCCAGTGATAAGAGGCCTTGGCCAGCTGGAGCTGGAATTGAATTTCCCCACGTTTTGTCTCTTCCCAGTGCCTGTCAAAAGCAGGACACAGTGGCAGCCGTACTGACGCCACTGCCTGCAGGGAGAGGCTGGCTTCCCCCCTTTCCTCTCTGTTCCCTGCCCCCCTTCCCACATTCTGGACTTGTGAGGACCCTGGCTTGTAGGGGACCCCAGTTTCGATTCTGCTGCCTTGAGGTACCAGAGGAAAGGGGCTGGCAGCTCTGTTCTCTGCCTGAGGTTCTGGAAGATTCTATACCCTCCCCCACCCCCACCCCGTAGCCTCACAGATCCATGCTGAGGTGCCCAGCAGTGAGTCTGAGCCCAGCATCCTCAGGCACCCACAGGAGAGACCAGGAGCGGGCGGACGGCGCAAAGTGGAGCCAGCCTCCTGTTATTTGCCTCCCACCGCCACTGCCAAAGGTTAATCTGTGTGTCTGAACTTGCTGGGGCCCGAAGGAGCCACTCCCTGCTCTGAGACCATGCCGAGCCATTCATGCCTGCCTCTGCCCAGGCACTTTGTGTCGAGCGGCAGGTGCAGGGTCTAGCTGGGGAGTGGGCTACAGGGTCTGGGAAGGGAGGGGGCAGTATCTTCCAGTTGGCAAATGGACTTTCTTCATTGGGCAGCAGAGGAGCCGGGCAGAGAAAGACCCACCCCAGTGAAGAACAAGGGCTGATTCATGTCAAGAGGTGCCAGGCTGGGGCCTTGTGGGGGCAGGGCCCCAGCAGGGCCTTGGAGGCCCACACTCTTTTAAACACCAATCTTTGAGGTGGATGCAATGCTCTGGACCCAGGGCTCCATTCCGCCCACCCTGATATTCATCCTGTCCTGCCTTATGCCTCCTGCTGGGACCTCCTTCAACTTCAGTCAGCATCATTGCTCCCCTCCCCCAGTGCCATCCCCCACCTTCCCACCAAGACCCCAGGTGGCTCCTTGCACCTGCGTGTTGGCCATGCCCAGGTCAGGCGGCACCTACTAGGGGAGGGCTTCTGAGACCCCCGTGGCAGGAGCAGCGACCCGAACAACAACTCTCAGGCTCTCTTCCCAGTCCCTGGCCCTGCACATCCCTGACATGATCCAGGCTCCATTCCCCCAAGTTGTCTTTTGGGCAAGGTGCATTGTCCCCACTTCCCTGAAGATGACCCCATGGAGCCCCTCCTCCCGTGTATCTCCTAGAAGGCAGGCCAAGCTCCAGAGCCAAGTCCAGCATGTTCCCTGCACTCAGGTCACACGGCAGCCCCGTGTGCAGGCCTGGAAGCATCCACCTGCCCTCACTCTCTCTAGAACTCATCGCGGGAAGCTCAGCCAGCTCCGTGTGACATGCATGCTGTGTCACGTGCAGGCCGCAGAGCCAGGCTTCCTGTCCACCCAGGGGCTGCCTCAGCTCCTGCTCTCTGGAAGGAGAGAGAAGCAGGGGTGCCTGCACCCTTCCTGCACTCTCTAGAGGGCCCTCTTCCCCCTCCTGTCCCTCCTGTCTCCCACCTGTGTTCCTCCCTCACTGGTGGTACTGGGAGGTCCCTGCCCAGCCTGCGGCCCCTGCTAGGCCCTCACCCCCATCCCCCCGCTGCCCAGTTTGTTGGCCTTGTCCACTGTGCAGTGAACAAACACGCTGGCTGCCTCCTGCTGAGGCTGCCAGCTGGGTCAGGTGCAGGTGGCTTCGTTCACAGAGGCAGGGAGCTGGGAGCCCGCCCACTCCAAACAAAGCCCAGAAACCCTGGGGCTTGAGGCAAAGTGGGTAGGGCTCCCAGGCTAGCAGGTGCCTTTCATTGCCCTTTGCTCTTGAACTCGCTGCTTGATTTCTATGTGCAGAGCCTGATGGGAGGAAATAACTTTTCCCCCACACACCCCGCCACTGCCTTTCCATCCACTGCCTAGCTCCCAACTTGCAAAGCTACAGGCACCTGTGAGCTGCAGTAAGTTTGCTGGGCTCCTGTCAGCAGATCTGGGGCCTTCATTCCATGTCTTGTCCTGCATCTGTCTTTTGCTCCTAGAGGTAGGAGAGAACTCCTCCAACCTCTGTATTTATCATGTGCCTGCATCTGCGCAGGTCCCACATGACCCAGCCTGGTTGCATGCACAGGGCCGTCTGCATGCTGACCCATCGCTCTCTCTTACACACACCTGCACACATACGTACATATGTTGTACTCTTCTTGCTCTGCCTCTGTGCGCAGGTGACCGCTCCATGCAGGCCCAGCTCTGCTCCTCTCTCTGGGACTCTTGAGACAGTGAGAGGTGTAAGAGGCTGTGCTTTTCTAAGAATGGTGTCTCCTGTTCTCCTGTCGCAGTTCCTGGCAGACTGACCCTGAAGAGGGGCTACCACCCAAAAGCCCTGGGGCACAGGCTCTGAGAGAAGGCCACAGGGAATGCCCAGGCACTCTAACTTCTTCATCCAGGCCTTCTGTTTCTGAGAGCAGCAGAAGGGCTCCCCAACCCCAGGCAGCCCTGACAGACCCCTGCTGCTACAGCTTCCAGGTCTCCTGCCCTGTACCCCAGGTTCTCTGCTTGCATCCCACTACTTCCCCAGCAGTCCATCCTGCCATGGGGGAGTGGGCGCCCTGCCCGCCTCCCTCTGTCACACCCGCTGATCAGCCACTGCTCTGCTTGCAGGTAGCCGGCTGTTTGGCAGTGGGAGGTGCTCGAGCCTGTCGGGATCGCCGGGGGCAGTCCCAGTCGTGCATAGGATGGTGGAGGCCATGTCCCAGCTCCAGGAGGAGAAGGCCCAGCTCCAGGAGGAGTTGGTGGTCCTGAGGGAGAGGCTGGCCCTCCATGACAGTGACCAGCAAGCCACCGCCACCCAGCTGCAGAACCAGGTACCTGGAGAGGTTGAGGCTGGTAGAGCTTACCATTGCCCACTTGTGGTGTTAGTCACAGGACAGGGGTCAGCCACCAGTGTAGTAAGAGGAGAGAGCTGGGATCTCCTCTGTCAGCCAGTGAACACCCTAGAGGAGGCAGGACAACCCGGGGGCCTGCTGCAATCTTCTCTGCTCAGGGAGCAATGTGTTACAGTGCACAGGTGCCTTGGTCCTTCAAAGCTGTCTGTGGCCGCCTGCCCGTTGCTCAGGGGTGGGCCTTCTGGGGGCAGCCTTCTTGCCCTGTGTTTGCCTCTTACACCGTTACCTGTTGCTTTCCTGTTTGTGGGCCTCCATGTGGCCAGCTGTGTTCCCTGCTGCCCACCTGCCCTTCTCAGACAGCTGTGGGAGTCTGTTTAGGACCTGGAGGGCTAGTGCACCTCTGCCCCTGTAGAGGCTGTAGGCTTCAGGAAGATGGTCACTGGTTCCAGGCCCGTGCATGGGTGTGAGGTAGGAAGGAACAAGCGATGAGGGCTCTGCAGGAGGGACACATGCATGGCTGTGAGGGCCATCTGGGTGGTTGAGGCAGTCTCCCTGGAATAGCAGAGCAGGGCTGAAGTGGGCACCGAGCAGAGGAAAGCACATTCTGAGCTAAGGGAAGGCGGTGTAGAGGGCACTGCCCTGGGGCCATGGGTTTGGTCTAGGACCACTCTGCAGGAGGGTCTGAGGTAGACACCCAGCAGCAGCTCTGCCTGCCCAGCCTGGCCCAGCCTGGTGATCCAGGGCTTCTCTTTGAGGGCAGGTCTTATGTGTGTGTTTCTTCCTCCCTCCCCACCTTCCTTCCTGACAGAGTTACAGAGAGCAGGAAGAAGGGCCAGGCCAAAGCTGGGAGGCAGAAGCTTCTTCTGGGTCTCCCCATGTGTGCAGGGGGCTTTGGGCCATTTTCCACTGCTTTTCCAGGTCATATGTAGGGAGCTGGATCGGCAGCGAAGCAGCCAGGATGTGAACCGGCATCCAGAAGGAATCCTGGCATTGTATGTGGCAGCTTAACCCATTATGCCACAATCCAGGGCTTTATTTTCTTTATTCCATGAGCTTTGTTGCTAGCCCATTCTCACACCCCAAATTCAGACTCCTCCCCCCTCTCCCCCCCCCCCCGTGATGGAGGGTTTCCTGGTCATGAGTAGGCATGGCTGCTATTTACAGCCCCCCAAAAAGCCCTACTGACAGCACCCTCCCTCTTCAACCCTTCACCTGCCTGCTCTTTTCATGGATTTTGCCTTTTCTGAACATTTCCCACAGATGAAATCATAATCATATGTGATCTTTAGTGACTCTAAACAGTTTTAAAAAAAAAATCACTGCTCCCTGTAATTAACAAAGTGGATGTTTCGCTTTGTCAAAGTTGAGGGTGAGGGTGAAGCAGTTCAGCTGCCTTGGCATCTGTGAAACCACTCTCCCCACTCCAACCTCCTTCAACCCTCCAGCCCTCCACCACCACTATCCTCTCCCCAATGACCCAGAAGTTTGCAGTGGTCCCCAGTCTCGGCTCAAGTATGGTTTGGGAACTCTCTGACTACCAGCCCTTTTCTGGAAATTTCTCCGAAGATGCACCTGCAGCTTCAGGTGTCTGAGCTGCCCTGTGGAGGTGAGCCTGGAGCTGAGTTCTGAGTCTCACTTTGGCACCACTCATTATCTGTGTGACCCCAGGTAGCTAATTAGCACTCTGCACCTCCAATCCCTCATCTGCGGAATGGGCATAATAACAGTCCCTGCCGAGGCGGTCCCTGGTGAGTTGCCGAGCTTGCAGCTCACTGGTTCTGTGATCATGCAAACAGGAGCCCAAGCCCAGGCTGTTTCTTCCTTTCTCCCTGCACTGAAGCTAAGAAACATAGCTGTTCGGATATCGGGCAATGGCACCTGGGTGACATGGCTGCTGCATGCTTTGTTCTAGCATTCTGAAAGCTGCTTCCCTAAGGAAGACCCCCCCCCTGCCCCTGCCCCAGACACACAGCACCTTCTTTTCAGCATGCCTATCTAGAGATCAGACCTACCTTTCACCCTGACCACTTTTCCACACTTGTGGATTCTAAAAGGCTCACATAGCTTGGTGAGGAGGAAGAGAAGGGGCCTAGCCAGATCTTGCATGGGTCAGTTGGTGGTCAGGTGACCCTTTGGGAGCTGCTCATGCTCTTGGAACCTCAGTTTTCCTTCTTGTGTAATGGGGAGCACCCTCTGCAGGGTGGTGGAGGGGTGGTTTGGGGCTTAAAAGCTGATAATGTACATGGGGATTCCGGAGTACCTGAGGCCAAGGCAGGTGGAAACGCCTGCATTTCTTGGGACACTCAGGCTGGAGGGCTAGGTTACAGCAGCCCAGAACCACTCCTGGGTGGCCTTGATGTCCTGTCTTCTGTGGGCATCTCTGAAGCTGGGCCCTGTAGGTTCCCCAGTGTAACAGGCTGTACGAGTGGCAGCCCTGCTCCCTTCCTACTCTTCAGCCTCGACACAGAAGAACTGTCCCTTGGGGGCAGGGATGCTGGCTTAGCAGTGAATGCCCCTGCGTCCCATGTGGGTTCATTGCCCAGCTCTGGCTCCTGCCTCCAGCTTCCTGTGAATACAGACCCAGTGAGAACTCTGGTCATTGGGCTGCAGTCACTCACCAGGAGACCTGGATTGGACTCTTGACTCCTGGCTTCAGCCCAGCCCAGCCCCAGCCATTGTGGGCAGTTGGGAAATGAATCAGGAAAGGGAAGCTTTCTCTCTCACTTGCTCGCTTCTTCTGTCTCTCTCTCCCTCTCAAAGTATTTTAAAAAATTGTTCTTGTGGCCATAAACTAGGAAACTAGATGTTGCTCTTAAAAGTACCTTATTTGGCCTGTTTTAAAAAAGAGATTTATTTATTTATTTGTCTGTTTATTGGAAAGGCAGAATTAGAAGGAAAGAGAGAGCGTTTCCATCTGTTGTTTCATTCCCCAAATGACCACACAGCCACAGCGGGGCTGGGCTGAAGCCGGGAGCATCAGGGTCTCCCACGTGGGCTCAGGATCCCAAGTGCTGTCTGCTGCTGCTTTCTCAGGTTCATGAGCAAGGAATGGGATCAGACATGGAGCAGCTGAGACCTGAACTGGCTCCCATTTCAGATGCCAGTGCCCCAGGTGGCAGATTTACCCATTACACTACAGTACCAGTCCCTGGCCTTTTTTCAAAATCATTATTTTAGAAAATTGTGCTAGACAGGCCAGAATGGTGATGTATCAGGCTAATCCTCCACCAGCATCTCATACAAGCACTGTTCATGTCCTGATTGCTCCACTTCTTTTTTTTTTTTAAGATTTATTTTTTTATTATTTTTTATTGGAAAGGCGGATATACAGAGAGGAGAGACAGAGAGGAAGGTCTTCCGTCTGATGATTCACTCCCCAAGTGAGCACAACGGCCGATGCTATGCCGATCCATCCTCGACTGCTTTCCCGGGCCACAGGCAGGGAGCTGGAAGGGAAGCGGGGCTGCTGGGACTAGAACCGGCGCCCATATGGGATCCCGGGCGTGCAAGGCAAGGACCCCAACGACTTGCGCCACTGCGCTGGGCCCCTCCACTTCTTTTTATAAGATGCATTTGTTTTTTATTAGAAAGGCAGATTTACAGAGAGAGAAGGAGAGATAGAGAGAGATCTTCCATCTGTTGTTTCACTGCCCAAGTGGTTGCATCGGCCGGAGCTGAGCTGATCCGAAGCCAGCAGCCAGGAACTTGTTCCGGGTCTCCCACATGGGTGCAGGGTTCCAACTTTGGACCATTCTCCACTGCTTTCCCAGGCCACATGCAGAGAGCTGGATTGAAAGTGGAGCCACTGGGATACGAACCGGTGCCCATACAGGATCCTGGAACATTCAAGGCAAGGATTTTGCCAGTAGTTTATCACACCAGACCCATGTTGCTCTACTTTATATGAAGCACTCTGCTTATGACCTGTGCAGGGGCCCATGTGGGAGACCTGGAAGAAGCTCCTGGATCCTGGCTTCAGATGGGCTCAGCTCTGGCCATTGTGGTTATGTGGGGAGTGAACCAGAAGATTGAAGACCACTCTCTTTCTGTCTCTTCTTCTCTCTCTAAAATCTGCTTTTCAAATACAAATAAATGTACCTTTAAGAAAAATTGTGGTAGAATGCATGTAACAGCACGTTCCATCTTAACCATTCATAAGTTTAAGTTCAGAGACATTATACCGACTCATGTTGATATGTGCCCATCCCTACTCTCTGTCTTCTGAACTGCCCCCTTTCACAGTCTGAAACTCTGACCTCATTAAAAACATTTCCCATTCTCTGCCCCATAGTGCAACCTCTGTTCTGCTTTCTGTCCCTTGTGGCATCCTGCAATATGTGTCCTTATGTGGCTGGTTTCATGCATGGCATAACAGGTGTCAGCCTTTGTTCCTGTGTGTGTGTCCATGGCACATTTCCCTGAGCTGTTCTCCATTGGGTCCCCAAGCCCTCCAGCTCTTGTGCATAGCGTTGTGGTGTACATTGTGTCTTGAGGATCCTCATTTCCAGCTCTGAGATGAAGGGACTGGGTCATCTAGCACTTCTGTCTTTCATTTCTGGAGGGAGCTGCAGCATCTGACATTCCCGCCCGCAGTGCAGAAGTGGCCCAGCTTTTTCACATCCCCACCAGCACTTGCTGTGTTGGTTCTCTGGTTTTCACAGCAGCCATCCTAATGGGTGCCAAGGGGTGCCTCTGGGTTGGTGATCCACTAATTAATGGTGAGTGGTGCTGAGCCTCTTTGTGCTATACACAAAAGTCATGTACACATCTTCCTTTGCTCATGTTTCAGTTGGATTGCTTTTGTGTTGAGTTGTAGTTGTGCTTTATGTATTTGAATATATTTGAACTTTTTATTATTAATGTGACTTATATTCCGGAATAGGCTAGGCTGAAACCAGGATCCAGGAACTACAGCTGGGTCTCCCATACGGATTGCAGAGGCCTGAGTACTTGGACCATCATCTGCCTTCCAGTTGCATTAGCAGGGAGCTGAGTGAGAAATGACCAGTCAGAACTCAAACTGGCACATATACAGGATACCAGCTTTGCAGGCAGTGCCACAAAGCCAGCTTCCAAATTTACCTTATTTATTTGAAAAGACCGGAGTTTCTATCTGCTGATTCACTCCCCAGAATGCCTGCCACAAATGGGCCATGCCTGTGCTAAAGCTGAGACCTGGAAGCACAGTCTGAGTCTCCCATGTCAGTGGCAGGGACCCACTCCCAGAAGCATCTCCTGCTGTCTTCCAGAGTGCATACCAACAGGAAGTTGGATGGGAAGTGGAAGAACTGGGACTTGAACCAGGCAGTCTGATATGGGAGGCAGAGATGCTTTTCATTCTAACCACTGTCCCATTGGCTGCCCCCATGGTCAACATTTAAATATCAGTGATGTTCGCATAAAAATGTGGGTTTTGTGGTCAGCACTGTGGCCCAGTGAGCTAAGTGACACACTTCACTTGTGACAACAGCAGCCCATATAACATTGCTGGTTTGAGCCCTGGATCCTCTACTTCCAATCAAGCTTCCTGCTGATGTGCCTGAGAAGGCAGCAGAAAATGGCCCAAGTATTGGGGACCTTTACCACCCATGTCAGAGACCCAGATAGAGTTCCAGGTTCTTGGCTTTAGCCTGGCCAAGACCAGACTGTTGCAGCCATTTGAGGAATGCACTAACAGGTGTAAGATCTTTCTCTTTATTTCTGTCTTTCTGTGTGTGTTTCTCTGCCTTTTAAACAAACAAATCTTAAGAGAAAAAATAATTGGGACCAACATACCCTCAGCCCTAGCCCTGCCACCCTGCCTACCTCACACCCTGTCAGCCTCCCTGACAGACTCTGGTCTGCTTGCCCTCCCCCCTCCTCCAGCATTCAGCTTGTATGTTTACTGAGCATTTACTTTGTGCTGGGTGCTGTGGTCCAGCCCTAAGCACCATGGACAGCTCTCTGCCCTCCAGGGCCCTTCATTTTAGCTTAGGACTCAGAGTTGGGCCTAGTACATCTCCCCCCTCTCCCTGTTACCCCGGTGTCATCTATTTAATCCTCCCTGGAAGGCAGGTGAGGAAACCCAAAGGCACAGAGAGGCTAAAAGACCAGTTCAAGGTCATTGTAGGGAGGGCAATGTCTCCTGGAGAGCCCAGGCTACTTGGCTTGAGCATCGCTGCTCTGAGTGGTCCAATGATTTGGCCAAGGATCTGGCCTTCTTGGAGTAGGCGGAAAGGGGATGGGGAGGGGGCTCCCAGGGCATGGTCCTGAGGCCTTGCTGGCTCAGCAGTACCTCTGCCTCTTCACTGTGCGGCTGTAGGGAGAGCCCGCCTTTCCTGGGAAGCCAGCAGAGGCCCCTGCCGCCACACTCCGTGGGTGGTGGGGACCTAATCAGCGGTTGTCTGCCCGGATAAGAGGCCTTCTGCCCCAGGGGCAGACAGCTGAGAATACACAGCACAGCGTGCCTGCTGCCCCCTCTGCTGAGCTGGTTTCTGCCCTAATAGCCCACTCCCTTTTCTCCCTGAGCCAGGCAGGGCTGAGTCCCAACCTTGGATTCACTCACTCTGGCTGTGGAGATGGGTGGGCATGGGCTGGGGGGAGGGGTGCAACTTCTAGCCCCACCCCAAGGCAGGTCCTGGGACCCTCGCTGCACCGTGGCCAGGTCAGCAGGCAACTGTTCTTCATCTCCCATCCCACTCTTTGAAATGGCCATCCCTTCCAGTATTGACTGAGCAGCGCACTGGATCCTGGCCAGGGGCCTGACATTCTCGGGGACATCAGAAGGGGTCTGTTCGCTGGTCACAGTGGCCCTGTGCACCGATTCAAGGGGGCAGATAATAGTCAAACAATGGCGCATTTGAAGCTGTCAGAGCCAGCCTGTGTAAGCTAATATAGTAATCCTGCTGCTCACCACACCTTTTCCAATGGGAAGTATGGGCATCACAGAATATTCTGGGAAAAAATCCCCAGATAACTTCGGGTGAATGATGCTGACAGTCTTTGTGTGTGACCATTATATCCCGAGGAGAGGTTCCTGGAGGAAGTGGGGGTGATGTGAAGCCAGAGTCGGGGTCTTTTGGGGAGGTCAGCCAGCTCAGGGGCTGGCTCCAGGAACAGGCACTGCCAAGGAGTCAGCTTGCCAGTCTCTGGGCTGGCTCCATGGGGGTCCTCCTCTTGTCAGGCCCTGGATGGACCAGCTCACTTTCACTTCTGTCTCTCCAGTCTTGGGCGAGCACAGCTCTTCTCAAAGTAGAGGACTAGGGGTCAGGCTAGGATGGCTCCAGGACTGCTTGTTAAGAAAGAAGACATATAATTGTCTGTTCAGAGGGCCTGAGTGCCAGAGAGCCAGGGCTGGGGGGCTGGCTCAGTCCCACAGTGGGTGGGCAGTGGGAGAAGGGGCCTGAGGCTTGACCCCAGGGAAACCCAGGGTTGTGGTAAGGATCAGTGTGGGTTGTAAGAGAGTAAGGTCCCTGGTCTGCTCTGACGCTGGCTTTGTCCTGCAGGTGGAAAACCTGAAGGAGAAGCTCATTAGCCAGGCCCAGGAAGTGAGCCGACTTCGGTCAGAGCTGGTGAGGCCTTACAGCGCCACCCCGGGGCTCCAGTCCTGTCCCAGAAGACATGGCCGTGTCTCAGACACCTCGGGTCATGTGGTTCTAGCGGGGAGGGGACCGGCGGCTCACAGACATAAAATTGGAGTGTGAGCCCTGTGTGTCACTGTGACTTCTTGTCACTTTCACACTTGGAAAACTAGGATGGGCCGGGGGTGGGCGCTTCTCTGGTTTTTCCTTGCTTGTTCACCTTTCTCTTTTTTCTTTCATTCCTTCCCCATCCCATCCTGGGCCCCTTACATGGTGCTTGTCGACCCGTCTGTCCCCGCCACATGTCTGCCCTGGGCCGTGGCCCTGCACAGGGAGGCACTGACCTGGAGAAGCTGCGGGACCGGCTGACAGTGGAGAATGAGCGGCTGAGGCAGGAGCTGCGGCGCTGCGAGGCTGAACTGCAGGGGCTGCGGGCACAACCGCCGCCAGCAGCGCCCTGCCCAGGCTGTGAACACAGCCAGGTGAGCAAAGCATGCATCCCTATCCCCCCACCCCCCAGAGGGCTCTGCCAGCTCCTCCTCGCACTGCCCTCCCCTCACCTCCCCTTTCCCCGCGCCCCTGCAGGAGAGCGCCCAGCTCCGTGACAAGCTGTCGCAGCTGCAGCTGGAGGTGGCAGAGAACAAAGGCATGCTCTCTGAGCTGAACCTGGAAGTGCAGCAGAAGACAGACCGGCTGGCTGAGGTGGAGCTACGCCTCAAGGACTGCCTGGCCGAGAAGGCGCAGGAGGAGGAGCGGCTCAGCCGGCGCCTGCGCGATAGCCACGAGACCATCGCCAGTCTGCGGGCCCAGTCCCCACCCGTCAAGGTGAGCTGCTGACAGGCACCCCAGGCCTGTCTCACCTGCACCTCAGCCCACAGCCCCTGGCACAGAGCAGGGCAGCGTCTTCAGAGGGGCGCATGGTGTGAGGAACAGGTGTGAGTGCTTGATGGGCTCATCCTCAAGCTGTGCCTGGCCCTGGCCCCTTCCTGTGGCTGTCCAGGGCCAGACATCGAGAAACCAGCAGCTCCCCATGCTTGGGGTGCCCCACTGTGCCCTCAAGGCTCTTCCTTTCTGGCTTGTTCCGAGCCCAGGTCATGGCCAGGCTTCTAGAAGGCTTGTTATAATAAGATTCCACTGAATTCTGCAAAGCCACTACCCCGGGCTCTTCTCAGTTTCTTCTACAGTCCCACCCCTCGGGCTATTGATGGGACCCTGAGGTTCCCCTCCTATGGCCGCCTCTCCCTTCCTGTGGCTCACATTCCTGCACCCTCCAATCCTGACGCCTTGCAGTATGTCATCAAGACGGTGGAGGTGGAGTCGTCCAAGACCAAGCAGGCGCTCAGTGAGTCCCAGGCCCGGAACCAGCACCTGCAGGAGCAGGTGGCCATGCAGCGGCAGGTGCTGAAGGAGATGGAGCAGCAGTTACAGAGCTCACATCAGCTGACCACACAGCTCCGCGCGCAGGTGTGCAGGCACACAGGCCACACTCTACCCCACCCCTACCAGGCCTTGGTACCTGCCAGGGAAGGAGGTTGGTCCGGACGGCACAATAACTGTGCATTGGGGATGATCCACTGCCTTCTTGCCCTGCTGGGACCAAGGGCAAGTTTGTTGCCTTTTCCTCATCTCTAACATGAGCTGGTCAGCACCCAGGTTTGCTCCAGGGTCTCTGAAATGCCTCCCATGTGCTGAGCCTGGAACAGTCCTTTGGTTGGTTCTGCAGAGACTCTTGTCAGTTTTAGGGCAGTCACTCTCACAACTCCTCTAGGGGTGTGAGGCCCTTGCCACCCCTTCTGTTCTCAGGGCAGGTGGTGCTGATGTGTGGCCGGGTGGGAGGGATGTGAAGGCAGCCTCATGAAGCTCACAGTCCAGTGCCAGGGAGTGGTGAAAGGAAGAAGCTGCTTGACCATGCTCCCCTGTGTGTGTGTGTGTGTGTGTTCACATGGGTGTGGAGGTGAGGGAGGGGCGGGGCTTCCCTAGCCGACACCCCACCCTCTCAGGCCCTGGGGCTCTGAGCCTTCTGACCTGGCCGCCAGATTGCCATGTACGAGTCAGAGCTGGAGCGGGCCCACGGGCAGATGCTGGAGGAGATGCAGTCCCTGGAGGAAGACAAGAACCGGGCCATCGAGGAGGCGTTTGCCAGAGCCCAGGTGGAAATGAAGGCTGTGCACGAGAACTTGGCAGGTGAGAGTCCTGCCCGGCCCTGCTGCAGCCTTCCCATGCCACGCCATGCCCTTCCTCCTCCTGCCCCCCTCACACACCGTGCCCATATCTTACTCCTTCTGTCCCTGAAGGCGTCAGGACCAACCTGTTGACGCTGCAGCCAGCCCTGCGGACCCTCACCAACGACTACAACGGGCTCAAGCGGCAGGTGCGCGGCTTCCCTCTGCTGCTGCAGGAGGCCCTCAAGAGTGTCAAGGCCGAGGTGAGTGCTGGCCAGAGGCAGGGTCAGGGGGAGAGGCCCTAACCTGGAGTCCCTAGTCAGGCACAGTGTCCCCCGGGGCTCTACTCCTCAACCCAACAGGCTGCCACCCACTGGTTGTGGCAGGTATTGGTCTCTTTCTATAATTCTTTCTTTTTAGATTTATTTACTTAAAAGCCAGAGTTAGAGGGAGAGACAGAGGATCTTCCATTTGCTGGTTCACTGCCCAAATGGCTGCAGTGGCCAGAGCTGGGACAATCTGAAGTCAGGAACTATGAGCTTTTTCTGGGTCTTCCACATGGGTACAGAGGTCCAAACATTTGAGCCATCCTCTGCTGCTTCCCCACTTGCATTAACAGAGAGCTGGATGGGAAGTGGAGCAGCTGGGACTTGAACCGGTGTCCATATTGGATGCCAGTACCACAGGTAGCAGCATAGGTCCTTGTGATTGCTTGAACCCAAGCTGTCGCATGGGTGTTCAGGGCCCCATGGGCCACACGCATTCTCATGACTGCCAAAGCTGCTCTTGCCCAACATGAGACGAGCTGGTGTCTCTGCAATGACTCCCGTTTGCTGAGCCTGGAACAGCCCTTTGGCCAGCTCTTCAGAGACTCATACATCTTGGGTATCTCTGCCTCTCCTTGCTAGCCAGCAGAGGCAGCCCTGCTGGATTTGGGCTTCTACTTCTTGCTTTCTGCTCCTCTGTGATTGAACTGGGAGACTTTTGCCCCATCATCTCCTACCAGTTCGCAAATTAGCCTTATCCCCATCTTAGAGGTGAGCAAATTGAGGCTCACAGGGAGCTTGTTGTCTCCAGGGTAGAATTTGATCTGTCCAGCTGAACCCAGTCAGTAGCAGGTGCTGACGCTGAGCTAGGTGTCTGACCTGTGGACCTCACTTCTCCATGTCTTGTTTTCTTCATTTGTAAAACAGGACAGTAGTAGTAGTGCTGGCAGCCCCTGCCTCAGTGGGGTCAGTGTGTGTCTAGCAGTGAATCCAGGGTGAGGCAGGGTGACCATCCTGGGTGGGGATAGGGGGATGGAGCCGGCCCTCATGGTTACGTGTGCACCTCCAGATCGGCCAGGCCATCGAGGAGGTTAACAGCAGCAACCAGGAGCTGCTGCGCAAGTACCGCCGGGAGCTGCAGCTGCGCAAGAAGTGCCACAACGAGCTGGTGCGGCTGAAAGGTGACCGCTGGATGGACCAGGGCTGGAGTGGTGGCTCAGGGGGCCAGCACTTGATCTCTGGGGCAGGTCATGCCGAGAAGCTGTCATTGTCTCTTTGTAGACCAGGGGTCAGGGGACTCTCTCAAAGTCACACGGATGGCAGACAATCCTTGCATCTGAACCACTCTGTCCAGCTCTGAGGCCCCTACCCCCATGCCGAGGGCAGGTTATTCCCAGGCTGTGGGTAGCCAAGCACTGGGCAGTGGTGGCCGGAATGCTGCATGTTCCAACCTGGGGTCTGGTCTCTGGGTACTCTCCAGAGGTCCAGAGAGCAGTGCTGTGTGCCAGGTGCTGCTGTGGCCACTGAGGGGTTGCTGCTGTTCCTGCCCTCACAGTGTATCGTCCAGAGTTTCTTCATACTAGAGCCCCTGGGTGTAGGACAATGAGTGATGGGGGGCTTCCTGGAAGAGGCAAAGCTGTAGTCAATACTTGGCCCTTGAGCGGACAGGGTATGAGGGCAAGGAAGATGGGGCTGTGTTGAGAGTAGGGGCTCTGTGGCCATTCAGGCTGCTAAATGCCCTGAGACCTCCCAGTGTTCTTGCCCGCCACATGGTCCCATTTCCTGGCCTGATTCCCAAGCCCCGTGTTGGCATTGAGTGCCCTTTTCGAATGGCCAGACGTTGGCTCACCTGGGCACATGCTGCTCACTGAATGGGTAAGGACGTTGAAGACTGGGTGTGGGGGAAGAGAGAGAACAAGTCCACTTTGGTGTCCATCTCAGACCAGATGCAGTGCTGGGCCCACAAGGGGCCTTTCCTCCCCATCCCTGAAGTGAAACTCCCATATTGGGCTGCTCAGGAATGAATGCACTAAGTGAGCCCAGGGGGGACGTGGCTGCCCAATGGCAGCACTGTGGGCCACCTAGCTAGGGGCTTTGTACAGAGTCATCTGCCATTCACCTTCCTTGAACATTAGTGGATGCCAGAGCAGAGTTTAAAAGACTTGAAAGGTAGAAGGGAAGAGACATATCTTTCATCCACTGGTTCACTCCCTAAGTGAGCACAATTGCCAGGGCTGGGCCAGGAGCCTGGAACTCTATCCAGGTCTCCCAAGTGGATGCAGGGACCCAAGCACTTGGATCATTTTTCACTGCTTTCCCAGGGATGCTAGCAGGGAGCTGAACTGCCAGCAGAGCAGCTGGGACTTGAACCAGCGCACTGTGGGATGCCAGCATTGCAAAGAGCAGCTTAACCCAGTGTGTCACAGTGCCAACCTTGATGATCTGCTTTTGACCTGACCTGTCCCCATTTACCCCACCCCCAACCATTTCAGGGAACATCCGAGTGATTGCTCGGGTCCGGCCAGTCACCAAAGAAGATGGGGAGGGACCCGAGGCAACTAATGCTGTGACCTTTGACCCCGATGATGACTCCATCATCCACCTGCTGCACAAGGGCAAGCCTGTGTCTTTCGAGCTGGACAAGGTCTTCTCTCCGTGGGCCTCGCAGCAGGATGTGAGTGTGGGCCCTGGGGGCAGATGGCCTCAGGCATGGAAGGTAGACCGTAACCCACTGAGACAGGCTTGTTGGGACCAGCTAGAACAGAAAGCAGTGTTTGAGGTAAGGGCCCTCTGTCTGGGAGGAGACTCCAGGCCTCAAAGCCTCCCATAGGTGGAGGGTCCATGCAAGCCCCTCCTACCTGATTATTCTTATGGCTCCTCCCATTTAGAGGACTCAGGGTCCCCAAGGCCCCAATCTCCTGCCAGGATTACCCTCTTGTATCAGTCCCCTGAGCCTTAGTGGGGACTTGACCTTCAGTGGCATGGATGGTGTGTGGTCTCAGCATCTGCTCTTCTCTGCCTGGGCCCGTCTCTGCCCTGACTGCTGGTGGGTGGTAGGCCCTGGAGGTGGGCAGACACAGCCCCCTCTTCCTTGGTTGCCTACTGATGTCAGACACACAGGGTATGTGAGTGGGGAGCCCCCACAGCAAGCATGTGGGCCTTTGGGGTGTGCAGGGAGCACTCTGGACTGGGAACCAGCAGGGTCCTGGACCCTGCAAGCCCCCATCCATCATCCATCTCACTCAACTCACAGGTGTTCCAGGAGGTGCAGGCCCTAATCACCTCATGCATCGATGGCTTCAACGTCTGCATTTTTGCCTATGGCCAGACGGGGGCTGGCAAGACGTACACCATGGAGGTGGGTGCTGCCTGCTGGTGTGGGGGTTACGAGTTTTTGGGGGGCCTCACACCTTGCTCATCCCAGGACTCCAGGCAGACCTGGGGAGGAAACCCCTTGCCCTAGAACCGTGGTCAGTGCCCATATAGTCAGGACAGTGCTATGCTGCCAGCCAGAGTCTGGGGCAGTCAACGCCTGCTTTCTGAATTCTTGTGGTCTGGCTGCTGCAGGCTGGGCCCAGGGTTGCTGGGCTGAATGAGGTGGGGCTTTAGGCCAAGGAGCAGGCCAGGCTAGGCCCCTGAAGACTGCTGTGAGGTATGGTGGAAGACGGCAGGCCAGCCCCTCCACAGATGGGGCACTGGGAGGGAAAATCTTGCTTGGAGATGGAAGGCTAGCTCAGGGGGTGCGCTTGGGACTTGGGTGAGCTTTACTCACTGTTCCCTGGAAGGGAAGGCAGCTGTCCAGTGTGCAGATGAAGGGAATGGCAGAGCTGCCAGGCACCCTTCAGGAACCCGCTCTGTCAGCCCCGTCCCCCCAGTGTATACTCTACTGTTCGTACCATCTTAGGATTGGTTAGTTGGGAGGGGGTAGGGGTGGCAGAACCTTCTGGGCTCCTGGCACTGTCAGAGCTGTTTAGAACTGAGAAGGGCATCTGTTCTCTAAGCACATCTGCAAGGCCTCGATGGAACAGAGACCCTGCCCCTACAGCCAGCTTGGCAGTGGGTAAGATAGCAATGAATACAGCCAGTTAGCAGGTGCCTGGCCGGGGGCGGGGGAGGAGGGTTTGGAGAGAAGCTGCTCCAAGGTGACAGAGGTAGCCTTGACTGCCTGGGAAGGGTCAAGGCCCAAGTGTGCCTAAGGAGGGAGGAAGGGACATAGTAAAAAGTGCTGTGGGAGTTGGGGCGAAGTCCAGATGTCTCAGGATCTTGACCCAGGCAGGGCCTCAGCCCCTCTGACCCCAGACTCTTTGCACCTGCCTGTGGCTACCCCCAACCCCATTATCCTGGCTCATGCTTCCCTTGACACACCTGGTGCCTAGCAGGGCTGTGTGCAGTCCCAAGCCCACCACCCCGGCCCTCCAGTGCTCTGCTCAAGGTCCCAGGGCCATCCTGGCAGGACAATGTTACTTTATAGATAGTTAAACCTGGGCCTGGGGAGGGGAAGTTGCTACCAGTTGGGTTTGGATGAGCAGACCTGCACGGAAGCTCCCCTGGGAGGAGGACCTGAGGAGGTTGGGAGATAACAGTCGTCATGCAGCCGTCAGCCATGGCAGGGAACACCTGACTCAAGGCACCCTTTCCTTCCACTCCCAGGGAACCCCTGACAACCCAGGCATCAACCAGCGGGCGCTGCAGCTGCTCTTCTCTGAGGTGCAGGAGAAGGCATCTGACTGGGAGTACAACATCACTGTCAGTGCAGCCGAGATCTACAACGAGGTCCTCAGGTGCAGGCCACAGCACCAGCCCCACGGGCAGTTCTGGGGATTTCCAGGGACTAGATGAGGCCGTGTAGGGACCCATGCCCTGGGGGTTGGGGTTCAGGAGGTCCCTATACAGGAAGGGGCAGTGATGTGTGACAAGACAGCTGGGGCCTTACCCACAGGGTTCATGCAAAGTGGAGGCAGGAGTGACTCCATCTGCTGGACTCCTGAGGGAACAGCAGAGTACCGGGGAGAAGCTGCAAGAGAGCAGGCCTGGATGCAGAGGAGGGGGTGACTGTCCTGCCTGCCCCTCCAGGGACCTGTTGGGGAAGGAGCCTCAGGAGAAGTTGGAGATCCGGCTGTGCCCAGATGGCAGTGGACAGCTCTACGTGCCAGGGCTGACCGAGTTCCAGGTGCAGAGTGTGGACGATATCAACAAGGTGTGTGGCCAGGGGGCATCTAAGGAAGTGCTGGGGAGACCCCAGACCCAGCAAAAGCTGCTGCGTACCAGGACAGAGCCAGGGGCCAACCAAGTGCATGATTGGGGCACATCCCTACTCCCCTCGGAACCTTAGATGTGATGAGGCAGGTGTTTGGGGGCAGCAATGCCCATGCTGCATCCCACACTGGAGTTTTGGCATCCCATCCAGCTTTCTGCTCATGTGCAGCCTGGGGGGCCAGTAGGTGGTTGCTCCCCCCGGTGTGGGAGCCCTGCCTGGAGGTTTTGGCCTGGCTTAGCTCTGGCTGTGGTGGCCCTTGGGGGGGGGCAACCAGTAGGCAGAGTAAACCTCTGCCTTTGAAATTGAAGTGAACAGAACATGGAGGGTCACACTACCCCTCAGAGGCTTGGGGTTCAGGGATTCCAAAAAAAGCCCATCGTGAGCCCCTGTGCTGCAGGTGTTTGAATTTGGCCACACCAATCGCACCACGGAGTTCACCAACCTGAATGAGCACAGCTCCCGCTCGCACGCTCTGCTCATTGTAACGGTGCGCGGCATGGACTGTAGCACGGGCCTGCGCACCACAGGTGAGTGTGGGCACCCGGGTGGCTCAGCCTGGGGACCGCTGCTTCCCCCCGGCAGCCTTGACATAGTGAGTGCCCTCCCTTCAGGAAAGCTGAACCTGGTGGACTTGGCCGGCTCCGAGCGTGTGGGCAAATCGGGGGCGGAAGGCAGCCGGCTGCGGGAGGCGCAGCACATCAACAAGTCGCTGTCGGCGCTGGGGGACGTCATTGCTGCCCTGCGATCCCGCCAGGGCCACGTGCCCTTCCGCAACTCCAAGCTTACCTACCTGCTGCAGGACTCACTCAGTGGTGACAGCAAGACCCTCATGGTGGTACAGGTGAGGTCCCCAAGTCGGTGCTCTGTCCCTCACACGGTGCCCTTGTCACCTTGCCTGCCCTTGACTGTCACCTGGGTCTCCTAGCAACCCTACTGTCCCTCCGGTACAGTGGGGACAGCTGGCTGAGTGCTCTGACCCCCAGGTGTCCCCCGTGGAGAAGAACACCAGTGAGACACTCTACTCCCTCAAGTTCGCGGAGAGGGTGCGCTCTGTGGAGCTGGGCCCTGTGTCCCGGCGTGCAGAGCTGGGATCCTGGTCGAGTCAGGAGCATCTGGAGGTACGGGGACAACACAGGCCAGAGTGGGAAAGAAACTTGGGATGGCATGGGCAGGGAGAAGAGGAGGAGCTTACAGGAGAAGTCACAGGCTTTGGACCAGGGGAAGCCACCAGAAGGAACTAGAACTTTACCTCAGCTGGGCAGCAGGCCTGGACCGAGGTAGTGAATTGGTCTCATAACACCCTTCTTACTGCTGAGGGAACTGAGGCTTAGGAGACTAGAGAAGGGAGTAGAGGAAAACACCGCATGGCCAGTGCAGCGGGACCCCAGGCCCTGCCTCTCTGTCCACAGTGGGAGCCAGCTTACCAAACGCCGCAGGCTTCAACGCGTGCCCACTCAGCACCCGGCTCTGGGACCACAAGCCGCGCTGGCTCCATCCGGAGGAAGCTACAGCCCTCAGGTGAGCCTGCCCCACCCAGCCCCCTGTTGCCCTCCCTGGGCAGACAATGCTGCATCCATCTCAGAGGGGAACCCCAAGGCTCTGTGATGGGACAGCTGCTGCCCCCTTAACTGGGCCTGCTGATAGGAGGCCAGGAGATGGTTTGGAGGCTGGGCTGGCTGGGTTCGGGGAAGCAGCACACCCTCTCAGCATAAACTCAGCATCCCTGGTCTGGGAACTGACAGAGAGGAAGCTGTCCAGGATGGGGTCCTGGCCCCAGGTAAGCCCTGCAGTGAGACCCCTGTCACTTTAATTTCAGTCTGAAGGCTGGGGCTGCACGGTCTCCAGGTGAGTGTGGGGCCAGCGGCCCAGGGCCCGCTGACTGCCCCCTGCCCACCCGCCTGGCCCGGGGCATAGGGCTGTGCTGGGAGTTCGGCTGCTCGGGGCTGGCTCTGTCCCCGCTGCCTGCTTGTCTGCGTGCTTTGCTGGGCTCTGTCCTATACTCGCAGTCCTACCATGGGCCCTGCAGCTGACAGCCCTATATTCCCCCTCCCACAGGGAAGTCAAGACCCGTGCCTGTGTGATGGACAGGGTCACCCTGCTGGGCCAGGGGCCTGAAGCTGCTGCACTGCAAGGGCTTCCTGTACCACGTTCAGGAGGAAGTAGCATCTTGGCTTGGGCACAGACGGCGTGAGCTGCAAGGGCAAGCCCGGGCCCATGAGGGGAGGGTGGGCCTCTGGCCGTCATGTACATAGTGTTCTTGGGGGTGTAGGAACCCCACCACCCAAGTTGTATTTATGGCCAGGGATCCCACTGCTCCCATCTGCCTGGTAGCAGGCATGGTCCTGGCTCATTGGCCTCCCGAGGCCCACCCTCCCTGAAATCCTATTTAAGAACTTTTGGAAGCTTAGCTGTTTTTACTTATTAAAATAAAAGCCTTTTTACACAAGTGTGGTCAGGGAGTGCTGGGTTGGTGAGCCTTGTTCACCCCTCCCCACAGGCAGGTAGGGACCCTGCCCCATCCTAACCCTCGATTACTTTTAGGAGGTGCCCATAGCAGCTGTCGGAGCCGTCCTGCAGCGTCAACTCTGCGTACTAGGTGGGGAACTATTGCCTGCTGCTGGGCTCCATGGTCCTCCTGGTGTCCCCAGGACCATGATGGCCAGCACAGCCCTTCCCAGGCCCGGGGAGACATGCACAGGGCTGAGGGGGAAGCTATACAGAGCTGCTCTCAGTGGACAGGGCAGCTGTTCCTGAAGGCATCTGGGGTGGGGGCGGAAGGGTAGACATGGCTGGGAGGCTGGAGACAGCTGGAGTATGGCTGAGACAAGGTGAGACCTTGCCCGTTTCTCCCAGCCATGGAGGGCAGGTCTGTCCCTCTACTGCCCCCTGCTGGTCACACGGCCTGCAGCCCTCCCCAGGGCTTGGAGTGACTGGTCTTGGAAGCAGCCAGGGCTGGCAGTGCTGGGAGAGTCTTGTGCCCAGGAGAGCAGGGAAGAGTTACAAATTTAATAAAATTCACCTTATAAATTACAGTAGCAGCCCTGGGGCTCAGTTCACTGTCCTAAGCAGGCAAAAGTCAGGCAAAGCTGGGCAGCCATTGCTGGAGTTCATCATCTTGCGTTCCAGGCTGCAGAGGTCTCTGGGGAGCCAGCACTGCCTTCTCCAGGACAGTTCAGGCGGGGGCTTGTGAGCCGGTGTACACACAGGGAGCAGGAGTCGACGCTGAGGCCAGGCCCAAGGCCTGCCCCCACCTGCTGGAATGCTCAGTCTAAACTGGCCATAAGCAGGTGTAGCTCTCGGAAGGCACTGCCATGGCGGCCACTCAGGCCCGACTTGCTCTTGACGAGGCCGCTGATGCTCTTGAGCTGCTTATAGCACAGCCGGCACTTGTGTAGCCTGCGGGTGGCAGGGCAGGGCAGCCCTGAGGACATCAGCCAGCCGACCTGGCCCAGGGGCCACCCAAGTTGTGCCCACCCCCACCCACAGTGCCTGACCCTCACCTCTCCTCCCGGCTGATGTCAACACCCACAGAGGGTGGCGCTGCCAAGATGTCTGTGATGAGGGGCAGAAACCGCTGCAGGATCAGCTTTAGGGAGGTGCAGCCCGTCTGCACATAGCTTCAGGGGCAGGAGCATGGAGAGAGAAGCTGAGAAGGGGGCACGGCCAGCAGACAGCCCGTCTGCACTATGCCCTGCACTACCCTATGTGTGCGGGGGGAGAAGGAGGCGGCAGGGACACTCCATAGCCAACCCCCGGGGGCCCTTAGGGACCCTCGTGCCCCTCCCGCCCGCAGGCGTGGCTCCCCAATTGCACCTCTCATATTTGCTCTGTAGAAGCTTCTCGACTTGCGGCAGGACAGTGGTGCACAGATCCAGTTTCCACAGGGAGCTGGGGAGAGGCAGGGGACATGCACTGTCAGCCCAGCCCAGCTCCCGTGGGCCCGCTCCCCCACGGCAGCCACTTACGCTTTTTGGTTGACAATGTTCAGCAGGTCCACTACTACCGAGAGGTCATTGATGGCCACAGCCGAGTCCACCGAGGTCTGCACAGACAAGAGCTTGGTCAGGGGTGGGACCTCTGCGCACATGTGTGGGTGTGGAGTGTGGGGTGATGGAGGGGGTCTGCCATGGGTGCTGACAACGATGTACCTCAAATGATAAGCTAAGGCCAGGCTGGGGAGTGGCTGCAGCTTGGGATGACAGTAATGGAAGAATTAAGAGTCCATCACAGCTCTGCCACTGGGGCTAGCCAGCCTCCCACTCAGCCCCTCCCTGTGCAGCCTCTGGGGTCTACTCAAGGGCCAGGCACTTGCCTTGATGTCACTTGTGGTCCACACAGCCCGCACAGTGTCCAGGTTCTTATGACGGCTGGTGAGCACCACACACATAGTGTCGTGCCCTTTGCGGATCTGCGACATGGCATCCTCGTCCACCAGCTCCGCCTGCTGCGGGATCTTCACAGCCTGTGGGGGATGGGCCCAGATGCCAGAGCTGGGGCTGTGGCAGGGCTCAGCCCCAACCTGGGGGGGGGGTCCCACTCCACTTACAGGCAGGAAGTCGGAGGCCTTGAGCCCGATGGGCTCATTCCGGGTGGCAGGAATGACGGCGGGCTCACCCTTGGGTGCAGATGCGGAGGTGATGGCCGGGGGCCGGGGTGGGGCCTCAAGCTGAAGGAGTGGAAAGCTCAGTAGGTGGTCACCTCAAGGGCCCCTCTCTGCCTCCCTCAGCCAAGAGCCCATCCCTGCAGTGCCCACACTGCGCCCCACCCTCCACTTCAGACGTACATTTGGCATTGGGAACGGCACATCCATGGCTGGGCTGGGCTTTGCTGCCTCCTTCACTGTGGGCGTATCTGAGAAGGACAGGCCAGGATGGCCAGGCCAGGGCAAAAGGGGCTGTGAGTGGGGGCAGAACTCAGGTGGGTAATGGGAATGCAGCGGGAGCCCAGGGAGGGCAGAGGCTGGGCTTGTCCCTCCCCTCTCCTTGGGGGCTTAGACTCAGGAGTCCTCACTGGGCACATAGGATATGCCGTAGGGGACGTAGCGTGAGTGTATGATCATGACGAGGTGGAGGAGAGAGGGGGGCTCTGAGGAAACCCAGCTTCAGGAGGAGGGTGGGGAGAGATGCCCATCCCACCCTCTCTAGCATGGGGCCTGAAGGCGCAGCCAGGGCCCTTGGGGAGTTCCCTGCCAGGGCTCACCCAACTCCTGCTGCTGACTTCCAGGCACTGCCCTCTTGCTTCTTGCTGGTCTGTCTGTCTCTCCTAACCTCTCCCTCTCACCCCCACCCCATGTCCACTGGCAGACACTCCCTAGCTGCAGGTGCACGGCTCGGTCACCAGAGCCACGCACAGGCTGGGTACACAGTAGGTGCACTGAGAAGAGTGAGGGAAAAGACCAGGGAGAGAGGGGCTGGAGGGAGAGCAGGGAGCAGGGAGGCCTGGGTGCATGAGCTCATAGGGAGGACACAGGAAGACTGGGGGAATCCCAGCAGGCCAGGCCCTGCCCCTGACTCACCATCCTCTGGGGGTGCTGGGAAGGGTTCACTTCTTCGGGGTGGTGTCCGGCCTGAGGAGGCAAAGGAGGCCAAGGACTCAGCTGAGCTTGCCCAGGGCTTCTCTGTGAGCCTCCAGGGCTCTATCAGCTTACAGAGGGGTGGGGTTAGGGAGAGTGGTGGGACAGAAGGTGCTTCCCAGGCACACAGCTGCGGGCCGGGGATGCTCGTCCTGCCCCTTCCCAACTACCCGGCCCCATGGGCCTCCCCTTTGCTCAGGCTCTACTGCGGGGTGCTAGTCCCATGGGGGCACATCCCAGCAAGGGCCAGGACAAGGACAGCACTGGGAACCCGGGTGTGGGTAAGCAACCAAGGGGAGGGGGCATGGACAGGATGTTCAGCCACCCCCACAAGCAGGGGCCCTGCCCTCACTGATGCTGTTCTTGGGCTGGAAGATCTCATTGTAGTCCTCAGCATTCTGGATCTCAGCCCGAGACTCACGCTCGTCCCGGTCCTCCTCACTGCTGGGACTGCGCCGTTCACTCTCCGAGTTCTGCTTTACCCTGTGAGCGTAGGACCGTGCACCAAGGGAGCCGGGGCCCTGGTGAGGCCAGGGTAGGCGCCCCACACCCCACCCCAAGTCTTTCCTGTGATCCTCCTATATACCTCCCTGATCCATGCCCTTCACTGCAGTCCCCCACCCCAACCCACCTCTGAGGCTTGCTACAGGTCGTGCTGGGCCGCTCATAGATGCGCCGGAGTGGGACACTGGGGTTGGGTGGCTGCTGCGCCAGGGGCCGGCTGTCCTGCACGGGATCCTGGGCTACCGTGCCCGTCCTGGTAACCCGGGTCAGGTCCACCACGTAAGAGGAGACATTGCTCTGGGAGATGGCCACACCTATCTGCAAGAAGCAGCAAGGCTAGGGCTGAGGGCCAGGGTCAAGGTCCTGGCCAAGCAGGGTGGGAGCAGGCAAGCAGAGCCTGAGGCAAAGGTGGGCAGTAGGCGCTGTGGCCCTCTTACCAGCTGGTCGTTGCAGATGGCTAGGTCAGCCACCTTGCCCCAGTTGACGAGGACCACGTCAAAGCAGCGCTCGGGCTCCCAGCCATAGACACGCAGTGAGTCCTGGCAGCCGCTGTACAGGCAACAGCCATCGGGGTTGAAGAGGACGCTCCTGGGCCAGGAGAGAGGTGGTTGTGGGTCAGGGGGCACCCAGCCTGGGCCCCCACCCTGCCTCAAGAAACCTGGGGGGAGTTTAGCTGAGGGAGGGAGGGAGAAGCAGAGATGTGGCCAATCTACCCGTTCCTGCGTGCCACTTCCTGGAGCCTGGGCCAGCCGACCCATGACCCATCTACACATCTGGCTGCCCACGTACCTCACTGGCCCCGGTTCTCCTTCGATGCAGCTCACCACCTGGAACTTCTCTAGATCCCAGAATCGGATTGTCCTGCAGAGGCAGCCACACTGTGTCACCCTCCACCTGCTCCTGGCTTCCACAGAGGCCAGGAGCCACCCCATGACAGGGCCAGCAAGAGCAACATCTGAGCTAGCCCTGCACAAGAAGAGGGTGAATACTGCCCCAGGCTGAGGCCAAAAACCCTGTCCCCAGGGCTAGCTGTGACAGCCACAGGCCTCTCTGTACTGTGAGTCTCCCTGCCCCCTTTAGGGGTCTTGGCTTCTGGCATGCTCAGGTCACCTAGGCCAGCTGACTGGATGGAGAGAAGGGACTAGGCTCTGCTCCCAGCTTGGCTGGAAGCCAGCACAGTCTCTACTAATTGGGTGACCCTCCAAAGCCAGCAGCCACGGCAGCACACCTGCTTCCGCTCACCTGTCAGAGCTACCGGAGGCCAGGAGGTACTCGTTGGGGTGGAACTCCACTACGTTGACAGGCCCTGTGTGGCCAGGAAACTCGGACATCATCTTGCCAGCAGTCAGGTCCCAGAGCTGGGGCAGAGAGGGTGCTGGGATCATGGTCAGGCCGGGCCCCTCAGTGGCCTGTGTACCTTTCCTCCAATCCAGCCCTAGACAGGGGAAGGGCATGGGCTGTGCCAGCCCTGCTGAATGTGGGGCAGCCTCCCCACACCCAGATCAGGCCAGGGCCTACCTTCACCATGTGGTCGTCTGCAGCCGATGCCAACCACTTCCCATCGGGGCTAAACCGGAGACACCGCACGGCCTGGCTGTGCCCCTGTGGAGAAAGAGGGGCCCCGAGCTCATGACAGGGGTTGTGGGGCACCCTAGAAGTTCTGGGCCACACACTCAGGTCATTTGGGAAGAGACCACATGCTATGCCCCCTTCTTTTAACACTAAAAGCTCTAGAAACCTCCAACAATGACACTTTTTACTGGACATGGAGCACATATGGGTGCCTAAAAGAACACAGCGCTGGTACCTGCCTGTAAGCCCAAGGCCCGGGTAGAAGAGTGCAGCTCGGGGAGAGATGCATGCAAAGCCAGGAGTTCAGAGGGGCTGCCCCCACCCGCCTACCCCATGTGGTTCACATGCCCACCCCTGCCAGGGCCCAGGGCCAACTGTGCCCGACAGTGGGCACCGTTCTTACCCGGTATCGGAAGACACAGCCTTTCCTCCTGATGTCCCACAGCTGCGGGGAGACAGGGGCAGGCAGGAGAAGTCAGGCTGGTATGCTGGAACCCAAGCCAGCAGACAGGGAACAACCACAGCACACAAGGACCCTCCAGGTCAGGACCCCTTCCCCCACCCCCGCCAGGGGTCTGGAAACCGCTCAGCGACACTGGACATTCCACCAGACAGAAGTGTTTGACAAACACCTGTAGGTCCCTTCCCCTGGTGGTGGCAGTGACAGGGGAGGTAGTGACACTGCTACAGAAAGGGAAGAAGCCCCTGACACAGAAAGCCAGCACTTGAGGGCCACCCAGTGGGAGACAGCAGTCCAGGGCGGCCCCTCACCTTGATGTTTGTGTCCTGGGAACCGGAGGCCACGAACTCGCCATAGGGATGGAAATCCAGGCTGCAAATGTTGGCTTTGTGTCCCATGAGGGTGCGAAGAACTACCAAGGGAGCGGGCAGAGAGAGCGGTATGAGTGGCACATGAGCTGCCAGAGGGGCTGCCAGGAACTGCACAGAGCCCCAGATGACAGGCGAAGGGGAAGGCATCATGGGGTGGCTGCTCAACAGCTGCTCCTGGGGATGCCTACACCCCTCAGAGTGCCCGGGATCAAGTCCTGCCTCTGCCTCTCACCCAGTTCCCTGTTAATGAACCTGCGAAGGCAGCAGATGATGGCCCAGGTGCAGACTGGGTCCCCTGGCACCCACAGGGGAGGCCTGGACTGAGTTCCGGGCTGCCAGCTCCAGCCTGCCCCTACTGTTGTGGGCATCTGGGGAGTGAATCAGTGAGTGGAGGATCTCTCACTCTGTCATTCATATAAATAAAATGCTCTTTAAACAACAATAATAATAAAAGGCAGGAAGAACCACACCCCTCCATCAACTCATTCTGTTTCCTTCCTAAGCACCTGCAGCCGTCTCTGCCGTCACTCAAGTCAGCAGCAGATGAAGCACGCGCTCCCCACAGCCCCTGCAGGCTCTCCCCTGAGCAAAGCCCCAGAGCCGGGCAGCCCCAGGAGCTCAGAGTCCACGCTCAGCAGGGCATCTGGTCCTACCTGATAGCACAGGGCAGGGAGGAGGAGAGGCTCAAACTGTGGGAAGAAAGCCATTTAGTTGAAAGGAGAGAAGTCCAGGAAGGCTTTATAGAATAAGTACCATTTGAGCAACTAGCTCAAGTGGAGGATCAGGGATGCCATGTTGGGCACATGGGGGTGGTGGGCAAAAACTCTGAAGGAGCATGTCTCGGTGCACCTGTCTGGGTACTCTGGGTTGATCTAGTCTGAGGGATCCTGAGGTTGGCCTTGGGGACAAGCTGTGGCAGCCTGGGACCAAGCTTCCATCCTTTAGGCTTGCACAGGCACCTCCGTGGCCAGGCCTGGCCCTGCCCAGAGGCAAGCCTTGCTCTATCTTGGGGTGTTATCTGGTACCAAATAACTGCATCTCCTGCATCTAGCTCTCTGAAAGATTTATAGCTGCCCTGTGGGAAGGCAGCTGATCAGCCCAAGAGTGGCAGCCAGGGGACAGAGGGCACAGTCCTCATGTTCATGGGCCTCAGCCTGCAGCTGTACCTGGGCCAGGGGAGCGTGGCTGTACCAAAGCTGCTAGAACAGGGCCAGAAAAGGACAGGACAGGATGAGCTGCTGTCCTTTGTCAGGGCCTGGGGACAAAGTCTACTCATCCATTCTTGCCACTGTGAGCCCCAGAGCTGGGACCATGCCCCCTTCATATTTTCCCAGGAATCCCATGCTGCCTGCCCACTGGCCAGCTCCTGCTCCAGGCCACACCCACGCCAGCCCACTTGCTTTCCACCAGGTGCCAGCTGCCTTCTCTGGGCTGTGCAACCTGGCCCTCTGGTGGCGCTGGGGAGAGCAGGCAGGACTACATTCTTCAATCATGATTTGTGTCCGCACTTAGCCCGTCCCAGAGAGGGCAGCAGAAGGCCTCCCAAGGCCCAGACTCAGCCCCAGGGGCGTCTGGGGTCTGTCTGGGAGTCTGCCAGGGAGGCATCTCTCAGTCCTCCCAGGGGAGCCAGCAGCTCCGTCTCCGCCTGGATTCCCTTCCTCCCCCTCAGTGCTGGGTAGCTTTTCCGAGTCACCGTGACAGCTGGGTCCTCCTAAATCTGGGGCCTCAAAAGGCATCTCTGTCGCTGTCACCCACACTCTGGTAGGAGTTGGGGGGTAGGGAGGGGCAGTGCCGAGGTCTTAGCTCTTGCAGCTGAAAATAAGCTGCTGCTCCCCCAAGGACCCCTAACATAAGACAGCAAGCAGTGACAAGTGTTCTGATTTCTACCTCCACTGACAGGAGACCTCACCAAGGTGGGGGCCTGCCCCGGGTCTCATTCACTTTCCTGTCATACACAGGGGCCCTTATCAACCCAGCTCCAGGCTCCAATCGGCCAGAAGCCAGCCAGGTTTTGTGGGGACAGGGTGTGGGCCCTGTGGGGAGTTAGCCCCGGAATCAGAGGCCTTCAGGCTGCACGCCCTGGGCACCAGGAGGGACTCCACTAGGGTGGAAGACCTTCTTGGCTGGGAAAGCCTGGGGCAGGGGACACAGTGCTCCTGGCTTCTCCCTCTTGTCCCATAAGCACCTGACCTCTGTCCACTGGGATTCGGGTGCAGGCCAAGGTGTCTGGGAGGCCTGAGCTGCACCTCCTCAAAGCAGCCCCATCCTGGGGTAGCTCCTTCGGCCCACCTAAGTCCAGCAGGCCCCTGGCAGTGGGCTGCATGCTGATAGCAAAGCACACAGCCCTGGGGCACTGTGGTTCCCAGCCTGATCGGAGAGCCCCAGGCTGACAGAGAGCCCCCTCTTCTCCAGCACAGCATCCCTTACCACTGGGCTTGCATGCTGCACAACCACTACCTTGTATAGGGTGGGGAGTCCCTTCAGAGTCTCAACCGGGCAGTGGGACACTTGCTCTTCTAGAAAAATCAGCCTTAGCAAAACCCACACAGGCAGGGCCAGACGCTGCTGAAAAGCAGGGAGCAGCACCTCCCGGTGCCAACCTACATGGAATTCTGCAAGCCAGGTTGGGTCAGTTGTTAATACTGAAGAAATGGCTGATTCACAGAAAGGGCCAGCTTCTCCTGAAACACACTCAGGGAACCCCATCCTGGAGACGGTGATACACCTCATGTGGTCCAGCACCGAGAGCCCGGAGTTCAAACAGTGGACCCAGCGAGGACCTGGTACAGGGACGGAAACAGACCCACCCACACGAGTCTCATCACTGCAGGAAGTCAGAAGATGGGGCTTGTGAGGACTGAGCGTCTAGAGGGACACAGGCAGATACAGAAAGGGGAACGGAGCAGACCCTATGTACAGGATCTGACGGCAGCCCTGGCACTTGAAAGGCTGCAGGGTGAACCATTTCCTACTCTGCAACGTCTAACAAAAGCCTGGGATATAGAAGCAGGCTGCCTTCAGCATGGACAGCCGCTGACCCCATGCCTGCTGGAGACCCTTTCGTGGTAAGCAGTGGGAGAATGAGCAGCCTGGGATAGAGAGAGCAGAAAGCAACCAGGATGGCAGAGCGGAAGCCACTGCAGCAGAGAAAGGCACAACTCCATGTATGGGGGGAGATGGGCAGGGGTCGGGGCAGCTGGGCTACAGGCGCCCACGCTCCCAGGCCACCAGGCTCTGGGTTATGGGCCTGGCTACTGAGAAACAAGATAGCATTCCCTTTTCCGGCCAAGGATGTGGAGATGAACTGGCTAAGAGGGAAACAGACACAAAGACTTATGGATTCCAACTTGTATGAACACTCAACTGTGTATGGCACACATGTGGTCCTGACAACGTGAGCCCTGGCTGTATAAACAGGGATCCTGGGAGGAGGGCTGTCCCAGGTGGCGGGGTTGGGGTTCTTATGGGAGTTCAGGCTGCCTTCTGCACAGGAGGGCAGCAGTATCTACTGCCCTCAAAAAGGGCATCTACTAGTCTCAAAAAGACCAGACAGAAATTGTAACATAATTACGATTCCAAAAGTGGAGGTGATCAACACAACAAAAAAATCAAAGAAGTAGAAGTCATAGCTCCTGGCTTGGGGAGGAGGGCACAGGCCTCCTTTTCTAGAGACTAACTGTACACCTGCCAGGACTCGACTTTTTACACTAGCTAACCGCAACTTCCCCCACAGGGAAAGCTACACTCAGATGTGCAAAACACAGGCAAGCCTGAGTACTGCCTCCAGCCTTGCTGGGGCCCACATGCCTGCAGGAAAGCTAAGTGGGGACCACGCAGGGGTTGCCCCAGGGTACCGCAGCTTACTTCAGCCCACTTTACCACTTCACTCCTTCATGGGTCCTGCAAGGCTCTTGCTCGCATCTGATGTCCTTCTGGGTTCTGAACACACACATCCATGTATATACACAAAGCCATGCACACAACCATGCACACACACATACCCATGCATACACATATACACCCATGCACACACACATAGCTACACACATACCTCTTATCAGGCTTTTCATTCAGACATTTCGTGCGCACCTCCTGTGTGCCAGCTACTTAAGGGGCAGCACTGCATGCCCCTGCCAGGCTAACGGGCAGAGGTGGGTGCCACCCAATCTTGTCAGTGCTTCAGCAGCTGACCTAGTCATGGTGGGCTTTGTGGAGGAAGCAGCACAATGACAAAGCCGCGAGGGGAGCCCAGGCAAGCGGGGTGGGGGCAGCTTGGAGGCCTACTTTTGGCAGCTTCCAGGTCCCAGACGCGGATGGAGCCTGACTGGGAACCCGCCACGATCAGCTCCTCAGGGGTGTTGAGGCGGACGCTCTCCACTGGGGACGTGTGGCCCGTCAGGCTCTGTGGAAGAGAGAGCTGCAGCTTCAGGGGGTGCACACAGTTTGCCCCAACTCACCCCTGAATTCAGGGTCTGTGGGAAAGACTATAGCGGGAGTGGGCAGCAAAGGGGGCCCACTGTGGGCCACTTCTGAGCAGCCTCACTCAGCTCCCGGGGCTCACCAGGAAACCGAAGCCCAGGCCCCCCTCTGTCCTCAGCTCCCAGCTGTGCTCTGCTCCAGACATCACTAGCAGACCAGACCCTTGCTCCTGCAAAGGGAGCAACCAGGCCACAGAAGCAGCTGTGGTGTCTTTTGTTAAGACTTACTTTATCTGTTTGAAAGGCAGAGTTACAAAGAGACGGGGTGAGGGGGGTGGGGAGGGTGGGCAGGGCAGCAGGAGGGAGTAAGGGCTTTCATCTACTGGTTCACTCTCCAAAAAGTTGCAGTAACTAGAGCTGGGCCAAGTCAAAGCCAGGAGCTTCTTCTGGCCTCCACGTGGGCATAGGGGCCCAAGCACTGGGCCATATTCTGCTGCTTTTCCACACATTAGCAGGGAGCTGGATCTGACGCAGAGCAACGGAGACTAGAACTAACACCTATGTGGGGTGCTGGTGCTGCAGGTGACAGCTTAAGCAGCTATGCCCCAGAACTGTAGTCTCTTTAGTGCTAAGACCACAGAGCCCTGTCTCAGAGTTGGCTCCCAGCTTCCGCCTGGCTCCAGCCTGCCCCTCAGCAAGGGAGCAAGGGCAAGATGAAGGCTGGGCTTGTCACAGCATACTCCTGGAGTGCCTGGCCCCTGGGGTTGCTGGCTGCAGGTACCGTGCTCACACAAGCCAGCAACATACACCTGTACCAGCCAACACCATGCATATGCCCACAGGTGAGAGGACACAGGCAACAAAAACGCTCACTGGGCAGGGTCCCATGTTGTGGCACAGCACGTTAAGCATCTCACAGTGGAGTGCCACTTTGTACCCTGGCTGCTCTGCTTCCCATCCAGCTTCCTGCTAATGCTCCTGTCAGACAGTCTGAATGCTTGTGCCCCTGTCACCCAGGTGGGAGATGAGGATAGAGTTCTGGGCTTTTGGCTTCAGCCTGGCCCAGCCCATTTAGGAAGTAAACCAGTGAAAGGAAGATATTCTGCCTTTCAAATAAATTATGCATGTTTGAAGAAAAAGGAAAAGAAATGACCCTCCTGGGAACAGATCAGGAAAGCTGTAGTCAGCCAGGCAAGTGGGGTACTACGTATGCAGCTGCAGGAATGAGTGAGGCCACTCTTCCAATAAGGGGACCAAACTACAACCATCTGTTTGTGTGTGTATAAGATAATTCTGGAAGGACACAGAAAGAACTGGGCACCGCAAGGAAGGGGTGCAGGGACCTGGGGAGGGAGGAATACATTTCTCCAAGGCTGAAGAGCGTTAACTGTGTACCTGAAAATAAACAGCAGCAGCCGCAGGGGTCTGGGGCAGCAGTCAAGACAGCACTTACGCTGCCTGCATCCCAGAGCAGTGTGCAAGTCTGAAACCAATCTCCACCTCTGCACCCACGTTCCTGCACACCCTGGGAGGCCACAGGTACTTGGGTCCCTGCCACCTGCCTGACAGACTTGTGCTTGGGCCTGGCCTCACCCTTATCACTGTGGGCATTTGGGGACTGAACCAATGAATAGAAGATCTCTCTCTCTCTCTCCCTTTCAAACAAAATAGAAGTAAACAAAAATTTGCAGACCCAGTAATGGAGATGAGCAGAGCAGGAACGTGGACTTCCCTTAGAGGGAGCAATGCAGGCTGAGTCCCAGTGACATAGCATCTGCCAGGTGGAAGCTGGTTAAAGGCCTGGGTACAGGTCTATGGCAAGCCAGCGGACACAGCAAGTTTGGCTGGGGTCTGAAGGCTGCACATGGTATCCAGGAGAAGCCCCCAGGCTGGACCCCACACTACTAACTGTGCTTCTCTCGGGGCTCAGAGCACGGATCATTCCACATCCTATATTGGGTCAGTCTTTATTAATTTACGTATTCTAAGTGTTGGGGGGAGCAGATATATATCTTTCAGAAAGCAAGGGAGGAGAAGTAAGGAAGTAAGGGAATAAGGGAATAAGGGAGGGAAGGAAGGAAGGAAGGAAAGGGAAGAAAAGTGAAGGAAGGAAGGCAGGGAACTATTTCAGCCTGATTCTAGCACTTAGTTCTGGTTCAGGCAGATCTCAGCTCCTCCCACAGGAGTGCACAAAGACCAGCAGTGATGAAGTTTCTGCTAGCCAGCATCACCTCCCACCATCATTTTCCTTTGTGTTGCCCTGGCTGAGCATCCAGAGAACGCCATTCCCTGTGCTGGCAGGGGCACGCAGGGAGAGGGCCATGGCCCGCGCTGCAGCTGGTGAGCAGGTAAGCCGATTTCTGTAGGGCAAGTTTGGCAATGGGCTTTAAAAGGCTTTTAAGCAAGTGCATACCCTGGGATTTGACACAACCATCACAGGTCTGCTTCACATGCAGGGAGACGTTTACCAGTGCAAATTAGCAGGGCCAAAAAATCCAAAGACACCCTTCCTGCTGATGACAGGGCGTGGCTAAGCTAATTACAGCCTAGCACACAATGGAATACCATGAAGCCTTTAAAACTCCGCTTGTAAAACAGCACATGTTGACATAAAGAAATCCCTGCAACATTGTTATTCCAAAACAATAACTACACAGAATAAGATTATTCTTATTCTGAAGATATGCTCTTATGCACTTACGTGTATGTGCATTTACACACATGCCTACATGTATATACAAGCACACCCACATGTGCACGCACACATACCTAATTTCAAGCCTCTGGGAGGACACAGACCAAAATACCAACCACAGTGCTTTAGGGATAACACAACTGTGTTTAGATACCATTATTGGTTTTTGTTTTGCACCATTCTTGCCTGTTTGGGCAGTTTTCAGCACTGAATATAGTTGTGTAAATGGGGGTAAAAGGATACTGTTAAAGAACTAGTTCTCTAACCAGAATGGGAGTGAATGCCCCCATGGGAGTGACAGGTGGGCAGGGGAGGGCTTCAAGTCTTCCCATTCAACCACTGGCCTACGGTTTATTTGACCTTTATGTAAAAGCACTGAAAGTTCTCAGCCACAGCCAGGTGACTCTCATTTCTGAAAGCCAACGACTGGGTTGTCCTGGCCTTATGTGGGTGGGGCCTCCTGAGTGGCCACGCCCCCAGCACCAGCCCCCATCGGCCCGCCCCCAGCTCACCATGATGCAGTTAGGCTTGTTGATGGACCACAGGTTGACACGGCAGTCCTCCCCGCCTGTCGCCAGCAGCCGCCCAGAGGCTTTGCCCAGCACAAGTGAGGACACATTGCTGGCATGGGCCACAATCTCCTCTGCAAGGAAGAGGGGAGAGCAGCAGTCAGCAGCCTGGCAGGGCCTCGGGCTCGGAACCAGAAGCTCAGACTCCACCTATGCACAGTAAGAATGGGAGCCAGGGCAGGTGTGGGCCCAAGGCAGACATGGCTGTTCTCAGCTTGGACCATTCCTCTTATCACTGTAACTTTCACTGCACATCATCCGGCAACGCTGATGCAATCGTTAAAATTAACTTGCTAGTTTTAGATCATTCTTTCAACAATATTCATGAAATTACAAGTCTGCCCTGCTCTTGATATTTTGCCACAATGAAAAACACCAGAAACATTTATTAAAGTAAACAACATTGACACATCCATCTGGAAACACAGACTGTCTTGGGGAACACACTTCAGGAACAATTCAACAGGCTGGTGCTGTGGCTCAGTGCGTGAAGTTGCCTCCTGTGGTGACACTGGTTTCCCATGTGGGCACCGATTCATGAAGGCCTGCTCTATTGCCAATCCTGCTCCCTGCAAAGGGCCTAGGAAAGCACCAGAGGAAGGCCCTTGAGTCCCTGCTGCGACCCACACAGGAGACCTGGACGCAGCTCCAGGCTCCAAGGTTCAGCCTGGCCCGGCCTGGGCCTCTGTGAACATTTGAGCAGTAAACCAGCAGATGGAAGATCTGTCTCTGTAACTGTGCCTTACACACACACGTAGGGGGCCAGTGCCGTGGCACAGCAGGGAAAGGTTAAAAAAACTGAACAATTCAAGTCACCTTGGGACATGCTGCTTGGGACACCAAGGGAGCTGACATGGAGTATCAGTTCTGGTCTGGATATTGCAGACACTGGGTGGCCTTAGATAAGTCACTTGATTTCTCTGAGGTGGGTCCCTCGTCTGATGGAGAGAGACAGCAATGGTGCCTGTCCCCTAGGATTGTTAAGAGACCTTGTTGAGGGGGCTTTGGCAGGTGCTCTGTGGTTCCAGGCTGGCCAAAGCATGGGCTACACAAGGCAGGACAGAGGGTAGCAGAGTGAGTAGATGGAGTGGGGCCAAGCTGACCAGACGGAACAAGAGATAAGGGCTGTGGGCAGCCCGAAGGGAGGAGGAGGGATGTGGCCTGGACTGGTGGGCAGCAGCAGGGACCACAGATATAGCAACCTCAGGGGGCCCTGTCAGTGCCCCAACAGCAGGACAACACAGACAAGCAGCCAAGAGGGGACCCCTGGCTGTCTCCCTGTGCTGGAGCTGCAGACCAGGAGGCAGGAAGATGGGCCCAGAAAATCGGCTGGCGAGGCAGCCTGACTCAAAGGAGCTATGCCAGTGTTGGGGATCAAGTCCCAGGCCCAGCCTCACACAGATCACCCACCTTGGGACCAGGCTAGGGCAGCACCCAGCCCAACAGGGACAGGTACACTGGGTGCAGTCCAAATGTGAGGCAGGTGTTGGAGACCCAAGGGAGCTGGGGCCCTCTTCAGCTCTAATCTCTCCTTGTGGGACTATGTCTGGAGGACTCTGGCCCAAGATGCTCATCTGTTTAAAAGCTCTAACCCCACCCAGAACGCAGGCAAAGCCCTTTCTCTGAAGACAGCCCTGCAGGTACTGTCCTCTACCCACCACCTGCCCAGAGGCCTTGGGCTCTCACTCCTGCCAGGAAAAATTCCACCTGGGCTGCACCACACTCAGGACCACGGGCCTGGAGATGGCCATTAATTCCCAGCATCAGCACATCCCGGGCATCTTCTGGGCCTGGTGCTTGGGAGCCTGGTTCATCAGATAACTGGCTCCCGATCCAGGGCACAGAATGGAAAGATTGTAGACTTTGGGATAAAAATAACCGACAGGTTGGATCTTTCTAGAAGGGCCCAGATTTATTCCCCTCTAAGCAACCTAACTAGGAACTGACTGGAGCCCAAGGAGGGATATAGGAGTTGGGGCTGTGGGAGACCCCAGCAAAGAGGGACACGGGGCAATGGCCTAAAAGCAATGCTCTGAAGGCTGGCTTGGGAGGACAGCAGCTACCCATGACCCAGCCTGGATACATCATTTGCATGCATGTAGCAGGTAAGCCAGGTGCCAGGTGCTGTGCATAAATCTATAGCTATGCCCCCAGCTCTGGACCAAAGCTAGGCTCACTTTGCTTTCTGGCCTGTGGTGCCAAGGGCTTGCAGGCTAGATGAAAGGCACAAGGAACTGGACATAACAGCCCCCATGCTGGCCAGGCAGCTTCTGCTCCTCACCAGCCCAGAGCCACAACGAGCCAGAGGCCACATGGTTCCAAGCTCTGTGTATGGGCCACGACCTTGGAGACCACAGTGCACAGGAAGCTGCTGGTAAGACTGGCTACTGCGTGACTGCATGACCTCCTGCATGAACACTCTCATGGCTCGGCCTGACCTCCAGGATGAAGCCACGGTCTCAGAAGGGCTGGAAGCTCAGGGACACAGCCCCGGTGGAACGCACCACCTTCCAGGGATGCCTTGCTCTCCCGCTGCAGAGGCACACCCACCCACAGCCTACAATTGGCCTGCTGCCTGCCTGAGGCCTGCTGCACTTGCTACTGCTGGAGTCTCTGGCAATCCTGGCCCCACCCAGCCCCATCATTCTGGGCAGCTGATGGCAAGCTCAGGCTCTACAGCCTGGAATTAGAGAAGGAGCCATGGACCGAGGAGGTTGTGAGATTACTGCCTGTGGCTTCCCAGGCTCTGAACCCTTCCCCAGTGACCTCGTCAGTTCTTTCTTCCTCTGCCTCCCCAGAACCTGTTTCTATGCTTTTCCAGAAGGTGCATGATACAGGATGACACCAGCAGTAGTGGCACGTTTGACCACAGGCATGCCTGAGTTCTAACACACCTGTATTCACGTCTACTGATTGGGAAATCCTGACTATGGAAAGGACGGATGCATAAGCCCAGCTACACAACACTACTCTGTGCAAAGTGTACCATAACAGGGAGCTCTCACACCCAGAAGCTCAGGAGAATGATTAAGGAAATCGAGACCCAGCAAAGGGTCTGGCCTAGGGTAGCAGCATTTATACAAAAGGTAAAGCCTTATACCAGCTCCCCAGGACAGCCCAGCAACAGCGCAGAGCAGGGGTGCCCAGGTGGAGCACATCAAAACCTGTGCCAACCAGGAACTACAGCTAGGGTGGGCCCACACAGATCCTAACGAGTAGAGCATTCTTAAAACACCTGGGGACCCTTCAGGCCCAAGAAGACAAACTATATTCACAATAGGATGAAGACGGCGACTGCCTTCGGCAATCTCATTGGCTCACAAGCTCATGGTAGAATTTTCCAGAAGGTGCATGATACAGGATGACACCAGCAGTAGTGGCACGTTTGACCACAGGCATGCCTGAGTTCTAACACACCTGTATTCACGTCTACTGATTGGGAGGCAAAATGAAAGCACGTGGGGGTCCCCAGCAACTTAAGTATGAAGGGGACTTGGAATGAAAGAGCCTAGCACCACCAGCACAGGGCAGGAGTCCACTGCCCCTCAGCCTGCCTGCCTTCTTCCACCCCTAGACCCAGGCGCTTCCTTCTGGGGGGAGGAGTCTGACATTTTAAACCATGAAAACACCTAGGAGTCCTCCTCACGCCATCCCACCTGTCCGCCAACTGGAAATCAGTGCTGAGTACTTTCTCCTGGTCCTGGTCCCACTGGAACGCATAGTCACTCCAGAACAAAAGCATGAGGATCTCAGAGCGGCCACCCCATCTGGCCGGTGTCACTGAGCTAACAAGTGACTGACATCTTGGTCTATCTTACAAGACCCAAGAACCTGTCCCCTCACCCTAGTCCACTCTGGGCCCAAGAGCCAGAGACGAAGACACAGTTTCAAACCACCCAGGAACATGCAGTTCACAAGATAAACAGAGGCTGTAGGGATGGGGGGGAGAGGATAAGAAAATGGAAAAATTACTCACGCAACTTCCAGGCAGTCTTGGTAACCACTGGGGTGGCCATCATTCAAGGGCCGGCACGCCAGAAGCTCCACCCACAAAGAAACCGCTTTCCTCTTGGGGTGGGGGGTGGATCCCCCCCAGATCCACCAATTAAGTTGGCAGGAAGTTCCCACACATCCAGGCAGAAGGAATGCTGCGTCTTCTGGGGACCTGGGCTGTTTAAATCTTCCACGGCAGCCAGCAGTCTGTGCACATTTGCCGGGACCTGGGAGCATGTATGGAGCGTCAGACTGGAGCCATTTCAGCTCAGCAGCGGCCTACGGTACACACACAACGGAAGCAGCTTGTTAGGAGACACCTGAGAATGGCCATGGGCCATGCAGCTCTGAGATGCTCCAGTGGGGACACCTGAGCTAGGAAGACACGGAACCCAGGCAGAAAGGGAGGTCCTGCCGAGAGATGGGATGAAGGGAATGCAGCAGGCAAGCTGGCAGCTGCAGTGAGGCAGGGAGGAGCACGTGTCTGCAATTCACACAGATTTCTAGCAGGCATTGCTTCTGCCCACCCTCAGGGACACAGGGTGGAGCTAGAGGTCAGATTCAGAAACTAGGGGGGGGAAGACACCCCACAGACAGCCATCCAAGTCCTCGCTGGGGAGAATTTCAAGGGAGGGCCTGAGAGTCCAGACACCTGCCTCCCGCATCCAGCTCCCAGCACAAGCACCTCCCCACCCTCCCCGGTCGCCTGTGATGCCCAAGGACAGCGCAGGGAAATGGGCTTCCAGACCAGGTGACAGTCAGTGTGTCTTCCACCCAAATCCAGAAGGCCACATCCCGGGGATTCTACCCCTTTCTGGCACCCTCTTCTTCTTTCCTATGAATCCTCTCCCCCTGCGCTCCCGGTCTCCTGGGGCCCCCTCGCTTCTGCCCCTCTCTAGACTCCTGCGCTCTCAGTCGCGCACATCCTGGCTCCCAAACTCCCCAAGTTGATCTCCATCTCGCTAGAACCCCTTTCTTCCCCCATTCATTCACGCTCCGGTGTCTCGCGTCCCACTACCCACCCCAGCAGGCCCCCGAGCCAGCTCTGCTTCCGGCCTCCCAGGTTTCCCCCCTCCGGCCTCCACTTTGGTTCCACTGGTCCAGAGGCAACGGGCTGGTCCGTCAGCCCCGACCGACCCTCCCACCCCTTTCAGCTGCAGGGGCACTGGCTCTAATTTCCCCCTGCCTGGAGCCCGCTCTGGGCGCCCGGCCGGCCCCGCCTCGCTCGGCCCAGTTCAGCACCCATCTTCCCTTCGGCCTCCTCGCCCCCCTGCCCACCCCACCTGCAGCTGCGGCTCCGGAGGCCGAGGCTCCGCTCCAGGCGCGACCCCCACTTGCTTCCATCCCCTGCTCTGATTGGCGGCTGCTTGACAACCGACCCTCACAACAAAACCTCCGGCGTAGAGCCCCGCCCACCTTATCTCCCACACCAATCAGCCGCCATCGACGCTCCACCTACTGCCAGAATTGACCAATGCAAGTAGGCGCTTCTGCCGCTTTTCCTGAATACCCGCCCCCTTTTCCCCTGAATCTGACTACTCCTGAGGAAGGAGCGTTCAAGAGCCGCCCCTCGGCCTCTAATGAATTAATGTGCGCTGCCATTTTTCTTGGTACCGCCTCCGCCTAGAGCTTTTCCCGTTCCTCCTCTTCCTCGAATCAGTTTGCATTTAAAATTTTGAGAAACGCCCTGCAGTGGTCGCTGCGCCAATCGCTATAGTAGCCGTCTTGGATTATCCAATCATCTCTCACATTATTGAGCGAAAAACTGCTTGAGAGCCAATGGGAAGGGAAATCTGAATGCCTCTTGAAGCCGCAGATTCCATCTTGGATTGGGGCGAAGCGAAAATATGGCCTTAGTCAGCATTTTGCCTAGGGGTTTTCTCCTCGATCCAGGGGGCGGTTCCTTGAGGATTTTCCCCTTTTGTCTACATTGGCACTGGTTTGAGTGCCCCCCAAGAGAGGCCAAGAGGGCGACCGTAGGTCTGGTGCGGAGCTCCAGGCAGGTCCCCACAGCCCAGCCTCAGCGAATGAATGAGTGGGCGTGTGGTGGCTGCTTCCTGATACCCAGGACTCCAGGAAGACCGACACCTTAGCTGGATGGGTTCGGGAAAAGCTGTCAACGGCCACACTTGGGATTCGCTCCTTGCCCCCGCAGATCGAAAGCCGCTGAGGGCAAGATTCTTCCTCCTCCAACAGCAGTTTCATTTTCTGGGTCCAGTGCCTGCAAGCAGAGCTTCAAACCTCCTGGGTTATTCTCTCTCGTTTCAGGATAGGATGATTGGGCTCACTTAAGGCTCACAACCCGAAGGAGCAGGAATTCAATGAGGCACAGGTGAGGGTACCTGAAGAAAAACAAGACCAGCTGCCAAAATCCATGGCCCAGGAAACGGCGCCTTGGAGGGATTCCGTGCTCTCCTGCATCTGTCCCCTGCCCTCGCAGGAAGCAATGTGACCTGGAATCTGGGGATGTTTCTGGAAAGAAGGCCTGGAGAGGCATCTTTCTAGACATGCTGAAGAGTCACATCAGATGGGGGTGTCCAACCTGCATTTCCCCTTCAACTTTGTATTATGAAAACCTTTGTGGATGGGCCTGACAGTTGGCTAATCCTTCCCCTTCAAGAGCTGGGATCCTGTATGGGCACTGGTTTGTGTTTCGGCTGCTCCATTTCCCATCCATCTCCCTGCTTTTGGCCTGGGAAAGTAGTGGAGGATGCCCAATGCCTTGGGACACTGCACTCTCCTGGGAGAAGCAGCTCCTGGCTACAGATCAGCTCAACTCCAGCCATTGCAGCCACTTGGGGAGTGAGCCAACAGACACAATACGTCTCCCTTTCTGTGGATCTGCTTTTCCAGTAAAAATAAATCTTAAAACTTTCACAGAAAATTTGGGTGGATAATATAATAACCTCACTCTTGTTCTCCTTGTTAAAGAACTGGAGGAGGGGCTGGGAGGCTCTAGGCACAAAGCAAAGGAAGTAGAAAGCCTGCTTGCCCAGTTTGATTGGTTTACACTGTGTTGAAATATTGCCCTGTTCCCCATAAAATTCTATGTGTATTACATGTTGGTAATTTAAAAAAACTGAAAAATAATTTCCCATTTTTTAAAATTGATGAGCCATTGAGCATTGTGGAGACAGGTCACCCCTAACACTAATTACTGAGCATCAAGCTCTTCGAAAGAAGGTGCTGATCCAGTTTCCTGCTCATGTGCCTGAGGCGGCAGAAGAAGGTGGGTGAGATACTTGGACCCCTTCCAACCAAGGGGGAGATTAGAATGGAGTTTCTGGCTCAGACCTGGCTATTGCAGCCATCTGGAGATTGGACCAGCAGATGCAAGGCGACCCTCCCTCCCTCTTTGCCTTTCTTCTTTTTTCCCCTCCTTCCTTTCTTCCTATTTCCCCTCATACCTTTATTATTCCACATTTCAAAGAAATAAATTTTTAAAACTTTTTTTTTAATTTACTTATTTTTATTGGAAAGAGATTTTACAGAGAGGAAAGGCAGAAAGATCTCCCATCCGCTGGTTCACGCACCATGTGGTTGCAATGGACAGAGTTGAGCTGATCTGAAGCCTGGAGCCAGGAGCTTCCTCTGGGTCTCCCACGTGGGTACAGGGTCCCAAGGCTTTAGGCTATCCTCGATTGCTTTCTCAGGCCATAGGTAGGGAGCTGGATGGGAGGTGGAGGAACCAGCACATGAACCAGTGTCCATATGAGATGCTGGTGCTTGAAGGTGGAGGATTAGCCTGCTGAGCCACTACTGTAACAGCCCTTAAAGATTTACTTTACTTGAAAGAGTTACAGGGGGAGAAAGATCTTCCATCTGCTGGTTCATTCCAGAAATGGCTGCAGTGGCTGGAACTGAGCCAATCAAAGCCAGGATCCAGGAGCTTCTTTATATAAATGGAATCATACAGTGTTTTTTTAAACCTAGACTCTTATTAAAAATTTTTTAGAATTTATTCTCTGTAGTTGTAATTACCTTATAGCAGCCTCAATAGTATTGACATTTAAGCCTAATCAGTTTCTTGGTGGGGCAGGCTGTCCTGTGCATTGTAGGATGTTAAGTAGTGTTCCTGGTCTCTACCTATTAGATGCTATCAGCATTTTCCCTAAACATTATAACCAAAAATATCATAGAACTACAACATCTATGTCCATCCCACTCCTGGTGGGCATTTAGGTAGTTTCCAGCTTGGTTATCAACAGTACTGCTAGAAATAGTCTACTTGCATGCCTTTGGTGGTTATCTATATCTGTCTAGCTACATTTTTGTTGAGTTGTTCATCCTGCTTGGTCATTGAATGGATGGATGGGTGGACAGGAGTGAAATTATTGGGCTAGTGTTCCAAAGTGGTTGTGCTACTTTACATCTCCACTAGGGAAGCTACTTTATGAGAGTTCCAGGTACTTTTCATTGTCACCAACACTCATCCTAGCCAAACTGGTAAGTACGTGGTGGCATTTTGTTTATCTGATAACTAATTTTGATAACATTCTCGTGTGCTCACTGGCCATTTTTTAAAAGCTAACATTTAAGGAGGACTTCCTCTATGCCATTCCCAGTCCTCTCTGCTCTGGAAGTCTTACTTAATGCAACAACAAAAGGGTGAGTGGTGTCAGGGAAGCAGAGGACCTGGGATTCACTCCTTTGCATTGTCATATTTCAAGCCTGTATACTCTAGACTGAGCCCCTGGGTCTTACCATTTCCATCCATGTGCTAGGCCACCTAACTTGTCCACAGGTGTCTGTGAGACCACCTGCTGAGGTTCCGTGAAGACCCTACACTCCAAGGGAGGGAAGCAAGTGAGGAAGGCGGTGCTGGGGAAGGAGAGTAGTCTCAGTTTATGAAGAAGGAAAGGAGATGAGGAGGTGCTTGACCTAGTGGTTAAGATACCTGTGTCCCATCTGCAAATGTTTGGTTTTCCATCCAGCTTTAGCTCTTGACTCTAGCTTCCTGCTTTACAGACACCTGGGAGGCAGTGGTCTCCAGTAACTTGGTTCCTACCACCTCAGCTCCCAGCTCCAACCCCTCAGCCTGTGGCTATTTCAGATGCTTTGGGAGAGAACCAACAGGTTGGGGGCCTCTGTCTCCCTCTCCCAAAATTTTTTTAAAATTTATTTTTATTGGAAATGCAGAGTTACAGAAAGAAGAGACAGAGAGAATGATCTTCCATCCACTGGTTCACTCCCCAAATGGCTGCAACAGCTGGAGTTAAGCTTATGGGAAGCCAGGAGCCAAGAGCCTCCTCCAGGTCTCCCACATGGATGCAGGGTCCCAAGGCTTTTGGCCATCATCTGCTGCTTTTCCAGGCCACAAGCAGGGAGCTGGATGGGAAGCAGAACAGGCAAGACATGAACCAGCACCTATATGGGATGCTGGCACTTGAAGGGGAAGGATTTAATCACTAAGCCATTGTGCTGTGCACCTCCCTTTCCTAAATTAAAAAAAAATAAGTAAGTAAAAGGAAGAGGGGATTAGGGCTGGAGCTGGAACTTGTGAAGACATAAATTAGAAGTGTTTATTTACAGGGAAATCATGAGAAGTAGGACCAAACGGCTGCAGGGGATGGAGTGTGGCAGGGAGGCTGGGTACCTGTATAGATAGACAGGCATTACCTGGGTGTGGGGGGCACAGGGCTGAGCTCTGGGCTTTGGTCCCAGGAGGGCATTACATAAAGACTTTGAGGAACTCCACCAGGCGCGGGTCCTTGTGTAGCTTCTCCTCCAGGGCCAGGTACTTCAGCGGGGCCAGTTCCTTGTGTCTGAAGTTGCAGGGAGGAAATAGCGGGGTGAGCGACCCCATACATCCCCACAGTGCCTCACCAGTTGCATCTCCCAACCTCCCAGGTTTGCCCTGTCCCTCACCGGCTGAGCCGCTGCTCCAGGATGCGGATGCGGAACATGGCCTGAGAGCAGTAACTCAAGTACAAGTCCTCGTCCTCAGGTGTCAAGGTCACCTGATTTTCCTGGTACCACTGCTGCTTCTTCTGCAGCTCCTGGGTCTCCTGTAGCCCAGGGAGAACAGAGAGGGAGAGTTGACCTCGGCCAGCGCTCAGCCAGGTGGCAGGCGGCAGGTGGCAAACCCACTGGTTCCTTGACAGCCCCCTGAGAGTTGATCCTCCTGTCTGCTCCCACAAAAGCCATAATGGCAGAGCAGAGACCCTCAAAGTGTCTTGGGTAGGTGCCCCTGGAGTCCTACTTAGAGGAATAGTATGCCTATGTGGTCAGGGCAAGGACTGAGACAGACGTGTGTCTCTAGACAGGTGGCTGATATTTTCGGAGCCTCCAATTTCTGGTCTGCAGAGCAAGGGTCATTGCACTCTCCCCTCCCACTGCCTGCAGAGCTCCTTGTGGAGATTAAATGATGTAATCACAGGGTGATATCGTCTGTGCCTGATCTACAAAAGTAAGTCAAGAACTAGGAGTTGCTGCAATGCATTGGCCACTCACGCACCACCTCCACTCAACCATCATTCTGCCTCTCCCTCCACCTGCCCATGCATCTGTCCACCCATCTGATGGTTAGCAGACCTTCCTTCCCTCCTTCCCTCCTTCCTTCCCTCCCTCCTTCCTTCCTGCCTGCCTGCCGTTTATCCTTCCTTCCATGTATCTCTCCATCCACAGAACAACAGGAAGAACAGCCCAACCATTTGGAGCACACACACCCTCCCCTGCTGCCAGCACTAACCACATATTCAAGACTGTCTGTGTGGGCAAACAGCCCTGAGACCATCTTCTGGACACGGTTCTCCCACAGGGACCCTGGCGTTACCTTCTCAAAGCGAGCCTGAATGAGGTTGGCCTTGTCGATGAGCCGCTGCTTGAAGTCATTGAGGCAGTCCTCCTTGAGGCGCACAGCCTGCCAGCGGGTCAGCTTCTCACCCGGAGGGAGCTGGGCCAGGAATGGGGCCAGGTAGTCGAGCTGGGTCTCCATTTGCCGCAAGTGTTCCTCATGCATTACCCGCTCCTGTAGTGGTGGGGGTCAGGGGGTACAGAGAGGCTGAGCTGGCTGTGCTCTGCATCAGCAGTGACAGGATGGCACAAGGCCAGGCCTCCAATCCACCTTCTAGTGCCTGGCACCCCTAGGACAGGCTTAAGAGGGGCCAGTGAGGGGGCTGTCTCTTGCACCCATGTTTATTTGTAATGGAAGCTTTTGCTTTTTATGTGAGCCTATGCTTCAATTTTCTTCTTTGTGGATTTAATTAGGATTCTTTACTTTAAAGGCTTTCTTATTTATGTGAAAGTGTGGCAGAGAAAGAGCAAAAGACACAGATTGAGCAAGGGAGGGAAGAGATCTTCCAGCCACAGGTTTTTACCCAGATGGCTGCAACAGCTGCGACTGGACCAGGCTGAAGCAGGAGCCTACGAACTCCATCCAGGGCTCTCACCCTGGGAACAAGTACGTGGGTCATTCTCTGCTGCTGCTTTGGGTACATAAGCAAGGGTGGGGGGCCTGACTCTGGAACAGCCAGGACTCAAACTAGTATGCTCCAATATGGGATGCCACTGACTTTGCAGGCACTGGCTTAACCCTCTACCTTGCTAGTGCAGGATCTCAGATAGGATCTTGTTTCCAAACACACAGCCTGGGGCCTGGTACTCCACAGCAGACACTTGCTCAGGAAATGGCAGGGAACATCCAATGTGAAATGGGAGATTTCTCAGTTGTCTCTTTCCCCTTGGGGCTGCCAAGATGGGAGCCAGTGAAGTTGGAGAGGCAGGGACTCCTCTCCCCTAGGTGCCTGAGGGCCACCATGGTACCCTGGCCTGTCACCAACCCCAAGCTGTTTTAGGAACCTTTTGCTTGGCTCAGGACAGGGATTCAGAATCTGTCCTCAAAAACTAAGTGGAGTATAGCTGAGCTCCACACGTTATGAGGTCTGAGGCCATAGTCCTCTCGCTGGGGGAATGGGCCCAGACCACAGCTCACTGGGAACCCCAGGGAGAGGTGGACACACAACTGTAGTTCCTTCCCAGTACACCGCAGGTGTGAGCCCGGCTGCAAGACCCTGACTTGGATCCTGGGCATTCTCTGGGACTTATCACAAAAATGGCCAGCTCAGGAGGCAGGTGTCTGGTGAGGTGGTTCAGTTTCTATTCAGGGCATCCACTCAGTCAGAATGCCTGGGTTTGAGTCCTGGTCCTTCTACTTGCCATCTAGCTTCCTGTTGATGCAAAACGTGGAGAGACCCAGATCAAATTCCAGGCTCCTGACTGCAGCCTGGACAAGCCCCAGCTGTTGCAGGAATTTGAGAGTGAACCAGCAAACAGAAGATCTCTCTGTCTCTCCTGCCTATCAAATGCATTTTTTTTAATTAAAGAGAAAAGAAAAGGAAAGAAAAGAAAAAAAAAAGCCAACTCAACAATCACAATGACCTGTCCTATTGACAGTTTCATCCCCTAGGAAGAGGAATCCCTGGCAGAGCCCCAGGGACACTCTAGGGGGAGGTGATGCCCAGGCAGGGAGCCAGGCTCACCATGGCCTCCCGGTACTCCTTGCTCTTCCCATTGCGTTTGGTGTCATAGATGGAGATGGTCAGCACGTGTGCCTCCTCCTCTTCCTCTCGAAGTTTCAGGATCTCCAGCACCTGCATGGGGAGGTAGAGGGGCGCAAGGAAGGCTCCGGGAGCCCTGCCGCCCGCCCACCTGCCCACATTCTGGGGAATGCGGGGAGGCACTCACCTCCATCTCCGACTCCCAGGCCTGGTGCCGGGACAGTTTCTCTTCGTTCTTGAGCTGCATCATGGTCTCATACTGGTACAGAAGCTTCTTGGTGTGCTCCATGGGCTCCACCTTGTGGAGAGGTGGAGAAGGACAACCACCATGAGAATCCAGCTGCAAGGTGGTGGGATCCACACCTGCCGCTTTCCAGCTGGATCCGAAGCAGAGTGGCTGGGACTTAACAGTGGCTCCAATATGGGATGCCGGTGTTTCAAGCAGGAATTTAACCCCCTGTGTCACAGATGGGAACTTTTGATTTTCCTAAGGTGGGAGGGAGAGGCATTTCCTGACTGGATTCGAGAGTGTTTCTCCTAGGACCCAGTGCAATGGCTCAGTAGCTAAATCCTTGCTTTGGATATGCTGGAATCCAAATGGGCACCAGTTCATGTCCTGGCTGCTCCACTTCCAATCTAGCTATCTGCTTGTAGCCTGGGAGAGCAGTGGAGGATGACCCACAGTATCCGTGTGGGAGACTAGGAGGAAAGGAAGTTCCTGGCTGCTATCTTCAGATCAGCTTAGCTCTGGCTATTGTGGCCACTTGGGAAGTGAACCAGTGGATGGAGGATCTTTGTCTCTCCTTTTATCTGTAAATCTGCCTTTCCAATAAAAAAAATAATTTTTTAATAATGTCTCTCCCCGAGTTGTGGGACAGGATGCAGTACAAGGGCCCTGCTCCTTCGCCTAGCTCCCCCTGCGCCGCTGCTACGCATCCTGGTCTCGCGCGCACCTCAAAGCTGATGCACATGTCAGGCGTCATGATGATCTTGTTGCCCTTGCTGTCCACCTCGGAGCGCCGCTGGAACTCGCGTGTGGAGGTGGTGATGTAGTCGTCACGGCAGTGGTAGCGCAGCTGGATGCGGTCCTCGCTAATGAGAAACACACGCTCTGCCACGTCCTCGTCAGCAGGCTTGGCAAGGTTGCGGGAGAAACGCTCCGTGATTTTCTGTGAGGCCAGGACATGGGCAGAGTGAGAGGCAGAGTGGGGCAGGCCCAAAGCTCACTCGGGGTCACTGGGGGTCAGGGGCCCAGCAAGGCACAACCCCCTGTGGTTTCTCAAGGCCAAGTAACGGCAGCCCTGCATGCTGGGTGCTGGGCCCCTTCTCCAGCTCCCTTGACAAGTCTCTGCTTGCTTACTGCAAGTAACAGGGAGGTCACCACCTGGCCAAGCAGCCTACTCTGTCCCTAGACATCCCTTTGTGCTAGGCAGAGCTGTTCTGGCAGGCAGCCGTTAAAGTTCCATCACTATGTCATCTGTCATGACACAGCAGTGGCATGCAGAGTTCAGTGAGTGAGAAGTGGATTCTAACCTGCAGGTCTACACCCACCTGTGACCCCAAACCCAGCAATCCACAGCAATACCCAGGATGCCCCTCGGACAGCATTTCACTTTTTTTTCTGCATGCCTTCCTGTATCTAATAAATGTCCAGTCATGGGCATTATACATGTGTGTGTGTGTGTGTGTGTGTGTGTGTGTGTGTGTGTGTGTGTGTGTATAAAACAGTAAGAAACTAATTAGTTATATATTAGTTATAATGTACTTATCACAATAAGGAATTAACACTGCCTTAGCCCAGTGGCTGAAAGCTCAAGTCATTCCCAACAGCCCCGGGATTGTGCATTTGGTAAAATGCGTGGCTCATCTCAGGCTGCTGGAATGTGCAGTCCCTGCCCACCCCAGGTACCTAGGCCCAGCGAGCTCTCACCACTATGGGCCGAGGGTTGGACTCGGAGCTGTTGGTGCCCAGTTTCTTGACCCTGGACCCGAAGTTGATGTGGCGGTAGGAGAGGAAGTCTGCGCGTCCTTGATAGTACTCCGTCATGGTCTTGGGGGTCTCCTCCCGCTTTACCAGGCCATCCACGCGGGCTGTCTCATAAAACTCCATGACGCGCTCCATCTCCGGGAGCATGGACTCATAGGAGTGCACTGGAGTGGGAACAGACGGCCGGGTGAGAACCATACCCGGGGCTTCGGCTGCTGATGTGGCAACTAAACCCCGGGCCGAGAGAGAGGCGGCTCCATAATACGGAGCACCTTTGGTTATACGGCTAATCCCCTCTCCTGGGCGTGGAGGAGGGGTCCAACTTCCTGTTATGATAAACAACACCCCAATGTGTGCATCTGCATTGGGCAAGTCTTTGCTCCTGTCCATTGTTGCTAGGAACCAACGCTTAGCAGCAGAGTCACTGGCATCTTGCTTAGGGATACGGGTTCTCGCCTCTCCCGGTCATATCCTTCCTTACCTTGCCACCCTTGTGGACTCTGGCCACACCCATGCTCTCCATGCTCCCATGTCCTTGTAGGGTGCATTGGTTGGTTTTACTGTTCAATATCCTCCCCCACCTCCCACTGTGTGCCCTCCTGTTTGGGATCTGGTTCAGTCTCAACCACAAAATGGGCACATGGACCTGGCATCAACTTCCCCTGAGCAGGCCATGTTTCCTTGAATAGCTGAGCTTCCTCTGACAGCCCACACACCTGGTTTGCTTAGTGGCTACCTGAGAACTTTGTCAATGCCCAGGTGCCAATGCCCTTCTGCCACCTACCAAACCACCTGCTCTCAGGACAGTGTAAGCTGAACCCCCAGCCCAACCCAGCCTGGCCCCAGGTACCACGCAGAGCCTGGGGGTGGCCCGGCTTGAAGTAGTCGGTGTGCAGGCCCGTGATCTTGTTGATATGCCTTAGCTCCAGCATGTCCTCCCGGTTCTGGTACCACTCCTTGATCTCCACAACCTCCATACCTGTGGGGGTGACACACGGCGGCTGCAGCCGGGACAGCTTCCCCACCTCCACCCATGACACCCAGCATCACAAGGGCCAACAGCAAACATGGAGGGAGAGGAGGAGGAAGAGGGGGAGGAGCCGGGGAAGGGATGTGCAGGGATGTGCGGAGGCTATACAGCAGGGCAGGTGCCCAGCTGTGCTGCTCCCCAGCAACCAGCGCTACACCTTACACTCCAGGTCCCGGTAGGTGGTGAGGCGGCTCACGAGGCCATTGCTGTTGAGGTACGGGGCCCACTTCTCCAGCTTGGCTCTCTTGTACTGGATCACCTTGTTCCCGTTTGGGCAGCGAGTCTCGAATGCTGTGGGTACAGAGAGAGCTGGGCTCAGCCAGACCCCACAGCTCCCACTGCACTGCCCATTGCACTGTCTGCGGGGCTCCGCCTCCAGGCCTCCAGCCCACTCTAGCGAGGCAGAGGTCAGCCATGAGGGCTGCCTGACCCCTGAAGTACCTCAGGCCGGACAGAAGCAGAGACCTACCCCAGACTGGTGTGAGCCTGACCTGAGGGCTCTGTGCCGCAGTCACACCACGTTGTGTCTCATTGCCAGGTCTTTGCCCCTACAGGTCTCTCTCCCAGAAACCTCATCCCTTTCTGCCCTCCCTGTGATGACCCACTACTCCCAGCAGCCTGTTATCCACCCATCATCCCCCAGTACCATCCCCCCAAGGTCAGACTGGATGCTACTGCCTTGCATTTCCATGACAACCACCCCAGCATGCCTCATCCTGGTGCTCCTTGAGGGACCTCAGCAGCCAGCAGACACAGATGTGGGACATGACAGGGCCTGCCCTCTGGTCCTGACACGCTCTGTACCCCCTGGGCACTGACTCCGACCTCTCCTGGACAGAGAGGTATAAAGGAAAACAAGAGGACATGCCCTCCCACACACGCACGCATCCCTGAGCCCTTGCTGTGTGCCAGCTCTGGGACCACATTGCTGAGGGTGTGCAGTGAGAGGGAGGGGTCTGGGTAGTATCTGTAGGGGTCCCTTGCTTCCTGGCCTTTGCTGGGAAGCTCCCCGGACGCCTAGGCACCAGCTCTGAATAGTGCAAGAGTACGCAAGGACCACAGACACCTTCTGGAGAGATCTCGATCTGCTCCACCCATGAGGGTGGCATGTCGAAGCTCTTGTCCTCTTCCTCCTTGCCCTGTGTGGGGAGAAGGGCCATGGGATGGAGAAGTCAGTGCCTTGGAGCTCAGCCCTGGCCACCCTGCCACAGGGAAGCCAAAGGTGGCATGAGTCACTTAGGATACAGAAGGATGGCAGAGCTCTGGTTAGCTCTCACCAGGGCCCTTTCCCTGAACCTGCCAATCTAAGACAACAGCACTTGTCCCCTACACCCTGGCCCTTAGTTAGGGAGAAGCTTCTGGAATCAGGTGAACCCAAGCACTGTCCTCTACCACCAAGGAAGGTCTCCTGTGCAAGTCCTCAAACACTCTGAAGTTTGAGTTTCCCTAACTATAAACTGGCCCTCTTGGAAGATGCAAGTGACATGCAGAGGGCGTGGAGCACAGCCTGGCTGGTGTGATGGTTATTTCTTTTCCTCTTGGAATCTCAGTCCCATCTGCTACATCTGAACAGATGGTCCTGAACAGAGGTGACCACAGCACTGCAGATGCGACTGTCTGCATTTGCAGCGTTTCTCCCCCACATGTGGTCCTGACACTTGCGCATCTGGCTGTCAATTCTGAGTCATCAGTAGGAAGCACCGTGAGACATTTGAGACATGCTGGCAGGGTAGAGGAGTGGTCAGAGGTCTTGGCTTTTCCTGGGGTGGGGGAGCACCCTGAATCCTGGCTCTTAGGGATACTCATCTGTCAATCTCTACAGGATCTTGAGCATGACAGGCTGTGCCAGGCAACTGAGGATGCCACCCTTGGCTCTCCGGGCACTGGCTGCGCCCGGTCTCATGGCCTGCAGGGGGTGCCAGTGTCCCAGGATTGACAGCAACCAACAGAGGTGTCCCTATTGTTTAGCACAGATGAGGAAAGAGCATTCCACGTGATTCTCTGAGCAAGTTGCGAGGTAGAATGAAGTCACCATTGGGAGCTCAGAGTCAGGTTCAAATCCCAGTTGTGCCCTTTAGGGCTGAGGCTTTTCCTGGGATAAGCATCCTAAGCATTCCCTACTCCTCCCACCCTATCACCAAACACCCCTCTACCCACCCTGGGGCAACGTGTGAGTCTTCCCATCTGTCAAATGAGCTGAGGACAGGCAGACCCCTCCTCACTGAGTGACCGGGAGATTTAAACAGGCCAGTTCACACTGGGCACCAAGAACTCAGGCCCCAGGCCCGCCAATGCCTCAAGGATGGGTTCCTAGTTCCCAGGGGGAAAGATCCTTCTGTTGACTTGCTCTGCTGGGCAGGACTTCTTCAAGGCAGTCCCAGATGATGAATAAACTTGTTGTTTCCCTGTGAACTTGACTCTCAGCCCCTCTCCCATTTTGTGTGCTGACATTGACCCTGTGGCTGCCATGGCCACACAGACATGACAAAGGCCTGTGGGTCCCTGCCCTCTGTGTGTAGTCTCCTGCACACCTGTCAGGAAGGCCCATGGGAACTCTGAGAAGGGAGGCTGGGGACGTGGGGGGCTGTGGTCCATGACCTTTAGAAGGCCACATGGGATGAACAAGGAAGGGCTGGTTATGTGTGGCTGCCCAGGAGGGACCTGAGGATTGGACTGGCCCTGGGGCTTGTGGTAAGGGCTTTTTAAGACCCCCATGAAGCAGGATCACCTTGAAATGAATATAAGGTCTGGGCTGCTCACTGTGGGGGGCTCAGTGTGTCCATCTGTGAAATGGGAGCATTGTCCAGGTCTGTCTGTTTGGAGGGATTTCTAATCAGCCTATTGGTTCCTGGTCTATCCCTCCATGCCCACACCCACGGGCAAGGCAGCGGTCAGAGTACCTTCAGGATAGGGGCAAGGCCTCCCCACGTACCCCCCTACCATGGACTGCCACCACTCACCAGATTTTCCACGTCATCGTCATCATTCACCACGGAATCCTCCTCATCGGTCAAGGACAGGTGAGGCTTGTCGGTGCCCAAGACCATGTACTCCCACCTCACCGGGTCTCCCAGGTCAAACACAAGGTCCTGAGGGGGGTGGGGGAGACAAATTGAGTGTACCCCTCGGCTGCCCCATCCCCACTTGCTCTGAGTGGGGATATAGGGATGAGGGCCTGGGACCAGGGGGCCAGAACGTCAGCTCCAGGCCCAATCCCCATTGCAGCAAGAAAACTGAGGCCCCAAGGGGCTGAATCGTCCTAGTCACCAAGTTTCCAATGAAGAAGTTCCCTACTACACCCCACAGGAAACAGGAGGGGAGAGCCTGACAGGTGGGCATGCATAGCAGCTGGCCTTGGAAGCAGGTGGAGAAGCCTCCGCCCCCTTCTCATCCAGCCTACCAGAGGCCAGGGTCCCAGGAGCAGTGGCTCCACCCCCAAGTAACCTGCAGCCCCAGCAGCGCCCCTGAGCAGGTCCCTCCATCAGATACACCCCAGATTACGTTGTCAGGGAGATGCAAGGCTAATAAGGATGTCCTGTGGCCCAGAGGGGCCCCAACCTGCTCTCACGGTTCTCCCCTAGTCCTGGAGTATGATTCTGATCTAGGAAGGGGGAGGGGGACGCAGTCTGACAAGCAGGAGAGAACTCTCAGAGTGGAAGCAGAGCTTGGGCTGGCTGCTGTTCAGTGCCGGGTAGCTGATCTCACAGAGGTTCTGCTTTCTGTCTTGTCCCACATCCGGTCTGGCTGGTAAGTACTAAGTTGTAGCTACATGTTATTCTTTGCACCTTTCATCTAAAGATGTATTGTATGGGGGGAGGGGGGAAGTAGGGATGGAAGTTAAGGTGTAATTGCAAGCTTGTATCTGAGCCTGAAAGAAGACCTGGCTTGTTCCCAATTCCAGCTCCCTGATCATGTGCGCCCTGGGAGGCAGCAGACAACCGCCCAAGTCCTGGGTTCTCTGCCACCCACGTGGGAGACCTATTCCCAGCTCCCACCTGCAGCTTGGCCCAGCTCTGGCTGCTGTGGGATTTGCGGGGAGTAAACCAGCAGATGGAAAATGTCTTTGTTTTCCCTTTAAATAAATAAAAACTAGAAGTCTTTAACAAAAACGGCAGCTGAATCTATAAGGGTTGTATCCAGAACAGGGGGTATCTGCACCAGTCACCACCTTCTCATCCCCTAATTGTGATTTGACTAGGAGGAGGCATTTCCTGCATGTTACCATAAAGGCAATGGCCACTTCAAGTCCCTAGGAGGGCAGTCAATAGCTGCTCCAATCTTGTTCTGTCACTAAACGTGACAGCCAGTGTCCTAATGTCTTCTTCCAGGCCCCTAATTGCTGGCGCAGGATAGTTCTTCAGGCCCTCCACCTTCATCTCACACCCTGTGGCTTCTATCTGTTCTGCCTGGCACAGGGGTGGGCTCTGCCAGGCATGGGAAACCTGCAGGCCGGAGGGAGAACACCAGTGCCAAAAGGGCTGTGGTCTCCAGGGGATGTGGCCACAGCAGACCCAAGCCTGGGCTCTGCGGAGGGCAGTCTCAGCTCCACCCTGACCCCCCAGGGCATGGGAATAATCGTTTCCCTTTCTGGAGCCTCAGTTTGTTCACCTGTAAAATGGTCAACATTTCTTGGACAGCCAGAAACTCTCTGATGCTCTACCCTGGGAGGTGGGTGAGGGGTGAGACCGACTAGAGTCATAAGGGAGAGTACGTCGGGGGTGGGGAAGGGGTCCCTTTTCCTGCAAGCAGAAGTTTCTGTATGGTCTACACAGGCTGTCCCAGAGCAGTCACTCATGCTTCCACCAGAGGGCGCAGTAGTTCCTGGCACAGGGTCATCAGGCAAAGTGGAGCTCAAAGGGTCACCATCTCCCATCAGGAAACCTTGCCTGGCTGGAAACATAATAAAAAAAAAAAAAAAGCATGGGGACTTGGAGCCCCAAGATCTGAGTTCAAATCCAGCTAGCTTCCTAGTTTCTCCTCTGTGAGAACACAGTGTCCTGTGCTTGCTGACAGTCTGCAGGGTTTGTTTGCTGTGCCGTGTACCCTGGCCCCCAGCTCAGGGGCTGGCACACAACAGGTGCGTCATGAAGAAGGCACTTGCCCTTGTGGACCGCATTTCCTGACTGTGAGATGACACAGCTGAAACAAGGGCGACTCAGCCGGCCCGCCTTGACTGCAGTTGCCTTCCAGCCATTTCCTTTACAGCAATTCACACGAAATGCCTCCTTCCTGGAAGCACTGTGCAACGTGCCAGTTAAATTGCATCTATTATGCTGATGGACCGTGTCTGTCGCACTGAAAATGCTGCATTTCTGTCTCCCTTTCGTGGCAGAGGTGTGCACAGGATGTCTATTCTCTCCTGAAGGAATCAGATTCTCAGAGGGCAGACAAGTCATTCTCTGCAGATAACATGATTATTTCTTTACAAAAGCCATCGACATTAGTGGACAATCTACGGCTAGAATAAGAAAGTAAATGTAGCAGGTGCTGTGGCATAGTGAGTTAAGGCTCTTTTTCCCCTCTCCCCTCTCTCTCTCACACACACACGGGATAGCTAGAAAAAGAATGAAAATGTCATTTGTGTCAAAGTGGGTGGGACTGGAAGAATCATGTTAAATGAAACAACCCAAGGACAAAAATATAAATATTCATTTTCTCACTCGTCTTTGTGAACAACAAAAAGCAGAACTCACAGAAAAGAACGGAAAGATATTTGATAACAGACACCAAAACACAATTACATCGGAGGAACTCCTCCCATCTGGGGTGCTCTATACTACACTGCAGTTTACAACAATCTATGAGATTCCTCAAAACAACTGGAAGACTCCACGTGTTCCCACGCTCAAGGAGATGGACATGCTAACAACCTTGATTTGGTCACTACATACAGTGTCATATTGTCACTCTGCACTCCATATACACATACAAGTACTATCTGCATGTCAGTAAAAAAAAAAAAAAGAAATATTTTGCCTATAATGTCATTAATACTGATGTTTAGATAATGGTACTTATTTTCACAAGTTCTCAGGCCTTATTTTATAAAAACCAAAGCAAGAGTTGTTGTACTTGTTTAACCTTCTTTGATATTCAGTCTTAATATCAGATTATCAGTCTAAATTGTAAATTCTAAATTATCAGCCATATTGTAGTACAGTGGGTTAAGCTGCCATAGAGGCGCTGGTGCAAGCCTGGCTGTTCCACTCGCCATCCAGCTCACTGCTCATGCACCTGGGGAAAGAGTGAAAAATGACTTAAGTACTTGGGTCCTAGCACTGCATGAATCTTGGCTTCTGGTGTCAGTCTGGCTGAGTCCTTGCGACCAATTGGTGAATGAACCAGTGGATGGAAGCTCAATGATTTCCCTCTTTCTATCTGCTCTCATTCTCTCTGTAACTCTGTCTTTCAAATCAATAAATGAATCTCTTCAAAAAGTTTAAGCTGTGACATAACTAAATTTAAAAAAAATAAAATCCTTATTCTTTTTTAAAAAGTGAAAAAGTAGGATAGCTAATACTTAATACTCAAGGAAAGAAAAATTAGGCAATGTTTAGGCGAAGAAGGCCAGATGGGTTAATTTGCAGCACCCATTGGCAAGTGCCAGAACCTGCTGTGAGTCATATCAGACTAGACCATGATACTCCCTGGCCAGCAGAAGATCCGGGTCTGGGAGAAGGCCTGGGAGAGGAACTGTGGGCCCTCTCCTGCCAGGTTGCAGCTCCATAAGATCTAGGGTTGAGGACAGCCTGGGCTGGCCAAGGCAGCAGAACCTGTCAGCACACATGGGGATTGAGTTTGGGGGCAGGGCAGGGCAGGCTGAGCTAAGCGGCAACACTCAATGAGCTTGCATGAGAGCTAGATGGGATGTGGGATAGGCTGGGTTAAGCTACAGCACATGTCACCACACACAAAAATCAAGGCTGGGGACAGGCCTAAGAGAGGGCATTGTTGGTGGTTGGTTGCTAGGCTGTGGTATGCATGAGGACTGGGTCTGTGGTGGGCTGAACTAAACCACAGTACCCATCAGTTTGCATGAGATGAGGCTGGGAGTGATACTGACCAGGCAGCTGCATCTACCAGTAGGTGCGTTGGCTGGTGCAGGTGACGGATAGAAGTTGACCCTGCATAAGCTGAGAATTATAAAGAATAGAGAAAACCCTGGTGCCAGCACCATGACATAGTGGGCTAAACCCCTGTCTCTAGCACCAGCACCTATATGGGTCCAATTTGGGTCCCAGCTGCTTCACTTCTGATCCAGCTCTCTGTTTCTGGCCTGGGAAAGCAGCAGAGGACGGCTCAAGTATTTGGGCACCTGCACCCACACGGGAGGCCTGAGAATGTGCCTGGTTTCTGCCTTTGGCTCAGCTTTGGATCAACTCAGCTCCAGCCACTGCAGCCATTTGGGAAGTGAACCAATGGATAGAAGATATTTCACTGTGTGTCTCTCCTCTCTGTAACTCTGCCTTCCAAATAAAAATAAGTAAATCTTTAAGAGAAACCCCCAAATTGTAGTTCAATATTTCAGTAACATTGTCAATAACTCTTAAAAACAGTAACTCTTAAAAAAAGAAAAAGAAGTTGTTGACCATAAATCAGCAAAACTGTGGGAGGCCAGAACACCAGCACTAATACCTTGCACTCCCAGAACACTCCCCTCAGCAACAGAACATGCACGCAGGCAATTCCAGGAAGCTCACCAAAACAGACCACACTCTGGACCTCCAAGCAAGCTGGTAACAAGTTTAAGATAATGGAAACCATATAATTATATTCTCTAATCACTGCAGAATTAAATGAGATATCAACATTAGGAAGATCTCTGGAAATCTTCCGAACATTTGAAAACTCAGTAAACACATTTCAAGATAGCCTGTGAATCAAAGGAGAAATTATAAGAGAAATTAGAGAGCATGTTGAATAGAAAGAAAATGAAGACAATATAATTGTGTGACCTGGCGCTACAGCAGTCCTTTTGGAGGAACTAAAGGCTTCTACTAAAGAGAGAGAGGTAGCATGCCACAAGCACTTCTGTCATTTTTTTTTTCACTCCCCCCAGTGCCTGCAACAGTGAGGGCTAGGCCAGGCTGACACCAGGAACCAGAACTGCATCCAAGTCTCCCACATAGGGCCGGGGACCCAAGACCTTGAGCCATCACATGCTGCCTCCCAGGGTGCTCACCAGCAGGTAGCTGGATTGGAAAGAGAGGCAGGCCCCAGTCTGAGATGAGGCACTTGGACATGAGATGAGGGTTCCCCAAGCAACAGCTTTAATCCACTGGGCCACAGCACTCCGCCTTCATTGACTGTATTTAAAACTGAAAGCATGGTGCAATGCCATTTATCAAAATAAAAAGGACTAAGTATTCAGTAACGGTGAGGCCACGGGCATACCGCTGGTGGCAGGGTTGACCAAGGCGGTGGTTTTGGCAAAGGGGCAGTATCCATTCCAACTGAATGTCATGCGTATCGTGAGGCCCGGCAATTCCACTGCTAAACACCCTCGCAAAAGCAAGGCGCATGTGTACACAAACATGTTTATGTAGTGCTGTTCAGAGCAGTCCAAACTGCAAACAATCTCAGTGTGCCACTGTGGGGTGGGACAGTGAGCTCTGAGGGATCCAGGTGATGGAAAACTATGAAAGCAAACAAGATCCAGGCATGAAAGAGTAGCCATTGTCTGACTCAAGGGCTAGGAAGTCCCCACACATGGGAAGGTCACTGATACAGATGAAAGTCAGGCTAGTGCTTAACTCTGGGGAATGGGACGGGCCAGGGGCTGGGTGGGCACCTGAGGGGCTGGTGCTGGCTTGTACAGGTGACTCAGTATGTGGCCGTTCAAGGCAGTGTACACTGAGGGTTGGGTACCTCCCTGTATGCTTTGAGTGAGTGTGCACATATGTGTACCACTGCCATCCACCCAAGTGAAAACATATAAGGGGGCTTCAGAAAGTTCCTAGAAAAGTAGAACTAGGAACAGCGTTTCTGGGGGACAGCGTTTAGTGCAGCAGTTAGCTGCCAGCATACACAGAGTGGCTGGTTCGAGTCTGCTGCTGACCCAGTTTCCAGCTAATGTGCACCCTGGGAGGCAGCAGCTGATGACCCAAGTACTTGGGCCCCCCTCTCCCATGGGGGAGACCCAGGAGGAGTTCCCGGCTGCTGCTGTTGCCCTGGATCAGCTGGGGAATGAACCAGGGATGGAAGATCTCTCTTGGCCTTTCGAATAAAAGTAATTTTTCTAAAAGGTGTTTCCCTTACTGCAAAAATGTTTGTGAAATCTGTACTTCGCTTTTTCATCATAAACATTTTTCACAAACCTTTTGAAATCACAGACATGCATTGGAGGGGAGGCAGTAACTGAAGGTGATGGGTCACTCTGGGGGTGTGAGTCACATTCTACATCCAGATGAGGTGTGGGCAACTGGGCATCACCAGCTCATACCAGTCCCCTGGGTTATTTGCTTAGGTTGATGGTACCCTCCGCATGGATGTTACACTTCAGCTCCAAGTTTTTAACAATGAACCAAACTAACAATCCAGACTTCCAAAGGACACATAAGTCAAAAGGGAGGCCATAGTCACAGCAGGATGGGGATTTATGGGCAGGTGCATGGACTGTGGGGACCCAGTGACAGAGAAATTAAAACAAACCTCGCCTGGCCTGGCCTGGCCTGGCATCTAGCTCCACCTAAGCTCTGGCCACAGTCCCTTGCTCCCATACCCCCTGCCATGGTCCCACCTGTGCCTGTCATGTCCCACTTCCCCCACCCCAGGCACCTTGCAGAAGTTCCAGCAGTCCTGCATGTTGATCCAGTAGTTTTTGTGGTTCCAGATGCTTTCGATGCCCAGGAAGTGCTCATCCTGGGTGCTGTAGCTGCAGCCCGTGAACGGGTCGATGAAGAAGCTCTCAGGGACCTCACGCTTGCCCGACAGCACCAGCACCCACGCATGCACCCGCAGGCCGTACAAGGGGTCAGGCTTCGCCTTCTCTGCCTCCTGTGTGGGAGAGGTGGGTATCTCCCATCAGATGGGCAGAGAAAAGAGGCCTGAGGACCTAGGGATCTCTACAGGGCTAGGGGCCGGAGGGAGAGTGGGGTCTGAACTGATGGCACTTCTGGTCTCCCACCACGGCCTCTAAGAGCCCATCTGGTGGATGGAAGCGTGAGACTGGATCTGCGGCTTGCAAACTGAAATCTGTGCAACTCCAGGTAGCTGAGATTTCCTGGCTTTAAAAGTTGTGCATCCAGGACTCACTTCAGCAACATATACTAAAAGTTGTGCACCTGGGTGAGGTTGCACCCAAGAAAAGTCGTTTTTCCTTTGGTGAAGCCAGAGAAAGGAGCTTTCAGGCTTCCGTTATTCACTCTCCTGAGAGTTCTGTGACAGGGTCAAGTTCATGATGGTAGCCCTAGGACCTGGCCCACAGGAGCAGCTCAGCAAATACTCCAGAGAGACAGGGGGGTGAGAGGAGGGAGGATGTTGGAAGGAGAGAAACAGGATGGATGGAAGAATGGATGAGAAAGTTTTGGCAGGATGAAGGTATGTGTGGGAGGGGGATGCTGGGAGGAGGATGTGCATCACAGGGGATGTTGGCAGGAGAGAGTGGGTGTGCCTGAGAGGAGGGGTGTTAGCAGGAGTTGTTTACATGGAAGGGGAAGTTGGCAGGAGAGCGAGGATGTGCGGTGGCAGGGAGGTCAGCTCGCAGGTATGCATCCAGTGAAAGAGTGTGAAGTGAGAGCACCCGGGCTGCCCCACACTGCAGGGAGTCTGCTCCCTGCTGAGCATCCATTGCAGAGGCCCCCAGGCTGGCCAGAGGTGAGAGGTTGGGACTGTGGAGGTGCAGCAATGCCTGCCTTCCCACCCCTAGCAGTTCTGCCTCCAGCAGAGTCCCCGCCCCTCAGCTTCCCCCACCTCCCCCACCCTGAGCCAGGGACCCACCAGGATGCGCTCCTCCTCCTCCCTCCGCAGCCTCTCCTCCTCCGCCATCCTCTCCTCCTGCCTCTTGATCTCCTGCTCCTGCTCAAAGCGGCTGCTCAGATCTCTGGGCGGCTTGACGGTGTACTTCTTAGGCGGCGGCTTTTCCTCCTTCTTGATCCTCTGTGGCCCAAGAGGGGAAAAAGGGTCAGCTCTGAGGGTGGGTGAGTGTGTGTGAGTGTGTGAGAGTGTGTGTGTGTGTGTGAGTGTGTGTGTGTGTGTGAGTGTGTGTGAGAGTGTGTGTGTGTGTGTGTGTGTAAGGTACCTGAAACATCTGTGGAAAGAGAACTCAAAGATGTATTCATGGGGCTGGTGTGGTAGCACAGCAAGCTAATCCTCCACCTTGTGGTGCCAGCATCCCATATGAGCACTGGTTCATGTTCCCCAGCTCCACTGCTGATCCAGCTCTCTGCTTATGGTCTGGGAAAGCAACAGAGGATGGCCCAACTTGTTGGGACCTTGCACTCATGTGGGAGACCCAGAAGAGCTCCTGGCTTTGAATCAGCTCAGCTCTGGCTGTTACAGCCACTTAGGGAGTGAATCAAAGGATGGAAGATCTTTCTCTGTCTCTCCTTCTTGCTCTGTAAAAATATGCCTTTCAAATAAAAATAAATCTCTAAAAAATGTTAAATTCATTTTGGTACAAAAATGTTTGAAATCCGGGTCTATAAAATCATACATGGAGCCCCCAGTGCAATGGCTCAACGGCTAAAGGTTTGTCTTGCAAGTGCTGGGATCCCATATGGACGTCGGTTCATGTCCAAACCACTCCACTTCCCATCTAGCTCCCTGCTTATGGCATGGGAAAGCAATGGAGGATGGCCTAAAGCCTTAGGATCCTGCACCCACATGGGAAACCTGGAAGAAGCCCCTGAATCCTGGATCCTGGCTTTGGATTGGCTCAACTCCAGCCATTATAGCCACTTGAGGAGTGAATCAGCAGATCAAAGCTCTTTCTATCTCTCTCCGTAAAATCTGTCTTTCCAATTACAATAATTTTTAAAAAATCATGCATGTTACATGAACATTTTTTTTAAAGATTTATTTATTTATTGGAAAGTCAGATACACAGAGAGGAGGAGAGACAGAGAGGAAGATCTTCTGTCCAATGAGTCACTCTCCAAGTGAGCACAACAGCTGGTGCTGTACCGATCTGGAGCCAGGAACTTCTTCCAGGTCTCCCACATGGGTGCAGGGTCCCAAAGCTTTGGGCCGTCCTCGACTGCTTTCCCAGGCCACAGGCAGGGAGCTGGATGGGAAGTGGAGCTGCCGGGATTAGAACCGGCGCCCATATGGAATCCCAGGGCGTTCAAGGTGAGGACTTTAGCCGCTAGGTCACGCTGCCAGGCCCAACATGAACATTTTTTTTAAAAAGACTTTTTTTTAATTGGAAAGTTAGATTTACAGGAGGAAAGAAAGATCTTCCATCCACTGGTTCACTCCTCAAGTGACTGCAATGGCTAGAGCTGAGACAATCCGGATCCAGGAACTTCCTCTCGTCCCCTCAGCAGGTACAGGGTCCCAAGGTTTTGGGCCATCCTCGATTGCCTTCCACAAGCAGGGAGCTGGATGGGAAGTCGAGCAGCTGGGATGTGAACTGGCACCCACAGGGGATCCTGTCACATGCAAGGCGAGGAGTTAGCCACTATGCTACCATACCAGGCCCACATGAACTTTTCTTTTTAAGGTTTATTTATTTTTATTTGAGAGCTACAGGGAGAAGGAGAGACAGAGACCTTCTATCCACGGTTCACTCCCCAAATGGCTACAACAGCTGGAGCTGAGCCAATACAAAGCCAGGCGCTTCTTATAGATCTCACATATGGGTACACGGTCCCATTGACGAGCTAACCTTTGCTGCTTTCCTAGGCCATAAGTAGGGAGCAGGATCAAAAACATTGCCACTAGGATATGAACAGATGCCCATATGGAATGCTTGTGCCACAAGTAAAGGCTTAGCTGGCTATACCACCATGTTGGACCCTACATGAACCTCATGTGCCTGGTTGCAAGAAGCCTTGCTGAACACCACAGAGGCCGTAGAAGTGGGCCTACCCCAGTCGGGAGGAACTGGACCATCGGGGCTTAGAGTCGGTCCCAGTGTCTGCCCTCACCAGCAGCACAGCTTTAGCCATCTCATTCTGCCTCACTGACTTATCTCCACACGCTCATCTGTGAAGCAACAGTGAGACGTCCCACTCACTGAGTCACTTCAAGGATGTGAAGGTGGTTTAGAAACCAGAAAGTTCTCTGTGAGTGTTGATATCATTTTCATTATTAAAACTTCGGGGGATTGGTGCTGCGGCACAGGCTAAGCTGCCGCTTGCAATGCCAGGATTCAAGTTCAAGGCCTCATTACTTCACTTCTGACATAGCTTCTAGTTAACGCACCTGGGAAAGTGGTTAGAGATGACCCGAGTGCCTGGACCCCTGCACCCACATGGAAGACCTGGATGGAGTTCTGGACTCCTGGCTTTGGCCTTGGCCCAGCCTTGGCCATGGCAGCCATTTGGGGGAGTGAGACAGTGTGTCTCTCCTTCTAACTTTGCTTTTAACATAAAGAAACCTTTGCAGCAAGAGCAAAACCAACTCCAATTGGGCTCAGAGACCTATGAAGCTATAGGCCAGCCAGGAGGGGACTTTTGCTCTGTCTTGGGCAGCAGGGCCTGAGCAAGCAAGGCTCTTCTGGTATCTCCACCCTCATCTTCAGTGCTCACCCAGGGAGCCCCAAGGTGCTTACTCAGGGGAAAGCCAGGAGCACCCAGACCCTGCTGCTGTATGCCTCAGTTTCCCCTGAGTTACTATTCCCGGGCTATAAGTCCTTGCTCAAAGTCCTGGAACTCATCAGCTCGTGAAAGGCACTGTCATTTGTCCCCATACAGGGAAGAAACGGGGACAGAGGTGTCACCAGAATGGTTCAGAATGAACTTCCAGATGCAGTGGGGTCACACCCACCAGCACCGGTGGCTGCAGCCTGGAGTGTGGCCATACCTGCCTCGGCTTGATGGTGAGCGGGCATACCTCCCGCGTGAGGTCCATCTGGCACAGGTCCTGCGAGCCGTAGCCGTTGACACAGTAGGCATCATAGCCAGAACCAATGAGCATGGAGCAGAGCAGTGTGCTGAAGTCGAAGCAGTTCCCCTGCTGCTGTCTGAGGACCGTGGTCGAGGAGTACAGGTGCGAGGGCTGTCCATGGCAGGTGCCCAGTCAGCAGGTGCCCGGTCAGCACCTGCCACCCTGCTTTCTTTGCCACCATCACAGCCCCCATCTGCTCAGGGCCAGGATCAAGGACCAGTAAGCAGGCTAGACTCACGCCCGTGGCCCTAGAGAGCAGGCCAAATACGAGGAGGGCCCCATGTGAAGCACAGGTACCTATCATATTAGGGGCTCACGGACTTCCTGAGTGGAGGAGCTACAGCCTGGGTCTGGCCAAGCCTCCTTCTTGCAGGCCCTACCTGGCTTGACATGAGCCCGCCTGTGAATGACACTCACCGGCTTGAGGGGGTCGGGCAGGGGCACCATAGTGAGGAAGTCGGAGACAAACTGGGCACAGCTGTCCCAGTTGTAGAGTTCAGAGTAGGGCATGAGCGTGGGCCGGATGGTGGTGCTCACGAACTTCTGCAAGGGAAGGCTTAGCCAGTGAGGCCCCTTGCAGCCCGGAGCTGCCAGAGCCCGTGAGCTGTGGGGCCCTGTGGGACCTGGAACAGGGGTGGGCACAGAGCAGCCCCCTTCCTAGCAAGAACATGGCACAGCTGAGGCAATGGCTGAAGGACCCCATCATTGGTTGGGAGGGGACTTAGGCTCTCACAACTCCAATGAGCTGCAGGGCCACAAGGGGCCAGAGAGTCAGGAGCTGAGCCAGAGGATCAGGGTTCCTGTCCCCTAGGCTTCCTGGCAGTGTTGGCCCCCTCCCAGAAGTTCTTGGCCAGGGTACACCTGATGTCCAGGGCCAGCTCTAAATCTGTGGGCCAGCCCTTTCAGAAAATAGCAAAAAAACAAAAGACAAACACAAATTACAATCAACCAACCAACCAACCAGACCAAAGCCCCAGGACTTGTTCCTCCCACCTGTGACCCAGAGCACCTGTGACTTCCCCCAAGTCTTTCTGGGACTCAGTTTCCCTATATGTAGCGGAGGCAACATGGGGCTCACCCAGATAACATGACACTGGTTCATGAGCTACAGAGCTGTGGATCCACAGCCTTCAGTACCCTTGGTAATTTTTAACATCTGTGTCAGCCACCAGCATTCCAAGCCCAGCTCTTCCTGCACAAACCCTGACCTCACTGTCCTCCCCTGACCTGGCAAGCCCAAGGCAGCCCAAGCCAGTTTCCTCACAGCGATCAGCACTGCCTCTCGTGGAGGTTGAGGAGGCTCATTTACTGGAGCCTGCCAGGGCTTCTGGATGGTTGAGTTGTGCCACTCCAGGTTCCCACACCTGGCAGAGCCTATCCCGTCTCCCCATCCCTACCCTATCCCCTCCATATCTCAGTCTTACAGGCACTCCACACTCGTTCAGCGGGTGCAAGAACAAGGGCACGCGGTCCGGACACAGGTGGCTGTACTGGCGAGAGAAGTTGTCTGCCACCTGCAGCAGGTGCTCCTCTCTGGGCGTGTTGGTTTTGTAGGAAATGGGCAGCTTGGAGATGTCAATGGTGTCCTTGGTCAAGGATCTGTCAGGGTACAACAGGGCAGGCTGTTGGTGCTCAGAGAAAGCTGTGCCTGGCATGCTGCGGACCCTTGAGTCACCTTGGCTGCTACTGCTTCGGCCCCTCCCTCATGGCATCCTTTTGACTACCCACTTGACAGGTATCAGCATGAACATCTGAGCCTTCAGAGTGGTTCAGCTGACTGAAGCACAGAGAGGTTGAGTAACTCTCCCAAGGTCCCACAGCAAAGGCAAAAAAAAAAAAAAAAAAAAAAAAAAAAAAAAGTGGAGACGTAGCCCCAGCAGGCTGAGAGCAGGGTTTTCCCTCAACAGCCTGGGCCCAACCCAGGGACTTGGTACTTCTTGTGCCCAGCCCTGGCCCACTCTCACCCCAGTTCACTCACGGCTGCTTTGTTGGGCTGGGGACTGGGATCTCTGAGAGCTTCCTCTCCAAGTCCCGGAGCATCTCCGGCGTGAATGTGGCGGTCTCTTTGTGCATCTCCATGGGCCTCACTGTCATCTTCTCTGGCCTGTCTGCCCGTTCTGCCCGCTCGGCCGCCTCCTCCCTCTCGGCCGCCTCCTCCTCCTCTACCTTCTCCCTCAGGACTTCCATTCTGGTACGCCCCTGGCTGCCTGGAGTAGGGGGTGTCTCTGCTGGGAGGGACAAAGGCTCTCAGAAAGAGGAAGAGCTCCAAATGGTTTCCATGGGTGGGTGGACTGCATCACAAAGCCCGGAAGTGAGTCCCTCTTCAATGTCCTTTCAGACCAGGAGAAGGTTCCTTTTGCTGCTAGCACCTGTCTAAGTTATATGACCTTCTCGTGCCTCAGTCCTTTTATCTACCCCATGACATCACCCAGAGCCCCAGGAGCAGCACCTGTTGTGGTACCCAGAGGGCCTCCCACCAGCACAGCCACCTTTCCACATTGCCAGGCCCTGCCCCACAGGAGTGTGTGTTATGGGGTGGGGAAGAGAGGCCTTGCACCTGATCTTAAAAATTCAGTTTCCAAAACCTCCTACAGGTGGCCAGTTGGCCTATGATGGAACCCAGTGCTGGCCAAGGAGGTGTACATGCAACATCCCAGGAGGCATGGCTGTCCTTTCCCCTTTTTCTGCTGGATTACAGACACAACACTGGGATGCAATGGCCTCGGCACGAACGGTACAGTCACTGTAGGTGGTGGCTGCTGACACAGGGGCCCAGGTCCCTGGGGATACCACAGACACCCACATGCCAACTCCAGACCTCCATGGATGCAAAAGCTCAGCCTCAACTGTAGGCTGCCCAACAAATGCCCTCCCAGCAGATCCCTGGCAACCCAGCTCTGCTTTCCCCATCACCCCATCTCAAATGCCTGCTTCCTTCACAGAGAACAAGGGCACAAGTCCAGCAAGGAGGAAATTGGACCCAACCAACATGATGCCTGGGGGAGACCAGGTGTCCCAGGTTTCTTATCACCCTGCAGAGTAGAGCCAGGCCTGAGTGCTGGGACCCAGGGAGGTATGTCACTGGCCTCCAGCCAGGTGAGGGACAAAACTTGGCTTGGCCACCTGCTCCTGCTGTGCTCCTGGGCCATGCCCTGCCCCTCTCTGGGCCTCAGTCACTCGTTCTTCCACAGGAAGAGAGAAACAGGTGTACTGGTCCAGCTATGATAGCCTGTGCTCCAGGCTCAGGACGTGCTGTATGGTCCTGTCGCTGGAAGCTCATGAGTCACAGTGGAGGCCCACCAATGAGGCCCACCCAGGACCCTGGTTCCTGAGGGACAAGCCTCCAGCCAAACAGCATGATTGGGTCATCAGTCCACTTGGCACAAAGAGGGCTAGAACCCTAACGGTTCAGTCAGCACCTTCTATGGGACAGACCCTGTGCTGTGGGGTCCTAACATGAGGAACCTCACCTATCCTCAAACAACTCTGTGTGGCAGATACTTGAACAAACCCACTTCACAGAAGAGGATACTGAGGTCTAGATAGATAAAGTGCCCCATATAAGGTCACAGCTAGCAGATCTGTGATTCAAACGCATAGACTCCTGGCTGTGTATGCTGTGTATATATATGTGTGTGTGTGTGTGTATGTATGTATGTTTTGTGTATATGATGGGTTAGGGCAGTCCAAGAAGGGGTGGTGGGAGATGAGGAAGTGATGTCAGAGCACACAGGGGTTACCTTAGAGCAGGGGGTGGAATGGGCCTGAGCCAAGGTCATGGGGCACCGCCTCACGGGAGCAAAGGGGGCCAGAACTGCAACATCTGACTCTCCCAGCTGTCTCTGCAGCCACCGCTGTTTCAGCGGGGCAGTGAGGACTCCCTAGGCCCTCCCCGATCCACAGACCCCCCCACCCCCCCACCCCCGTCACATCCCCTTTCTAGCAGCAAGCTCCTCTTCCCTGCTACACACACACACACACCCCAAAACTTCCCCAGAAAGATCAAGATTAGAGTGCCCCCACCCTGCCCAGGCAGAAAGAGCTCCCTCATCCCACAGCTCCTCCATCCCCCAATTCCAGCCCCTTTTTCCTTCCTCACCCCTCCAAGGACAGCCTGTGCTGTTAGCTGTCTCCAAGGTAACAGTGTGTGGAAGCTGTGGGCTGGGCCTGAGAGACGAGGCTTCTGGGAAATGTAGTCTTTGAGATGTCCCAGGTTCTCTGGGCCAGAGGTGTGTGTGGGTACAGCACGGTCTGCCCAGGTAGTTAAACTTACAGTTGTCAAACACAGCCTGCGAATCAATGGTTATGGAAGTAACAGAGGCTCGCCACTCATCACTTCCCAATGACTAGGCCCTTCCTTGAGGTGGTTTGAGCCTTCTGGGAGAGGCCGTCACTCAGAGTGGGAACCTGCGGCTTGGGGTGAGGGAGCCAAGACCTTCAGCACAGGAATCACATCTGGAGATGAGCCCCTCACCCCAACCCCAGTTCCCCGAGCTCACCTATAAAAACAGATCACATGGCTCAACCAAAGTGCCGTCCAAACTTGGGACTTGCTTCCTAGGAATGCACTGATCCTGCATGAGGCAAGGGAGGACTCCCAGTCTCTCATCGTTCAGTTGCTTTGCTGAGGTGGGGAAGTGAAGAGTCCCTCCTGCCAGGAACACCAGCCAGCCCCAGCCTACAGAGGGGCAGTGGCCCCAGCCTCCGGTGCAGGGGGCAGATTTAATCTTAACCAAGGCTTCTCACCACAGGCACCTGACAGTCCACAAGGCACCCTGGTAGTCATGGGATAGGGAGTAGGTACCTGGTCAGGAGGCCGAGGCTGGAACCTGGGCTTGGACTTGGACTCCAGTGGGAGGCCAGAGCCCAGGCCCATTGCTCTCAGCCATCTCTCTGCCTCGATTTTCTCTGGGTCAACTCCTCGGTTCAGTCTCTCTCTCCCCACAGCTACTGCAAACAACAAACCTGGGTCTGGTCAGAGATATTTCCTTGGCCAGGGCCCTGCCAGGTGGAGTCAAACTCAACCATCTACTCAGCCAATGCATATTTATTGAAACATTTTTGTGTTTGTTTGGCCTGAAGTATTCCAGGCCTTGTGCTGGGGGTGGGCAGATGAATAAGGCATCAGGGTGGGTTCCTGCCCTATGTACAGGCTGTGGTGATGGTGCCCACTATCTGCCAGGGAGTCCTCACCCTGCTTAGATGCACACATGAGGCAGGTGCACAATGAGGCAGGTGCACAGAGCCCTGGACCAATTGCCTCCCACCCTGACAGTGACAGCAGGTCCAGGGTCAGCCACATGCCTGACCTTGGGGTGGATGATGGGTAGGGGATCAGGTGAATGTGGCACAGCTATCCTGGGTACCCTGTGAGACTCAGTGTCCTGCCAGGCACCTGGTGGGCTAGCAGCCTGTGAATGCTTGGGTCACTTCCATGAAGATAGGTGCTGGAACAAAAGGCAAAGACCCCAGGGCAGCTCCATGGGAGGAGTTCCAAATAAACGTCCAGTTCACAACTCTCTCCGGGCTGAGGAGTGGCAACCTCCTGACTATCCTTGGGTATGGCTGCAGGGGACATTGGGAAATGCGTAGGAAGAACCAAGGCTCCTTAGGGGCTCAGCCAACTACATGCTCCCCTCTTTGGTTCAGACCCCTACTGTGCTCAGCTGGTGGGCATTGGCCAAAAGAAGCTGCCTGGTGACACAGACAGTGGTACTCTGTGCTGGTAGGAGTCTCAGGATGACAGGAACTTGGCCTCCTGCAGTCTGGGTCCTTGGCCTTGTGGGCCCATGGACATGTCTGAATGGGATTCAACAGGCCACCACATGCCAGCTGTCTCCTGGCCCCTCCCTCTGCATGGCACCAAGGAAGAGACTGCAGCCTGGAGGAAGGTGGGGAGCCACCCAAGATGACCCAAACAGCCAGTCACATCTCCAAAGCAAGGCCGAGGGCTCCTATTCAGGTGATGAGAACTGGGCCTGGTCCACCCGGGCAGTGCCAGAGGAGGAGGAGTTGGTGCTCTGACGTGGCAGGTAGAGCATGGAGAACCAGCAAAAGATGAAGACACCTACAAACAAGGAGAAGGCCTGGCTGAAGTCGGGCTGCGGCTGACACAGTGACATAGCAAGCTAATCTTCCACTTTAGATCAGCTCAGTTTCGGCCATTGAAGCTACCTGGGGAGTGAACCAGGAACTAGAGAATCTTCTATTTCTTTGTCCTCTCTGTAAACTCTGCCTTTACAGTAAAAATAAATAAAATCTTAAAAAAGAAATGCCACGGTCCTTGCTGAAGCTGTCACATGTAGTCTGTCATTTCAGGGCACAGCTCTCCCCAACTGTGAATGTCTGGGGTTTTCCAGACATGAACTCAGGGTTTGTCACAGGCAGGGACAGCTGCAAACGGCTTCCTGGCAGTCATTTCTGCTGGTGCCGACATTTCTCCTGAACCTGGGCTCCCCGATCTCATCCCAGGGACTCCTAGTGAGTAGCCCAGGGCTTGATGACCATCACAGGAATTGAGGGACCCACTGGAGCATGGGCGGAGCTTGGATTCTAGTCCCAGCCACTATACACACAGCCTCATGGGTCCCTGGGAGCCAACCCTGGTCTTGAAGGCTCACACGTGCCACAGCAAGGAAGCCTTGGCTCCTGGTGACAGCCCAGAACAGGTGAGCTATTTCCCTCATTAACAGGCGCATGAGATATCTCTGTGAGGAGCAAGGGCAGCAGGTGCAAGAAGGGAACAGTGACTTCTATTCTCGGCTCGGGCCCTCTGCCGGGGTCTCAGTCGTTTCCTTGCTCTTGAAAGACACAAAGTCACAAGACCTTGACTCCTGCTCCTAGCTGATTGGACCAGAGGTGGCCATCTGAATTGGAAGGTCACTAGGGTGGAGGCTGCCACCTGGAAGCCATGGGTGGAAAGGGCCATCAGGGAGAGAAGGAAGGAAGGAGAGACAGAGGTCTGGGGATCCAGATGCAGAGAGCAGCAGCTTTGGTTTGGGTGGTATCCCTGAATGTAGGCTAGTCTGGCTGCTGGGTATTTAAAATCTCCCACTTGACATGAGCAGCCCAAGGGAACTCCTGCCTCTTGACAACCATACCCTCTTTCCCCGCTGCCTTCTTGGATGCACCTGACCTGCAAGGCTCACCTTGCAGTGAGTTGAGAAGTGCGAAGACATAGATGGTGGAGAGACCCAGGGGTGTGAGGATGGCCAGCCCCCACGTCACGCCCACAAGGCTTGAGAGCCCCAGCACTGTGAAGACCGCCTTCCAGCTCTGCCCCTCCTGCTTGCCCGCCATGGCACTTGAAAGAGTACAGATCTTCCATGCCACCAAGGCCAGGACCACAGCGCCGAATAGGAAGGTGACCAGGAAGTAGCCATGGACAGTGACATGGAGGGCGGTTTCTTCATGGAACCAGCACCTGCAGGAGGGAATGGCCATGATGCCTAAGCGAGGATGTGTTCTCCCACAGCAAGCTCCAGAAAGTCCCCTCCAGGGGGACCTTTGCCCTCCCCTATCTCCACCCCCATTCCCCACACTCCTGTTAGGCATGGGGTTGCCTGTAGGCACCCTGCCCCAGTGATACCCAAGGACCACATTAACCCCAAAACTTGCTCTGTGTGTCCTGCTGTCAAAGACCTTTGGAAGGTTGGATACAGGCATCCAGAATTCTGCTTCTCTTACAAAATCAGCCTCCTGGCTACTCCATGGACACACTCTGCAGCCCCTTAGACATGCAAGTGACCCCTAACCCACTGCCCTCCTGGCCACTGCAGGCATCTCTGTGACTCAGTCTGTCCTGGGGACCCTGTTTTCCCAGGTCCTGGGGACAGAGTCTAGCCATTTCTGGTTCACAGCCACAGGCCCAGAAGCAGGTGCCACAGAAGCAAGTGAGGGCAGGCTTGTCCTTGGTCACACACATAGTCAGGGTCAGAACCTGGACTAGACTCAGGCTGCTACAAAGGGATAGGCCAGCTGCACAAGGGCACCTGGCCGAGAGGCAGCCAGGAGCTGAGGTCTGCATTTGCTTCTATCACCAGGCTGAGCAGCTGGCATGGGAGAGGTGCCACCTGGGCAAGAGGTGACTCAGGCAAGAGCAAGTCATCCTAACCCTGCTTCAGTCCCCTCTTGACAGCACCCCCCTTTCTCTCTGCAGCCTCAGTTTACCACCCCTATGCTATGCACCAGCTGGATCTCAGGATCCCTCTGGTCTGACTGTAGCTGGACTACCTCCCTTGCATTCCTGTCTTTCCCCCTCCTCCCTGCAGCCCCTGACATCACCCCTGCTCCTCCACAGCATCACTCACAGCTCCAGCGAGGTACGGTTGTCCTGGTCACGGATGTTGTAGAGGCCATAGCTGTTGGCACTCCCTGTGCCAATGACCACGAGGGCAGGCAGGCCTAGGGGCAAGGGGAGAGACGTGGCCTTGCTAGAGCTCCCTCAGTGCCAACCTCCGTCAAACTCTGTGGGATCCCCTAGAACCAGCCATCACTGATCAGCCAAAACCTACCCCAGCCCACCAAGCTTAGCTTTAGGAAATAGTGCCTAAAGTAGGTGTTGAAGACCCGAATGGCAAGCAGGTAGAGATGGAAGGCTTCCAGGCACATCCAGGTGAAGGTAGTAAGCAGGAAGTAATGGAACATGGCACCCCGGGCCCAGCAGGTAGCACTGGAGCCTCCAGAGCCACTGCCCACATTGACCAAGAAGGTCAGATTCAGCAGAAGCAGGCTACTGCTCAGGGACGCGTGGATCTTGGGGGGATCTTCTGACTTGAACCTCTGCCGGGAGAGCCTGCAGAGAGAGGAGTTTGGCTGAGATTCCAAGAGCTACCATGCCTGGGAGGTGCTCTTGCCCATCCATCACATTGTCCAACAGCTGTGATTCCACCTCCTGTGCCTGCTCCTGCAGGATCACCCATATCTGCAGTCCAGTTGAGAGTCCCACCCCCAAGTTCAATCCCAAACTGCTCTGCAGGTGCCAGACCTACAGCCTCAGCCCTGACCTTGATGGCCCTCTGTCTGTGTAGCTTGCAGACTGCTGCTGCCTCCTCACCTCTTCCAAGTTGAGTCCACACTCTTCCCTCTGATTCCTGGGCTCCTCCCTGCACCCCAACTCCTCCAAGCTTCCTGCCTGACCCCCGACTCTGCCTTCAAAACTCCCCTACCACCTGCCTGCTGTGGACACTGGCTCTGAATGCCCTGAGCACAGGTTGGGCTACAAGGTTCCCAAGAGCACTATGCAATCCTGACCCTGATTGTGAACTCAGGGGCCCGCACAGGTGATGAGAGGCAGCCAGAGATGGATAGATGGAAGGACGTAGGAAGCCTAGAGTATGTCAGGGGATGGAGTCTCTGAGAGGGACAGGGATTTTCAGAGTTATGTGCAGAATCTCTGCCCAGTGCTTCTCAGCCAGACTTACTTCCCTCTCCATTGAGCTCCCTCTCCACATTCTTAACCCATCATGTCCCTAAGGGCTTGCACCTGACAGACAGGCTCTTTCCTAGGGTTGCCTAGAGAAGCTGGTGGGCTCCCATGAGGTGTCAGGTCCTACACCCTTGGGAGCTGGTGGCAGTTCTTCCCTGCACTCCCAGCCCAGTTCCTGCCCAGGCATACAGATAGCTGACCAGCCTTGCTCAGCTTATTGGGGTTGGAGATGATGTCCTAGGCCAGGCTCTGCAGGGCATGAAGGTGGTGGCATGACTTACATTGAGGGAGTTGGTCTGGGACTATAGCCCAGGACTGATGACCAAGAAAGGCAGTGGAGGGCCCCAACATGGGAAACGGGGACCTCCAAGGGCTGCTCCGTGTTGGTTACGGCTGAGCTTGGGTAATGCAGGTGGGAGTAACATGGGCTGCTCCCACAGGCTCCTGCAAGCTGGTAGATCTTTAACGTTCCCTAGCCTGGGCTCTGGGCAAGTGAGATCTGCCCCTTCTTCTGAAAGCAGCACCGGACATCCCAAAGGAATATCCTGCCCCCATCAGCCAGGATCCAATGTACAGGGAGTGGTGGTGGTCAGTCCTTTGTTAGCTCAAATCTAGAGTAGCCACTGGACCTGGCCTGACCAATCCACCTGTTCCTTCCTTTAACCACAGAATCCCCTGAGACCAGCATGAAGCTCAACTCCAAGAGTACACAAGGGGTACAACTGCATAGGCACACACATGCACGAATTCAAGTTTCAACTGAGGAAATGGAGCAACACGTCTCTTCCGGCCTGCAGAACCCTCTTGCATTCAACTTCCTGGTTTTGGTATCATGCTATAGTTCCAGAGGGCAGCACTGCTGGGCAGGTGACACCAGAGGACTCAATGCTATTTTTGCAGTTTCCAGTCAGTCTGTAATTACTTTGCAGTAAATCATTCCATTCCGGGATTGAGTTCTGAATATTCAGAAAGAGGAGAGAGGGCTTTCATGTTGGCCTGAGCTGTCACAGCCATGATGTAGCCTGTGGCCGGGAAAGACTCTGGAGGTGGGGAAGCTGCCTGGCCAGGCCCACAAGGCTGTGAGAGGTGAAGGGAGGTCAAGGCCCTGCTGCGGACGCTTTGGAATACCTGGACCAAACCGCCTCAAGTCCACGGGCTTTGGGGTTTTCCCTGACCTGAATCACACAGGCCCTATTTCACTTAAGCCAACTGACTTGAGTTTCTGCACCTGTCACTGAAGTTGTCCTGACCCTCCCTGATCTCTAATCCCATTTGCAATTGAGGGGGAGCAAGGTATGGACACACTACACAACCAGGAAGCTTTCTACCCTGTCCCTGGAAGACAGAAGGGAAATGGCAGCAGGGAGTATTGCATGGGGGTGTCACCCACCTCAAGGCAGCGTAGAGGACAATGGTAAAGGCCAGGAAGATGGAGGAGACAGCGCAGGCCGCCTGGGAGATGCGTGTGAGGATGTGTGCGGTGGTCTGGTCCAAGATAGGCCTCTGTGGATGACCCCACAAACCAGTGTGGTCAGCGCGAGGTCAGGCCCATGCACCCCAGAGGCCTCAGCTTCAGTGGGCAGTCCCCTCCCAGGGGTAGGCATGGGTAGGCACTAGCAGTGCTGCAGGGATCTGGGAAGAGTGAGCTGTTACCAGCAGCAAGGCAAAAAAAGTCAGGTGATCGCAGCGGCAGACAGTCTTCTCGGCTTGGCACTCCGTGGAGCAGCCCTTGGAATCCCAGTCTCCTGGGGAGGCCGGGAGGGGAGAAGCTTCATCTCCTTCCCCTAGGGAGCCCAACCCCTCCCTGCCCATCTGACCCCAGGTCAGCTGGACCCTACCTTTGTCCGTGTCCCAGAACACGCAGGTGAAGGTCATGTTCTGGAATCAGGGCACAGAGTCAAGAGAGAAGAAGGAGGAAGGTTGGGAGAGGAGGGAGGGGTGGGGAAGTAGCATGCTCCAGAGGGCCTGGCTTGTGTGCATGTGCATTAGGCAGAAAGCAAGGTTCACCCCTGTGGGTCACACAGGAACATGAATTTGCATCATCTGACATAGGTTGGACCAGTGGGTAAGGTGCATAGACCGTGGGGCTGGGGTGGCAGGGCTTGGGAGCATGTTACGCACATGTGTGAGCATGTGTGTGTGCACGGTGCCTGTAGGGAACAGATTTGTGGGCAGGAGTGGGAGTGGTCCAGGGCACATGTGTATAGGACAATTGTGTGTCTCGGAGCACAGTAGTGTGTTCAGCCACAGTAGCTTCTCCTGGGGATGCCTGCTCAAAACTCATGTGCCCTCGCATGCTCGTCCATCCTGCCTTCCCAGTGATGGCCAGTAGAGAGAGGGGACTCACGGGGGGCTGGCGCTGGTGGGAGAAAGTGATTTCCACAGGCTCGGCCAGCCTGGTGACAGGTGTTTTGTTCATACTCAAGCTCACCAGGCAGTTGTTCAATACGCGGCTGCCATCCTCCAGGCTGAGCTGGGGACCCTACAAGGGCAGAGGGGAGGCAGGCTATGGAAGGAACTGTTCCAACCCTCCCCAGCAAGGCACTGCCTGCTGCTGCCTGTGGTCTGTGGCTTGGGATGGTCTCATCCATATACTTCAGGTCAGCCGGCTACAAAGCTGTGCACCTGATAGCTCTCTATGGTCAGCCTCTGGGACTTCTCTGTCCTCAGAACAAGCAGGCATGGGGCCAAGATCAGCCAAGAAACTGGAGAGCAGAGGGGCCTTATGGACAGGCAACTGTACAGAACTGCTACAGGTGCACACACACCTCTGGGTGAACACAGCCAACACAGAGATTTACCAGGGTCAGGGGACACTTGCTTATGTGGACGAGGTCCCACAAGATCACATCAGATAACATTTGCAAGGGCACAGCAAAGGACACACATGTGTGGGCATGCACAAGGGCACATGAGCATGCTTGGAATGCATGCAAGGTGAAGGGTGCTGGTGTGTGGGTTGGCTTCAAGTCCAAACACTCCAGAGATGGATGGCTGCCCTGACCCATTGGAGCCCTCTCAGTGGTCAATGCAGGTAGGCTAGAACGTGGGGCCCTAGTAAAGCCTGGAATACCCCTATGTCCCCAACAGGCTTCTCCTCACCTTGAAGAGAGTCCCCAGACCTACATCCAGAACCATCAAAGCCAGCTGGACTGCGGACCTGTTGCCTGGCAGGTTTCTGAAAAGGCTCTTGGGAAATCGGACTCCAACAAGGGGTTTGTTCTCGCCCTTCATTACTCGCCTTGGAACCTGCAACCACAAGCCCAGAAGCTCCAATCTTTACCCAAAAATTATCCCCACCACCCCAAGAGTCCCCACCTCTATCAGTACAGTTGGGAGGGAAACCGAGGCACGCAGGGTGGACAGGCAGCACCTGAAGCCTTTCAGCTCAGAAATAGGACCTCCCAACATACTCTGAGTTTGCCCTGCATAGCTGGTGAACCCTAGGTCAAATTGTAGCATTTGTGTAGACTCAGTTTTCCTAAACTGGAGAATGGAGCTGAGCAGGTGCCTGTGTAACCACCAGTATGGCACAAGTGGCAGAAACAGAAGAAAGCTGGGCCATCTCAGTTTGCTAATGTGAAGAAGGTCCTAATCACCACTATGTATAACTCGGGATAGTAACCCAGTTCAAAAACTCGGAATCATTTAAACGACCATAAACCCCACTGGTAACTATGGGCATGCTCAGTCTCTGATTTCCCTGGTTTTCCTAAGACTGCAACCCCATCCCACCTGGCACATCCTCTGCGCTAGAAACTCAGACTTGGAGCTGCAGCCCCACCCTCCATTTCCTTCTCTGCCCAGACCTTGCCCAGAAGACATGTGGGTGATTTCCGGGATCAGCGAAGACCCTGTGCAAAGGGTTTAGCTGCTTGTGCAACAGAATAAAGGGACCAAGAAAAGACCATGGGGTCCTTGTCTCAGGAGGCTGAGCTCCCACTGTACCTGCCATTCTCTGTGCACCTGCCATCTCACGGCTCCTCCCATCGTCTTGACAATAAGGAGAAACTGAGACTCAAAAAAAAATCAGTTGTTCATAATTACACTTGCTGTTAAGGGGGCAATGTTGGGATTTGAACCCAGACTGATATAAATCCAGAGTCTGCTCACTGAGCCCATTGGTAGCCAGAGTGCCAACCCGCCATACCCTCCTTCCCCATGTCTCTTAGATGGAAGTGCTCATAGGAGTCTCAGACTTGGAGGAGATATGCAGCCCGCTTTACAGATGAGGACTCCAGAGCTCCTGGAAGGAAATGGATTTCCTGAAGGACAGGTAATATAATGGAGAATGCAGGACTAGAATCCGAGTCTCCTGACTCTTCTTCAGGGATCTCCCCTGCTGAATAACTGGGACCACTCATCCAATGACCTACCAGGAACTTTGTGGGTGGATGGGGGAACGCCTCACCTCAGAGGGCTTTAGAGAAAAGTTCAGGTCCTCCGTGGTGTTGGTGCTGAAGCTCTGGACCACAGCTTTGACGAAAGGCAAGTCCACCCTGTGCTCCGAATTCTGCACCAGGTACTTCTCATAGTTGAGCCAGTAGCTGCAAGGGCCAGGGGTCAGGGGGAGGCCAGGATTTTGCCATCTGAGTCATCTACCCATTAGGCTCCTGGGGTGACAGGACTGACCCAGAACACGCAAAAAGCACACCCTAGAGTTGCTGTGGGAGGGAGGACAGCCTGGTCCCAGCGGGTTCCCAGCTGGAGGTCTCTGAGTACATGAGGGGATTGTCCTTTTGTCATAAAATAGTTACAACCATTCTGAAGTGTATAATTCATTGGTGTCGACATACTCCCCACAGTGTGCAATGGTTACCACTATCTAGTTTGTCATCATCCCAAATGCAAACCACGTACCCATTCAGTAGTCCCTCCCTGGCTACTTCCTCCAGCCCGTGGCAACACTAATCAAATCAGCTTGCAGCCTTTGAGAATTGCCTGTTCAAGCCATTTCATACACATGGAAACCCTACTTCTTGTACTTAGCACAACATTTTCAAGCTTTATCTGTTATAGTGTGCATCTGGGCTCTGCTCGTTTTCCTGCATGAATGCTATTTCGTTGTATGAATAGTCCACATTCCAGGTACTCATCCTTTGATGGGCAGCAGTGCCATTTCTATTTTTTGGCTATTGTGAATAATCCTGCTATGAATATCCATGCACAAACTTCGATTAGAAAGACTTGCTTTAAATTCTCTTGGGCATCAACGTTGGAATGGAATTGCTGGGTCTTAGGGTAATCCTAACTTCATGAAAAATTACCATTTTGCACGGTGGTTGCACCAGATTACAGTCACACCAGCACTGTACGAGGGATACAGTTTATCCATCTCCTTACCTGCACTTGGGGTTTTTGTTTATATGTATTTTATTTTATTCAATGTTTTCTGCTCTGTTTTTAATTACAGTCATCTTCCTGGGTATGAGACGGTATCTTTGGGGAAGGTTTTTTCTTTTTGTATTTTCAGAGAGATCTTCCAACTGCTGGTTCACTCTCCTGATTGAGGGCAGCAGCCAGGTCTTCCACATGGGTGGCAGGGGCTCAAACACTTGGGCCATCTTCTGCTGCTTCTCCCAGGCCATAAGCAGGGAGCTGGATCAGAAGTGCAGCAGCCAGGACTCTAACTGGCACTGATAAAGGATGCTGGCATCACAGCCATCACAGGTTTTCCCTGCTACCCCACAATGCTAGCTTTTGTTATTGTGGTTTTACAATTTGTTTGGGGCCAGCATGATGACTCAACTGACTAATCCTCTGCCTGCAGGTGCTGGCATCCCATATAGGCTCCATCTAGTTTGTGTCTTAGCTGCTCCACTTATGATCCAGCTCTCTGCTTATGGCCTGGGAAAGAGGCCTTGGAACACTGTACTTGCGTGGAGACCTAGAAGAGGCTCCTTATTCTGCCTTCAGACCAGCTTGGTTCCAGCCACAGCAGCCATTTGAGGCACGAACCAGCATAGAGATCTTTCTCTGTTTCTCCTCTCTGTAAATCTGCCTTTCCTATAAAAATAAATCTTTAAAAAAAAATAAGACTATTTATTTGAGCAACACAGAGACAGGCAAAGAGAGCTCCCATTTGCTGGTTCACTCTCCAGATGCCCACAATGGCTGGGCTGGGCCAGGCTGAAGCCAGGTGCCAGAAACTCAACCCCAATCTCCCACATTTGTGACAGGGCCCACCTACTTGAGTCATTACCACTGCCTTCCAAGACCTGCATTCGCAGAAGGCTGGTGTCAAGAGCTGGAATCAGGGATCAAGCCCAAACACTTTTTTTAAAAAAAAAAAAAAAAACATTTATTTTTATTGCAAAGTCAAACATATACAGAGAGGAGGAGAGACAAAGAGGAAGATCCTTCTTCTGATGGTTCACTCCCTAAGTGACTGCAATGGCCGGTGCTATGCCAATCCAAAGCCAGGAACCAGGAGATTCTTCCAGGTCTCCCACATGGGTGCAGGGTCCCAAGGCTTTGGGTCGTCCTCGACTGCTTTCCCAGGCCACAAGCAGGGAGATGGATGGGAAGCAGGGCTGCTGGGACCAGAACTGGTGCCCATATAGGATCCAGGTGCGTTCAAGGCAGGGACTTCAGCCGCTAGGCCACGGCGCCAGGTCCTATCCCAAACACACTTAACCACCTCAGCCATGCCCTGTCTCCCATTGAGCTTTCATTGGCATTTCCCTAGAAGCTACTGATGCTAAGTATCTCTTTGTATGCTTGTTGGTCTTTGCATGATTTATTTGGAGGAATCTGAGTATTTTTAACTGGGGGATTATTGTGTGCTTGAGCAAGTACTGTAAGCACATGTATTGAGTGCTAATTGGATATTGGACATCCAGCCTTTGAATCAGCTATATGGAGAAAGATCATCTCTCCCCTCCCCACTCCCTATCACACTAGCTAGCCTTTGCTTTACCACTGTTCCAGCTACCTGAAACTAGCAGTTGACGCTCTATGGTGCTGAAACCTTTTGTGTATCAGAAGCATCTGGGGTGATGAGAGAGAATGCCCACTTCTCACAGCAATTTACACACTCAGAAAATCATTTAGAGGGCCTGGTACAGTAGCCTAGCGACTGAAGTTCTCACTTTGCACACGTCTGTTCATGTCCCAGCAGCCCCATTTCCTATCCAGCTCCCTGCTTGTGGCCTGAGAAAGCAGTCAAGGATGGTCCAAAGCCTTGGGACTCTGCACCCATGCAGGAGACCTGGAGGACACTCCTGGCTCCTGGCTCCGGATGGGTACAGCTTTGGCTGTTGAGGCCATTTGGGGAGTGAATCAGTGGAGGAAGATCTTCCTCCATTTTTCCTCCTCTCTATATATATGATTTTCCAATAAAATAAATAAATCTTTTTTAAAAATATCACTAAGAAAAATTCAAACAAATCACAAAACAATGAAGGAAAGAGTTAAAATGATACTTACAAAGAGGATCTTAAAACTGCACATAAAGACATACAGGGTGTTAAGCTTCAGAGTTATCAGGGAATTTAAGTCACGAGCAGATACACAACCAACCTGCCAGAATGACTAATATGAAAAAAGTAGATTACATCAAGGGCTTCCAAGGCTGTGGGGAAGTTAGAGCTATTTCAACTTGCTGGTGAGCACGGGGCTCGCGTCAACCTCTTTGGAAAACTACTTGGCAGTTGCTATCACATGCCTTTACCTAATGCAGCAAATTGTGCCTAGAAAAACACCACACAAAATTATGCATGTTCATGCAACTATCAAGAAGAAACATAGGGCCCAGCGCCGTGGCCTAGCGGCTAAAGTCCTTGCCTTGAACGCGCCGGCATCCCATATGGGCACCTGTTCTAATCCCAACAGCCCTGCTTCCCATCCAGTCCCTGCTTGTAGCCTGGGAAGGCAGTGGAGGATGGCCCAAAGCCTTGGGACCCTGCACCTGCTTGGGAGACCTAGAAGAAGCTCCTGGCTTCAGATTGGCTCAGACCAAGCGGACAGAAGATCTGTTTCTCCTTCTCTTTAAAATCTGACTTTGCAGTGAAAATAAATCAATCTTAAAGAAAAAAAAAAGTAGAGTCCATTCAAATATTCATCAACAAAAGAGATGACTGGATACAGATTACTGATTTCTGTGAAAGTACAACCAAAAATTCAGGAAGAGTGAAGTTAAAAGATAAATTTAGGGGCCAGCACAGCCAAGCCTCATCCTGTGGCATTGGCATATCGCATGGGTACTGGTTCTGGTCCCAGCTGCTCGCCTTATGATTCAGCTGCTTGCTAATAGCCTAGGAAAGCAGCAGAGGATGGCTCAAAACCTTGGGCCTCTGAACCCATGTGAATGACCCAGAGGAAACTTGTGGCTCCTGGCTTTGGATCAGCTCAATCATAGCCACTACAGCCATTAGGGAAGTGAAACAGCAGATAAAAGATCTGTTTCCTTTGTAGCTCTAACTTTCAAATAATTTTTAAAATATATTTAAAGGTTAAATTTATGTATTTTGTTGAAGATTTATTTATTTTTATTGCAAAGTCAGATATACAGAGAGGAGGACAGAGAGATCTTCCATCTGATCATTCACTCCCCAAGTGACTGCAATGGCTGGTGCTGTGCCAATCTGAAGCCAGAAGCCAGGAACTTCCTCCAGGTCTTCTACGTGGCTACAGGGTCCCAAGACTTTGGCCTGTTCTCGACTGCTTTCCCAGGCCACAAGCAGGGGGCTGGATGGGAAGTGGGGCTTCCAGGACACAAACTGTCACCCATACGGGATCCTGGCACATGCAAGGCAAGGACTTTAACCACCAGGCTACCACAACAAATATGTAATACTTTGTCATAAGAAACTTATTCAAATAGTAGCATATATTGAGCTCCTACTGTTTGCTAACAACTCTTAACATGTGTTGTTGCATTCAGTGTTAACAACCACCTAGGGGGAAGGCATTAGAAATCAGGAACAATGGCTTTAGAAGACAAAGTAACAATGCTGTTAATTAAACAGGTAAAACTGCTAATGTGTGTGAATTACAGATTTGGTGGAGTTTAGTGATATTTTTGTCCCATTATACAGATGTGCAAATTGAAAGACAACCTATCTGGAATCCAATGCCTCTTTTAAGCAATGGCTGTCTGATCCTGCAAGTCTCTGTCACAGCCTTCCAGATCTAGGCTTGCACTTGATTTTGCTACTTGCCTGCTGTGTAACTCTAGATAAATTACTTAACCTTGAGTGCCTTGGATATATGGGGTTGCTAGGCAGGGTTTGGAAGTGCTGGTTGGGGACCGAAGCCGGAAAGCTTGTCTGGTCCCAAAGAGTAAGACAGCCCAAAGCAAAGCCCCTGAATAGCTCTGGGGTCGGGTGGGTGGAGCCACGAAGCTGCCAGAGCAGCTGAGGACAAGGATGGGAGCATTTTCAGTCCACGGAGATCACGGAGGCCGGTCCATTTACGTTCCCGCCCTCTCTTGGGTTCATGGGGGTACTTCCTTCCTTCCACAGATATCTGCTGAGCACTGGCCCACAAGTCAGGTGCTTTTCTGTGTCCCCAGAAGTTTCTGGCAGCTTTGATCAGATTAGATTAGAGCAGGTGAACTAGTTTGGGAGATGACTTCACAATGTCATCTAAACTTCTCCTCAGTCTCAACCCACACCTCCTCAGGTTCTTGGGCTCCTGGCTCCACATCATCTGACCTCCTGGACCCCTCATCCCTTGCCAGGTGCACCTGTCAGTTTGCCAGGCCAGCCCCTCACTCGTTCCCAGGCCACTGCAGTGGCACTGACCTATTTCACCCTGCTGCCTCCTGCATCCCCACCCCTGGGTTCTCTACTAAAGCCTGAATAGTCTTGTAAAATATAAAGTGGACCCTGTTCTTCTGCACTTAAAAACATCATTTCCAGGCCCAAGGTGGTAGCCTAGCGGTTGAAGTCCTTTCATTGAATGCACCGGGATCCCATATGGGCTCCAGTTCTAATCTCGGCAGTCCCACTCACTTCCCATCCATCTCCCTGCTTGTGGCCTGGGAAAGCAGTCGAGGATGGCCCATAGCCTTGGAACCCTTCACCCATGTGGGAGACCTGGAAGAAGTTCCTGGCTCCTAGATTCAGATAAGCTCAGCACCAGGCATTGCAGTCACTTGGGGAGTGAATCATTAGATGGAAGATCTTCCTCTCGGACTCTCCTCCTCTCTGTATATCTGACTTTGCAATAAAAATAAATCTTTATTTTTTAAAAAAAATCATTTCCAGGGAGGGCAGGAAGGTGTCTGGAACAATAGCAAAGCCTGGGTTTGGATCCAGCTCCACTTCAGATCCCAGCTCACTGGTACTGTGCACCCTCAGAGGCAGGCTCCTGGCTTCAGCCTGGGCCAGCCTAGATGTTGTGGACATTTGAGGAACCAGTGGATAGAAAATCTCTCCTCTTTCTCTCTGCCTTTTAAGTAAAAAAAATATATATTAATAAAAATGTTAAAAACCAGTGCCTGCTTCCCTGTCCCCCCCACATTGTTGCAGCTCCCACAACTCGTGCCACCTTAGCCCCGGTCTAGATGCGGCTGCTTTAAAAGAGTTCATGGGAAATGTGGATTTATGAAAGAACTAAACACAAACTTCAGCACTTTTAATTCCACTCCCATAAACTTTAAGTCATGCTGCACTCCCGTGCTCAGTTCTGTATCCCTGCCTCCTCTTCACAGCAGCGAGCTCCACCCTAGTCCCATATGCTCCCCTGGCACTTACAAGTTCTGCTGCCTGGGCTCAACTGGAAAACTCCTATACACTCCTCAAAACCTTTCCATGGGTTGCCTCTGTGGGAGCCTCGGCAGCCTTCTCTCCTCCAGGCTAAACTGGCACCCTGCCCATCGTTCTGTTTGCTAGCACCTGGGATTACCACCGCTTGGATTTGTATAGGGCAGAATGAGTGCCACCCCGGGGGTCAGCTGGGTGTCCTGATTCCTGGGCAGGAGGGAGATGTGAGAACCAAACAGCAAGCAGGGAAAAGTGAGTGGGAGCAGCAGCATTCTCCAGGGCCATGGGGGCGCCTGCCCCCTCACCCCACCCTCTTCCCAGGAGCTACAGGCTCCCCCACCCCACCAGCTGTGGCACCTCACCTGTGCAGTTTCCCCTCGTTGCATGACTCCTGGTGCCTCCGTCGACATTTTGCAAAGCACTGGGCGGTCTCCTCCAAGGAGAAGGAGTCATACTGGCCTGCATTCAGGATCCCCAGGCAGACGTTTCTTGGCTTTTCATTGGGCCTCTGACCTGGGGTTGCACAGTGTGAGTGGTGGGCTGCACGGGGTGGAGGGATGGTCATGATGAGAGGAAATTCAAGCTCCAGAGCCTGGTGGTGTGTACAGGCTGGAGCCAGCTCTGTTTCCCTGGGTTCTGGTTTGTCCCTGGACCACGATGGATACCACTCCCTGACCTTGACACCTCCCAGGGCTGTGTGATGTTCTGGGCCAAGTATGGGCAAAGGACTTGGCATCTGGCTTTGCGGACACAAAGTCCCCCTATTAGGTGCGATGGTTCCTTTCCTTTCCCGCCTGCTCCAGGAAGCTGTGCTGTCACACCTCATGAAACCTTTGCAACAGGAGCTCCCAGCTTAACGCTTGGCCCTATACAGCCCGGTTTGCCACATTCTCTCACATCAATGTTACAACTCTCACAGCCACCTCCTACATGCTGTCAGCAGAGGATGTAGCCAGCAAAGGCCCCTGGTTCCCAGTGTGGTCACCAGCTAATCAGAGGCTGCCCCAGGATTACAGTTCTGCCATGGTGACTTCTAGATCAGTTTCCTTTGACTTAATACCGGGATAGATGCAAGCCTCAGGCCACCTGATGGCTGTGTGTTCTCAGGCAAGTTACTTAAACTCTCTAAGCTATGGTAATCTCATCAGCAAAATGGGAGCTTATGTACCTTCCTTGCGAGTTCTGGGGGGGAAGATGGGACATAATATACATAAAGCATGTAGCGTGGTGGTTCTAAGAGTTTACTATTTATTCCGGCAGATGGTTCATTCTAGACTGTTCATTCTAAGACTGTTTATATGCTGAAGCACCTGCTGTGGAAGCCTGGATGTGTCTCCTTGTATTCACTGATCTTTCAACAAAGGTAACATGGGCCTCGAGTTTACCACCTAAGCCACGCATGAAGACATGGAATGAGAATTGTAAGCTCCTCTCCCTGCAGGTCCCAGGCCACATGCTGGAGTTCACCTCCTTCAAACTGCATCACTTCCCAGAAATAACCCAGGTACACAGCACCATTTACATGCAGATCTTTTCCATGTACCTCACAGGGTCCTTAGGGGTACATCTTGAGGAATCTTCCCATTCTTCATACAGAGAACATGCTTCGCTCTCTACGCAGCTGAAATACATCACAGCCCCCAGAGAAGGCAGCTCTACTAGACCCCTGGGTTTCTTAGGGGCAGGGGCCACTTAGTGCCTATGTAGGGCCTGGCACAGAACAGAGTGGCACTACTGATGTCATGAATGCATGAGTGAATGAGTAAGTAGGCAGACAAATGGCAACTAACACAGGCAGGTCCACTGATGGAGATATCTCCTCTCCCCATACAAACCTCCCCCAAGGCTGTAGCCTGTCCACCACTGGGGTCCCCACCTGGCCAGAGGGGAAAGGTCACTGCTCCGGGAAGCATAGAGGGTCCAGCCAACAAATGATACAATGTTTGCAACCAGAGGAGGGACTTGTGGCCCTGTAGTGTCAGTTGACACCTGCTAAGAGCCACTATCCACCAGTTGGTGAGCCCCACAAATGTCACTGACCCTCTCTATGCCAAGGCCTTCCCAGCCAATGGTGCTGCCATTTTCCACCTGTCTGGAGGCAGAGACTGACCTTGGCTTGGAGCTGCAATCCCCAGTTCTGGAAGACCAGAGGAGTTTAAGCCCAAAGAGGCTGATGAGTGTGGCCAGGGTCACAGGCCCACACACACGAATGGATGCACTGAGGCATTCAGAGCTAAGCACCCAAGGAGCTAAAACATGGAGTCGCCATGGCACACTCTTGGGCATTGTGGGAGGGAGCAGGAGAGCCCAGCCCCTAGCAAAATTGATAGGGACTGCTGGGCTCACCCAAAGAGCTAAGCAGTCAGGGCAGGCTCCTCGGAGGACACGTTCAGACTTTTCTAATTATCCCCTCTCCTGCCCCATCCCCGGCTCCCCCTTTATCTGCTGCAAAGGCTACTGCCCACAGCAAGGTCTCCCAGGCTTGGCAAGAGGGGACTGGGAGCAAGTCACTCACCTGAGGCCAGGAGCAGGAATAGGAGCAAGACACCTAAGAGTCGGGGAGCCACCATCATGGCTGAGCTGGCCCACTGTGGCTAGAGTTCTGCAGCTATCTGGCTGCAGGTCCCAGGCTCCCTCCAACTGGCCGCAAGCCCCACCTCCCACCCACAGCTGCTTCCTGTGGCCTCCTGGGCTGGCCTTTCTGCACAGTGATGCCACTACTTAGATTGTGAAAGGTAAGCAGGGGTGAGGGGGTATTGGGGGGAAGAGATAGGCTCTCTGCACCCCCACTGTGGGAGCCACCAGGGGACTACTGAAGAGGAACACAGGCTTTGGAATCAGGCTCTCCTATGCCAACCCTCCCTTCAGGAACTTAGGGCCTTTCTGATACAGAGTTTCTATCTCCATAAAGCAGACATGCGCGAAGCTGCCTACTGAACTGGATGATGGTACTGGACTCAGCCTAGTGCCTGGCTGCACAGATGATGGAGGAGGGTATAAGTGACACCTGCTGGTGCCTGGAGGAGAGGAGAAGCCAAACCTAGGAATGGGAGCCTTCCCCGTCAGACTAGTAATAGGAAGGAGGGAAAGGCAGGATGGTGGGCAGACAGGAGCCTGGGCCCCACCCAGGCCATGCTCAGTCCCCCAACCCCAGCAGGGTATCTGTCCTGGTCACTTCCTGGCTGAAGGACTTGATGAGCACCAGACACCTGGAGCCTGTCCAAGTCCATGAAGCCCTTGTGACCATTAACAATGATTTTGTGATAACCAGGACTAGGCTACCACAACCACCGGATATCCCCCAAATGGACAGAGCAGGAAGAGGGGACAGCCCACAGTCTGATGCGACCATTGAGATGTCAGCAGGTCAAGTGCACACTGGTGGGATGGGGAGGCAACTTTGGCCTGGGCCTGTTTCCTTCCTCTTGTAGTGTCCAGACAGGACTCGATCCCAATCAGGCTGGAAAGCTTGGTCAGGGAGAGGATGGACACTCCTGGGCTGAAGAGGGGCGAGCAGGTAGGCATCTGGCATGGAGCAGCAGGTCAGGACTGAAGGGCTCTGACCCCCAGAATTTCCTTTGGCAGGAAGGTGACAGGCCTGGCTCCCCTCTCTACCCTGGGAAGGGATGCTGTACAGGACAGTGAACTTGGCATACAGGGTCCTCACACAGTTTCCCAGAGATGGGAGCTTCAATGACTGTACACACAGAGACCAGCCCACACTGGCAGCTGAGCAGTGGGAGGGAAGACCAGCCCTCTCTACAGCTCCTTTCTGAAAGAACCCCATGCTGTCCCCACCAACTCACCCATTAGTGGCTAGGGCCACTCACACAGCCCTGGAACCCTCACATCCTAGGGCAATGGAACGCAGTGCCCCTTCCTGTCTACAGCCTGTTGGGTGCCCCTGTCCAGGGCTTGGCAGAGAAGAAAGGGCCCAACCCACAGACCACCTCTCCCCACCACAGCTGAGCCAGCTCCAAGGCCAGACCAGGAGATTCCGCAGGTGGGAGGGCTGGGTTTGTGAGTGATGCTCTCTGCCTGTGGATAGGTTGGAGAAAAGGCAGGAGCTGCCTCATGGCCTCCCCCAGCATCTCAGAGCTGAGGCCTATGAGGAGGGGAGCTGCCTCTGACCCAAACCCCCAACACACACACACACACACACACACACACACACACACACACACACACACACACGCCACATCAGCACATGGGTGGATTTGGGCAATGACACGTTTGGCCTCTGTCTTTAGGAGTGGGATGTGTAAAAGGCAGCTCCCCTCAAACTGGAAAAGAGGGGAGAAAAGGAAGGTTTGGGAAGGGGAGAGGCACCGGGGGTTCCCATCTCTGAGGTCCCTGGAGACCCCACATTCACAATCTGCCAGGGAATGGCAAGATTGCCCTGGCCACCAAAGAGGCCTCGCTCCCTCCCTGTCCAACTCTGGCTTCCCCTGCATCAGCCAGGAGAGGCAGGAGCCAGAGGCTCAGGGGAGAAAGTGCACACAGGCTGAGCCTGATTTCCATGGCCCCAGCATCTTATTCCTAGATGCAAATGGCAAGACTCAAATGCATGTCAACTAGGAGATCTGCTGCACCCTGCGGCATTGAGCAGGAAAGGGCAGGGCAGTGGGGAAGAGGGGCAGGGAGCTGACATATCAAGACCAAAGGCTGGGCTAGGAGGAAGTGTCCCCACGTGTCCCCACCGCCTATTAGCCTCACGTCTTCATGTGAGCAGCCAAGGGCTGAAGTTGGCCTCGTAGGTGAGCTCCTTGGCTGCAGAATGATGCAGTAACCAACAATGGAACGTCGCGGGATTTCACAGCGTGGCCTGGACTTCTTACAGAAGACAGTCTGGCCTGGTGGGGGTGGGGGGTGGGGTCTCATCCCTAATGCTGCCCTGGGAGCAGAGTGTGTAAGCTCCAGTTTGTCACAGACCCCACCACTCTCCGTTGCCTCTTCAGTGCACGCACCACATTCTTGCCTTTGCCCTGGCAGCTGGGGTATCTGGTGGTTTCTTTTTCATATACCATCTTCCTCTCCCATGCACGTTTCCTGATCCCCCCCCCCCCCGGTCTAGGGGATGTGTTCACAACCCTTTTACCAGAAACACCAGGAAAAAAGTCTGAGAAAAATTTCCTGACATGCTCACCCAGGATGTTAGCCAACAGTGACAGCTGATTTATTTTGGTTCTTCATACTCTTCTACAGTTTCCAAATCCTCTACAACAAACACATACTTTTCTCATATCAAAAGACAAAAGAATTCAAAAGAATTAGTACTTTTAAAAAGAACACCCTCTCCATCCCTAAGGCTGAGAGCAAGATCAAACACCACCTCCTGCAGGAAGCCTTCCTGGGATTCCCAGTCAAGAATGATGGCTTCCCAATCCCACACGTAAGAGTTGCCTGGGGCAGTGGCCAAGTCCCCGCTGACCAGTGCAGCTCGTCGGACAGAACAAACCAGGACAGAAGCCAAGGGTGCCCGGGACAAGGACTCCAAGGTGACCACTCAGGAGAGCAGCAAGCTCTAGCCCAGCACGCTCAGAGGAAGAGGAGGAGGAGGAAGAGGAATCTCATGTTAGTCTTCACAGTGCTGGAACTGAAGCCAGACTGGATAGCAACACCCACGGTTCTAGCCACTACAGGGCTTGGAGAGAGGCTGAGGGATCCCCAAGGTGAGCACAAGGGTGAGGTGGCTGGCATGGGGGCCGGGTGGGGCAGTTACAGCTGCCCAGCCCCTGTGTCTGCACCCCAACGTGGCTGCAGCAGGCTCAGGCTGTGCAACAAATATGAGTGTGCAGCAGGCACTAGGAGGCTCATGTGAGCACTACCCGGTAGGCAGCACTGGAACTACGGGTCCCAGGCTGGACAGCGAGGCCTGGGGAGCCCAGAGGAGCAACAGGGAGGACCCAGGGAGAAGATGGAGGGCCGGGAAGGCTGCTGGAGGGGGAGGGCCTGGGGTCCGAGGCAGGCGAGCCAAAGCTCTCCTCTGGGCTGGGGCCTCTTCTTTCAGGGCCCCATGCTTGTGGTGATGCAACGCTCAGATTAAAACATGACAGGGCTGGAGTGGTTGTCTGGTGACCTCTGGAGCCGGTGCCAAGGCCTGAACCCCAGCTGTAGGGCTGGGCCCACACTGGTGGCCAGATCCGGGTTCTTGCCAAGGTCAGCACAGCTGTAAGAACAGACCCAGGGGCCTCTGGAGCCCTCCAGCAGCCAGGACCCACAACAGAGCATCCCCCAAGTTCCCACTGGGGTGACAGTCCTAGCCTCCAAGATCCTGGGGACCTCCTTGAGTCCCCAGCTAAGCAGCCAAGGAGCGAACCTGGCTGCAGAAGGCATAGGCAGCATGAGGCATGGCTGCGGTCGAGCAGGTGGATTGACACCTTAGATGCGGCTGGACGAGGTACTGCCTGAGCTGATGGGAAGCCGGACGCTGTCCGAATTGCTCTTCAAGGGGGACGGCCCGCCCCGGGCCTGCAGCCGCATGGACCAGTACCAGAGGAAGATGAGGAAACCTGTGGACAGCCAGAAGCATGTGGCTCAGTGGGGAAGCAAACCCAGGTTCTGCCCTCCAGAGCCACCCGGGCTCAGGCCCTTCTCACACCTACCTCCTCCTTGGCCCTCTCCTCACTTGTGTGATCGGTACCCACGGGACCCAGGAGCACCCACTCTGGACATAGCATCTCCACTGTGTTCCCTCCAGGCTCGTCCAAGGCCAGTCCTGCGCATTACCCTTCTGTTTGATGCACAGAGAGACTGAGGCCCAGGTGAGGGGCCAACCTGTGGTGAGCAGGCTCCAGGGTCACCAGTCCAGATGACCGGACTCCCCTGACCAGTGCTACTGCTCTGGCAGACAACATAAATGCCAATGCATGAGTCCTGAGTATATTCCACAGAGCCCTCACCATTGCACCCATGAGAAAAGAAGAACTCCAGAGCCTTGTAACTAGGGCCAGGGCTGAGGCACAGCATGCTAAGCCACTGCCTGTGGTGCCAACATACCAGATCAAAATACCCACTCAAGTCCTGGCTGCTCTACTTCCAATCCAGCTCCTGCTAATGTGCCCAGGAAAGCAATGGAGAATGGCCCAAGTGCTAGGGCCTCTGCCACTAAAATGGGAGACTTGATTGGACTTCCAGGTCTGTGGCTTTTAGTCTTGCCCTCAACCCTGGCCCTTGTGATCATTTGGGGAATGAACCAGCAAATGGGAGATTGATCTGTCTCTCTACCCCTGAACTCTCTGCATCTTTCAAGTAAATAAATAAAATAAATGCTTAAAATGCAGTTTAATAACTCGGCCAACATTTTCCTGCCTCCCTCCCTCTCTCATCCGCAGTCCTGTTCCTTGGCAAGCCTGTGTGAGAGGTTGGGGCCCTGCATATGTGCGCATGTGCAAGCATGTGCACCTGTGTGCCTCTGTGGGTGTCTGAATGGTGCAGGAGAGGTGGGGGTGGGGGCAGGTGGAACAGGAGGGGGGCCTTTCAGCATCAGGCTGGATCCTCCAGGTCCTGACCCACTTCTGTTCTTCCCAGTCTCCCACCCTGGGCTTCTGCACCCTCCCCAGGGCCAGCTCTTTCCCGTGAGAATGTGAAGCTTGTTATAGCGCAGGTTCTGAGGCCCAGGCCTGGGATGCAGCACCCCTTTGTATTTCTACCCTGTGCCAAGGCTGCTTGGCCATGGAGCCCAATTGGATAGGGAGCCCTGGACCCCTCCATGGCTCACCTTTCCTCTGTGTCCTCAGATGTTGCAGAGAGAGGCCTCCCAGCCCAGCCCAGACCTCCCTGTACCTACCATGGCCCCTAGATGTCTGCATGTTTGCCTATTTGCCCTGTCTCCCCGAAGAGAGCTGATACCCCCAGACTTCTCCCAGCTGTAGCTTAGCATCATGCACACACATAGACGGTACTCAATGAAAACTTGTCCACTGAGGCCAGCATGTTCCCATTTTATAGTGGGAATATTGAGCACCAGCCCCCTGGGCCAACGTGTGAGTTCTGCTCCATACACCTACCTTGGAAGGAGGTGATGATGCTGAAGAGGTAGAGAACGACCAGCTGGAAGGTTCCAGAAGCAAAGGAGAAGAAAACCAAAGCCCAGGGCAGGCCAAGGACCAGGCTGAGACCGAGCAGCGTGAGCACATGGGGCCACTTCTGGTTGTGGGAACGCAGCCTCAGGATCTGTACCACCATGGTGCCCAACATGGCCATGTTAAAGAGAAACACCAGGCTGAAGAGGCCCAGGTTGGTGACGTAGCCGACTAGCGAGTCCTGGATCCAGCACCTGCAGGACAAGATGAAAGACTGAGTGTGTGTTGGGCACGGGGCTGGGGGTGGGTGGTATGTCTGTGGCCGCCACCAGCGTTGCTTCTAGCAAGCACTGCTTGGTTCCACTGAGCACACTGGTATAATTTTTAAAATATATTTAAGCCAGAAGATATAAATAAAAACATTTTATAAAGAATGAAACAGACAGTACGAAGACAGGGATGTGAAGAGAAGGGCTGAAGATATTGTGAACCAGAGCCCAAGGGAGAGATTCCTGTCCAGTGCAGAGCTCAGGAACTCTAGCTTCTAATCATGTTCAGGGTACCAACAGTTGTGGTCCCCGGCAGCCTGCATACATCAGGAGCTGATGAGACAGACGGACTTCTGTCCTACTCATGTCCCTGCTGGTTGCCTTTGGGCAGCGTACTGGCTCTGAGTGTGGCTCAGAGTAGATCCCTGTCCTGCCCCTGGGGCTCTGACTCCCATATGCAGAGCAGCAAAGGAATGTAATGGGGGCACACCTGCCACAGCCCCTGAGCCTCTGCAGGTGAGGCCAGGGAGGCTGTGAGGAAGCTGGGGCCCACGCCAGGCCACCCAGCCAGGGCATGGCAGATCTGACCTTCCTTGCCTGGTAGCCTGTCCACTGCCCAGGCACCACTTCCAATGTTGCAGTGGGGAGGTCTCTGGCCAGCAGGGTCCAGGTCTCGGCCCTCAGCAGCCCATTGCCTAGAGAGCCACTCACATGGAGGGGTAGATGGTATTCTCCGGGGTCCTGTGCACAGCCAGGATGATGGAGCCATAGTTGTTCACGTCCACCAGTGCCACCAACGTGACCAGGAAGATGGGGAAGCCTGAGGGAGAAAAGGCAAAGGGTTCCAACTCCTCCCACTGCCACGACTCCAGGCACCCATTGCCCACCTCCCAGGGACCCCCTCTGGGGCTGGTGCCTCCAGAGCCCACCCAACCTCAAGTGAGAGTCCCCAGCTGTGATCTGTTGAGCAGTGCACAACCTACACCCTTGTAGGTGGCGGCTCTCTCCACAAGTCCTCCTTTGTGGACAAAAGTGGGTCTTAAGGACAGGGATGGCCACTTCTTCCAACAGGGACCTTGCCTCAGTCCAGGTGAAGAACTCCGGAGGACACGTGCATGAATGAAGCAGTGAGAGAACTCAAAGAGGAGAATGGAGAGGTTGAACTAGGGGTTAACATTTTTCCTGAAGCCTTGTGCGGTACCACTCACCCCAGCCCACAAGGCTGAGCTTGAACAGGTAGCCAGGGACGTAGGTGCCGAAGACTTCGACCACCAGGCGGTAGAGATTGTAGCCCTCGAGGCCCATCCAGGACAGGCAGGCGAGCAGGGAGAAGTGTAGGAAGATGGCGCTAGCACGGCAGGCAGCCTTGGAGCCCGTCAGGGCCACAGGCTCGCTGAGCAGGAAGCTCACGTTCAGCAGGAAGACGGCCAGCAGCAGGTTCATGTGCACCTTGATGGTATAGTCCCGGGGCTTCCTCCTGTGCAGGAGCAGAGGCAGTTGTGGTGCAGGAAGGAGGCAAGCGAGCCCACTGTTCCACCTCCAGGGAACCTTCCTGGGCTATATTCATGGGTCCGTAGAATGGGGCGATCTCCCCGGGACCCCCCCCAGGCCCTACCTGGAGAAGAGGTAGGTGGTGATGGTGAAGATGCAGGCCAGGGCGGAGATGACACAGCCCACATAAGACAGGAGGCTCAGGTAGTGCTTGTGCACAGCATCTACCTCCACGGATACCTGCCCCCAGGGGACACGACAAAGTTGGCCTCAGCATCCCCTAGGGGCCGCCTGGCACTGCCAGCGCATTCCAAAACGCACCCCTGATCCCCGGAGGCCAAACCCCCTCACAGAGAATAGCCCTTTTCTGCCCAGGCATCTGTCACAGGCTGGGTCCTGCCCTACAATGTGCTCTACTTGGGATTTTCCAGCATTCCATGGGGCCAAACCCGCGGCAGTCAGCAGCAACAATGCTTCTGGTTTGGAGTTATAATCTTTCCTGGGGTTTGCAATTAGAGACCCCACATCCTCTTGTGATGCCAGGCAGTGGCCAGCTGGCCTGGGCATGACAAAAGGAGATGCCAGGCTGCATGTGGGCTACTGTGAATTTCTCTGTAGTGTGCAACAGCAAGACAGGTGTTTTGTGAGGGAATGAGCTCCCCACACCCTTGAGGGATTCAACCCACAGCTGGATACACGTTTCTGGGGGATCCCAGGGTCATAAACTAGGGGACATAAAGCCTCGGACAGCTGGCCACCTGGATGCCACCTCCACGGGCCTGGGTGCTCAGCAGCCCCTTGGGGACCCACTGGAAGCCCAGGGCTTGTGGAGCGCCAGGACAAAGCATTTTCCTCCCACAGACCAAGGAGCTGGGTACCCTTGCTGTGCCCGAAGGCCTCATCTGTGCAGTGGGATGGCCACAGGAGCCAGGGCGGGATGAGCAGCTCACACTACAGGGTGGGCACCAGGCTGGGCCTCACTCACCATCAGCACGGCGAAGTAGGTCAGGTGGTCGCACAGACATGATGTCTGGGTCTCTCGGCGGACGGTCTCGCATCCAGCCTGGCTCCAACTGCCTGGGCTACTCACTGAGGAGGTATGTGTGTGTGGGTGGGACAGGCAGCGGGAGGCTCAATGCAGCCCAGCATGGCACCCCGGGGTGGCTCCCAACTCCCTCCAGCTTCTGCTATACTGGGCCAACCCCCAGCTAGCATCACACCTCCTCTGGCAGCCTCCACCCCTGGCCAACTCCCAGGGTCGCCCCCAGATCCTTGTCTGGCATAAACCCCCTCACTGCACCCCCTGTCCCATCCCCTGGTCCAGCCACTCACATGTCGGGTCTTCAACCCAGAACACACACTGCAGAGACACATTCTTCTGTAAGGGACAGAGAGGGGACAGAACAGGTCCCTAACAGCCCAGCCTTTGCAGTGTCCAGCCAAGCCAATCCCACCCCACCCCCAACCCAAGGCCCTCCACCTGGCAGTCTTCTTATTAGACAGACAAGCAGGAGGAAGGTGGCAGAGAGGAAAGCTGGCCCCATAGGACTCCTCAGTGTTCCTCAGCGCATGCTTACCGGCTGCGGCTGGTGCTGGAACGTGAGCACCACAGGCTCCGACAGGTTGGCCACTTTGGTGTTCTGCACCACGATTCCCAGGACCTTCTCGCCCAAGACTTGGCTGGAATTCTTGTCCTGCAAGAGGGGTGTAAGGGAAAGGGCTCAGAGCCAGGGACAAAGGCCCCACAGTGCCCTAGCCTCTCTCAACTCCCACCTCTTCCAGCTCTGCCATGCAAGGTTGAGTCTCTCCCGAGGACCAATTCTTACACATGCAGCCATGTACATTGTAGTGAGAACAAGGTTCCACAGACACCCTCTCTTCTCCCCGCAGGGAGAACCACACAATGCATTTCTGTCTGTTTACTGGAGAAGCAGAGAGCATGCTTCTCAGCTGGCTCAGCCTGCACCCTCGGCCATAGCTGGGAGCTGTGAACGCAACCCATATGAGCAGCAGAAGCCCGGCTATAGAACCTTCCCTATGCTTCCCAGGGCTTGCAGGGGTGAGTTGGGAGACAGAGTCGGGACATGGACAATGGGCTGAATGCCCACTCACACAGCGGCATGTCTGAGCTCACACAGGCAAGCACCGACCCCCGAGGTGCAAGTGTGTCTGTCGCTTCCCTTCTGTATCTGGGGTGGGAAGGGTGCGAGGGGCTGCACCTGGAACAACGCCTGGCTGCTGAAGTCCACCAGCAGGAGTCGCTTCTCGGCCTCGTTCCGCCGGCCCTTGGTCTGCTGGAAGAGTGCACGTGGCAGCAGCACCGAGTACTCCAGCACCTCACTCTGTTCCGCCTGCAGGATGCGGTTCCCTGGGGCTCAGCTGGGGCCAACCCCAGGCCACCTCCCGCCCCATCAATCCACACAAAGGTATGTAGAAACACACATGTGTACACAGGTGCGCACATGCATAAACATATAGGTACACACGTATGTGAACACAGAAACAGTCACATACATATGCATAAACACACATGCAAGGCACACATAGAAACAATCTGCACAAAGCAACAAATATACAGATACACATGTACATGTGCGTGCAGAAACACATCCATACATATGCAGACTCAAGGACACACGGATGCACATATATCCACCCATACATGTACCCCCACTCACACACACACACATGAACATGAGCCCTAGCTGGGGCGCCTTGTCATTAGGGCCCAGGGCAGGCTGGCCTGCAAGCACACATGGTGTTTACTGATCTTGGTTGTCAGACACCAGCTGTGGCGGTCACAGGGATATGGTGGGAACTCCCACATACCCAGGACCCCCCACAATCTCAAGGCGGGGTGCACAGACAGGGATTGGGGGTTGAACTTTTAGATACCCAGGAGTGCCCAGGAGCCCCATGCAGGGAATGGGGCCCCCACTGGCACCTCTGTTCCCAGTAGGTGACTCCTGGGTCTGTAGCCTTGATAGATGACTCGAGGAAGAGGTCAAGATGGGGGTGCCACACTGTGTTTCCCAGTAGCTCCCCACCGCCCCCAGCCCTACATCTGCCACCTGTGCTGACCCAGCTGCTGACCTCAGGCCGGGAATGGATGTGCAAGTCCTGGAGGGTAGCCGTGGGCTGCAGCTTCCACACGGTGGCATTGATCCGGTCCTCCTCGAAAGACACGACATTCCCTGGGAACCTCACTGAGGTCAGCTTTGACTCCAGGCTCTGCAACTGCCTGACAGGATGAGAGTGGGTGGTCACTGCAGGGGCAGAGTAGGGGCAGGGTAGTTGCAAGACCCACAGAGAAATGGAGGAGAGAACCAGGAGGCTAGAGTGGAACAGAGCCTGCACTGTGCATGGAGAGCCTGGGACCCCGGCTTCATGTCCGAGTCCAGCTTCCTGTTGCTGTGCACCGTGGGAGGAAGCAAATGAGGGTCCAAGGACTGGGGTCCCCACCACCTATCAGGGAGACCCATTCTCAGCTCCTAGCTTCAGCCTGGCCTAGCAGTGGTATTTGGGAATGAACCAGAGGAAGGAAATTCTCTCTCATGCACACACACATATTTCAAATTTTTCTTAAGTGGGGAAGGGGGTCAGAGAGAGCAGAGGGGGTCAGAAGAGGCAGGTGCATCAGGTAGCTGAGTGCATTAGAGAAGGTGGGATCTGGATGACAAGAGAGGGAGGCAAGGTGGACAGTGGTTAGGGCAGGCCCAGGCAGCCAGGGTCTTGCAGCTATGAGGAAGTGGGGAGACAGGGTAGGGTGGCGTCCCAGTCCCAGCTGGGCTGTAGCTGTGGATCAGCCCCACACCTGTCTGAGCCTCAGTCTGATGAGCTAAAAGTGTGCAAACAGCTTCATGTGGCAAAGGAAGGTGCAGCCGATGGGTGAGACCACACCTGCACTTGAGGCCCCACACAGTCACATGGCCTGGGGACTCAGTGGCCACATGAGTGTGCAGAAGGCTGCCTTGCTCAAGAAGGTGAGAGTCAGGGTCCAAGGGCCAGATCTGCACTCACTCCTGTGGGAGGAAGTGGTGAGGGGAGCATGTGGGGCAGTCCCCCCAAACCCCAACCTTCCATGCAGGCACTGGGCTCACCTGTGAGCAATGCTGGATGAGGGTCTCCTGGCTGCCTTGTGGGGCTGCTGCATGAACTGACTGAGCAGCTGCAAGTCACGCTTCACCTCACACATGTCCCCCAAGGTGTTGTGGTGCACTTTGTGGGGAGGGTCTGGGGAGAGGGCACATACACACCTGAGCCTGGGACCATATCGCTACTCTTCACCCCCTTCACTTCCACTTGGTCCTCATCCTGACGCCCAGGGCTAGTCCCACTCTATACTGGCATGTGCTGGGGCATGCAGACTGACCCCCAAGAGGGACCTGGGGGATGGAAGTCTCCAGCCTCACCAGCCCCAGCAGGGTACATGGGCCTCCTGCAGCTCCCAGGAGTCTTGAACCCACACTTACCTCATTGATCTGGGGCTGAGTCCAGGATGCAGGCTCAAGGGCTAGCAAAGTGTACAGGTGCCTCCCCCCAGCCAAAACCCAGGGCAATAGCAAAGCCCTGGTCGGCCCATGTTCCCAGAGTCCCCTGCGGGCCCAGGAAGGGCTAGCCAACGTGTGTTCAGGATGCCCTCTTGGTTCGGGAATAATTTCAGCCTTGGGAGGCAGTCCTGTCTGGTGGCTGTGGGCCCTGTTGGCTGCACTGGACACACTTAGGCCAGAAGCCAGCCTCCCATTCTCCTCCCCATGTGTCCCAGTACTGTCACAGGATGGGACCGGCTAGCAGTCACAGAGCCATGACCTCACACCAACCACCTCCTAGGCCTCGGTCTTTTCTATGCAATGGCAACTAACAGCCCACGCTGATGCTGCGAAGGCCACTGCAAGCTAGGCCTGGCTTCTGTCCACCCTGCCTTGTCCTGGAGCAGTCTTCTTCATCCCTCATGGAGATCTCCTCCCACCAACGCACTCTGTAGCCTCTGGGTAGGGTCACAGCCCCTCTACCCTCATCACTCCCTTCTTCTGCAAGACTTACAGAAGCACACCTGCAACCCAAGTCCTCTCCTCACACACCTTCCATGGCTCCTCACTGCTATTCAAGTTCAAGCTACCCCTTCTGCCCGGACCCCAACTCACCATGGAACCTGAAGGTAAAAGCAGCGGCACTGGGCAAGGTGGCGTTCTGGTGGTCCCACCAGGAGCTGATGGAGGTGGCAAGCAGTGGGGGGCCTGGTCCCGGGCTACTCTCCTGGTGCCGGAAGCAGAGGAGGTCTGAGGCTTCCTGGCTTAGCAGGTAGTCCGTCCGGCCGTAGCGCAGGTGCAGCTTGCCAGCATGGCGGTTCCAGTAGAGACAGAAGTGGTAGAGGCCCCTGGGCTCAGAAAAGGTCAGGGGTTTGGAAGCATTGGGAGAGGCAGGGAAAGGGGCATGGATGGTCAGAGCATCCTCTGAATTCGTGATGGAGATGTGCTGTTCCCGGGCCTGTTCATAGCGGAGGAAGCTAGTCTTCGTCTGGTTCCGCTGGCCACAAAAGCGGAAGTCTTCCTGGGGGCCACCGCCGTGGGCACCTGAGGAGGCAGAAGCAGCAGGTGGGGCTTTGCTAGGGGAGCACAGGCCTGGGACTCATAAACTCCAAGGACCTACACCTCAAAGGATCTACAAAACTGCATCAGTCTATCCTGAAATGAAAATGCACAACCTTAAAGGCAGAAGTCCTTTTAACAGCAATAAAGCACTTAACCAGGCCATAGCCATCCTGGACAGCAGAGTGTGCAACCAGGCTCATCATAAAGGCAAGCATGGCTGAAACCCAATTCACATCCCCCACCCCAAACTGGGACCTGTGGGACTACACCTGCCAGAAAGAAGAGGTATCTTTTTCTTCCCTCCTAGATGCTGCCTACTGGCTAAGCTGTGCTTGCATAAGGGGTCAGCTTATGTGCTTGCCACTAAACTAGACACACGGGGGGTTAGGGGCCGTATCCTAACCTAAGACCCAAGGGCAGACCCAGGGCATCATGGGAAGGCTGACCTTGAACCAGACAGAGCACACTCAGCAAGAGCAGCGCCTTCTGCAGCAGCACCTGGGCAGTCATCTTCCTACCTGGAAGTCCCAGCCAACAGTCAGGGCCTGGAACAGAGCATGCACATTAGCCGAGCCTGCAGAAAGTGTTGGGGCGGGGGGCGGGGGGTGAGGATTGGTGACAGGTAGGGCAGGACGGGCGTGAGTGTGCAAGCAGCCCCCAGAGCAGCCAGATGCCAAATGCACTGACAGGTGAGGGCTGTCTGGGTCGTGGCGTCCCCTGTGGGTTTTGTTTTGTTTTGTTGTCACCTGTTTTAAGTCACTTGAAGCGGAGCAAGAAGTGACAGGTGACTTCATCCAGCACTGGGGGTGGGGTGCTCACCTAGAACCATCCCCTCGCCCTTGCTGGGTATGAAGGAGGCCCTGCATCCCCATGGAAAGCCCACCCAGCTCAGGGTGGGACCCCTCCTTCAGGAAGCTGCTCGGACACCCTCAAATTCTCCCCAATTCTCTTGAGTTCCCCCACTGGCCAGAACCCGTAGAGAGCTCCCCTTCTCAGGCAGCAGGAAAGCTCCTGGATCAGCTGTGCAAATACAGGCCAGAGGGGTGGACAGGGGTAGGCAATGGAGGACAACAAGCATGTAGCGCCCAGTGGCAAAAGTCGCTTCCAGTCATGGCCACTAGGGGGAGATAGCTGCCAGAGCTGAGAGCAGCAACACACTAGGGCTTGCTGGGGCCAGAAACTCAAGATTCCACAGGGTCCTGACAGCCCTCTCATCACTCCTCCCACTCCTGCCAGCCGCAGCCTTGGGAGACCCCACCAGCCCACAGGTCTCCATCAGCCAAGCTTCCCCTGCCAGCTCTCAGCCCCCATACCAGTTTTCAAGTAGATGCAACTGTGGGGCCATTTTACAGATGGAGAGAACCTGAAGCCCAAGTGACTCACCCAAGGATGTGCCAGAGGCCACCCTGCTAGGTCAGGACTGTACCACCTGACACTCCCAGAGAGATGTGGGTGGAGTGGCCCTCCCTCCCTGCCAGCTGGCCCAGGGACCCAGGGAGTTGTACTGATAGGCTCAGCCAGCCAACCTCAACCTGCATTGGACCACAGCAACAGGTGCATCTGCTCTCAAACCAGATGAAGAGACACCTTGCAACCCCGTGACACATGAGACTGGGAGAAACCAAGGGGAGCCTCTCAGAAGAAGTGACCTCCGAGGTACCTATCAGAGGGCACTTTTAAAGGGAAAGGTGTTCTGTTCCCGGCAGGGACTCACGACCCGCTTTCCTGAACCAGGCCTCCCCTGAACCAACCTGGCCTCTTCAAGTCACCACAGCCAGTGTCCCTCCCTAAGGAAGGGGACCCCAATTTCTAGGACTTCATCATCAGTGTGATGAGCAAGCAAATGGGCTCACCAGGGTGATTTCATGAACCCTTAGCAGGGAGGATGTAGGGGGAAGGGCCTCTCCCTCCTCAGCTGTGATTTCTAAGGTTTTGCTTTGTGTCTCCCTGAAGCATTTAGTTCCTTTTGCAACTGCCCCCACCCCAGATCCTCTCAGACCAGCGGAAGGAAACCCAGTGTCTGGGGCCATAGGACAAGCCCCTACCAGCCCCTGTTGCCATCCCCTTCTAACCATCAGGGCAATGCCACTTCTTCCAGGCAGTCCCCCTGCCCTGACCACAACTCACCCCTGTGAACAGGAGGCACACAGACTGCTGGGAGATTCTGGACTCGACGGCTCAGAGAGGACCAGCGATAGCTTCCAGAGGCCCTACAGCAACCAGGGGAGCGGTGGGGGGGGGGAGGTGGTTAGGAGGGTTGGATGGACTATCTGTGACTCCCTGACCCACTGCCCTTCAACAGGAGCCTCTACCCTAGAAGACAAGCTCCCAAGATGGGACAGAACAATGGTCTGGCATCAGCCCTCCCAGGCTGGCACACAGAGCAAGGAAGAGGAGAACAAGGAGTGAGCTCCCTGTCACCTGGGAGATCCAAGGGAGGAAGCACCGACTGGAAGATGCTACTCCCCCAGCTGCTGAGCTGCCACTCCGAGGTGGGCAGCTCCAATCCTGTCAGCATTCGAGGGGGCAGGGGGAGGATGGTTCCCCTGACCACTCCTGTAGTTGTTGGCATGTATGCACTCTGGAGCCAGTTGGCTTGAGTTCAAATCCAGGCTCTCTTATTCTCAGGCTGTGTGTCCTCAAGCCAGTAACTCACCCTCTCTGGTCCTCCATTGTGCAAAGGAATAGGAAAGTCAAGCCCACTTCAAGGCTTCTCAGGGGCACTGGATAAAGTGAAACCCTTAAGGGCAGGTGTGGCAGGCTGTAGCCACCTTGCTCCCCTCCCTGCCCCCCTCCCAACCTCCCCATCCTACGGCCAGCTCACCCTCCCAGACACCTTAAGGGGAAATTCCTCTAGCACACAGTGTCCTTTGGTCCTTTCCAGGCATGCAACCGGAAGGTCCAGCCCCAGCCGGAATAGGGCCTGGCCATGAAGCCCGCTGTGGAATCCCCTGGGGCAGGAGGGCTGGGCAAGGGACAGGGAGCCATTCCAACCCAGACTAGGCAAGGGGATGCCGGGGTGGGCACTGCCTTGCTTCTTCCCTTAGCATCTCCTTCATCCCCTGCTGCTCCCCAGGTCTGCTGCTCCCAACCCTCCCATCCCCGCCCCCCCCCACAAGCTGCCACCCAGCCCAGCCAGCCGGTAGGAGCAGTGACCATGATGGAGGCCGTGTCAGGCCCCAACACCTCCTCCCAGGCTTTGCAAAGAAGGCACCCCACGGTCTGCGATTCAGAGCTTCCTACAGGCTCAAGATCTGCAGTGGAAGTGGTGCCAAGCTCAGTACCCAGCACAACCTGTGTCTCCTCTATAGTAGGGACAAGAAGACCAGTGGGCACCTGGGGTAGCAAGAGCAGGGGCAGCGCCAATAACTCCAGGCTGAGCCAGGGGGTGCAGAGGCCAGGCCCCATCCTTAAGGAGCCCCCCATGACCTCCATTGCACTCCCCATCCAGCTCCCCTTCCGTTACAGCTGCCCTGACCTCAGAGCTTCCGTAAACACACAGAAAACAGAATAGGTCAGCCCAGGCTGACACAATGGGGGGCTCCCCCATCATGGGGCCTCCAAGGATTCTCTGAGCCCCTAGCAGCTCTCCTCAGACTGTACAGTTCAGGAGTAGTGGGGCCCCTGCTCCAGGCCAGCCTCAGCCCTGTGTGCCCAGTACGAGTTGGACAGGGGACCCATGCCTCACTTTCTCCCCAGGGCCTGAGTCACTTCCTCTGCCATCCTGTGTGGAGCCACGACTCACCACTGGCTCCTGGAAAAACCATTTCCTCCAAGGATGGAGATGGAAGTTGAGTGAACAGGACCTGGCCTGTGGGGTTAACCCTTCCATGGGCAGGAATCTTTTGGACACCCAGCTCCCCTCCCACCTCCCCCTTGATTCTTCTACACAGGCACCTGGCCCCAGAACCTGCCACATCCCAACTCCATAGCCTCTCTAGGAAGCATGGCCAGAGGGCACATCCCCGACCCCATCAGAACCCACCCTGCGCTCCTGCCCACTCCCCGCCCACCCCACTGCTCCTGTAAGGTGTTCACAGCCAAGGTGCTCAACCTGCGCACTCACTTGGGACCCTCTGCACCCCCTCCCCCGGCTTGCTGAAATGCAGATTCCCAGGCCCAGCATAAGGAATGGGCAGGGCTCAGGAGCCCAGTCTCAGAGAGGGCAGGGTCTTAATCCCCAGGATACCTCTTGCCTGCCCCAGCTCCTCCGCTGCTCCCTCTGCCTGAGCAGGGTACAAGGTACCTGGAAAGAGCCTGGCACAGACAGCCAGGAGAAGCATGCGTGCGTGCGCAGGTGTGCATGCAGCAGTGTGTGTGTGTGCGTGCGTGCAAGTCTGTGCCTGTGCAGGTATGCAGAGACAAAGGAGCTGTGAGCTGGGGGCGTGGGCAGGTTAACACGTCAAAGGGCAGTGGGGGAGCGGCATGGGTGACAACCCAGAGCCGACCTGCAGATGTTTCCTGGGGGGTGGATGAGAACGCCCTCCTAGCAGTTTCTTAGAAACTGACATAGAAATACTATGTACCCGGCAGTTTTATCAGATCCAGGTGGGACCTGGAGCCACAGCCCCTCCCATCCAGCGCCCCCCAGCCCCAGGAGCCCAGCTTGCAGCTACAGAGCCATCTCTCGCTTTACATTGGGAGGCCTGAAGCCCCTCAAGGTGACCAAGGTGACCACAGAGAGTGCCACTACCCGGAGAGGAGGGAGCTGCAGGATGCTGGACATGTGGGCAAGCAGAGTGACCTCAAGCTGCAGGAATTTTTCAACCATAAAAAAAAAAAAAAAAAAAAAAAAAAACAGAAATAACATCAAGCTAATGGGAGGCTGTCTGGGAGGCTGGCCAACAGCCAGGCCTAGCTTGGCCTGCTTACTGCCCAGGGCGAGACTCATGTCCTCGCCCTAGACCTGTTCATGCCAGTACAGCCCCCACCTGCCGGGGTTTTTGGGGTTTTTTTGTTTGTTTGTTTGTTTGGCCCAGCCAAGTCTATAGCCACAAAACTCTGCACACCCAGTCCTGAGGAGATAGGAGGACAGGGAGCAGCAGGGGCTCCCTGCCAGCCTGAGAAGGAGGCCTGGCCCTATGCAGGGGTCATCACTACAAGGCAAAATCCAGCCTGCTTTAGCAGGGAGACCAACAGCAACCCCAGCCAGGGCTACCCTAAGCTGACACACACTGCTGTCCCCTTTCCCCAAAGCCAACCTGCAACATCCCCAAAGATCCCGGGACCTCAGGCCCCGATACCTATGGCCGCACCACAAAAAAAAAAGGGGGGGGGGGGCAGTCCAAGGGGCCCTTTCACCAGGACTCAGGGGTGCTTGGCACCATGCAATGCCCTTCCCGCCCTTTGGTGATTCAGCCTTCACCATCACCTCGCCAAGCGGAAGCTCCATCGTGGCCCCTTTATAATCTCTCTACCAAGCACGTGCTGCCAATGTCCTTACTTGAAAGAAAAGGAAATTCAAGTCCAAAGCAGTTAAGTGCCGTGTGAGATCACCCAACAGGAACGAGGCCGAGCATGCACTCCAATCCAACTCTGAGCAACCTCAGAGCCCACGCTCCTGGCTGTTAGTCTGCCAAGTCTGCTCCTTTCTCTGAGACTCAGTCTCTCCACCTTTATGCAAGGCAACTTTCCTAAGCAAGCCACGGTCCCCAAATGAGAGAAACCCTAGGGGTCCTGCTTTGTCTTGTATTAAGTTCTGTTAAGTCCCACAGGGAGGAACCCTGGAGCCTTGGTTGGGCAGGTGCCCAGTTCCCCATTTGGAGGAGCCCGTTTAGTGGGAGACACCTGTGATCAGAGTGGAACGCAAGTTCCCAGACACGAGCCTGCCTCCACCTGGCCTCTGGTCCACGTCTCTTCACCTCTGAGTGGTCCCAGAGGCCATTAGGCGCACGCAAGATGTGCTGTGGCAACCATTTAGGCTGCAGCTTCCCCAGGGTAGTTCATCTCCATCCCTGACACTTCCAGGCAGCAGGTTCATGAGCCTACCCTATCTCTCTCTTCCAATGGCTGCAGCTTAGACAGTGAGGAGGGGAAAGAGGGGCTCTGCCAGGCTCTGGTGGCTGTTTCATTTTAATCAGCCTCGGCCAGCTGCACCCCTGGCTTGCCTTAAGCAGCCAAGACGCTTGGGATGTTGGAGTTGAAAAAGAGACAATAACAATGCAAGATTTGGGCAGGTGAGAATAAAGCCTGCAAGGACGTGAAAGTGGTTGAATGATCAAAGAAATTTCGAACCCAAAAAAGGAGCAGGGATGAGATCAGGGCCCCAGGGGTGGCTGCCCCAGAAGTGGGAAGGGGGGCACTCGGACATGAATGGTTTCTATGACCCATCTAGATGACCAGCTAGTGCTGGTCAGCTCTGTGCTCCTGGGCCACTCTCCAGCCAGGCTCAGGCTCATGGCAAAGTCTCCAGGATCTAGCCCTGTCCGTGGAATGGCTGAGTCCAGCCCTAGGTAGCAGGCCTGTGGTTGTCAGCACTTGCCCTGAGAACATGCACTCTCCTGCCACACACACACTCCTAGGGTGCAGGAGTTAGGGATGCAAGGTGCAGCCCAGCTCTGCCTTCAAGTGGCCTGCAGCTTTGGGATCTGTCCTTTCTCTCGTCTGGGTTTCCTCCTGCCCAGGAGGAGGGGGAACAGCTCTGTCCTCAAACCCACCACCCTACCTCCACCTTCCACTGGAGTCTGGCACCCCATCAAATGCCAATGCACAAGGTCCACAGGTTAGGGTTGGGCTTACCTCTAAGCTCCAGCGAGGGGCAAGCAGGAGGCCAGGCCGTCCCTTCCACCATGGCACTGTCTGTCCGCAAACCGCAGCTGTCTAGCTCAAGTTCCCTTCCCTATCTGCACTCCCACGCTGCCCAAGGCCAGGCCCACAAGGTCAGCCCGGTCCCCTTGCCCCCACTTGCCACTTGGTTTGTAGGGGGGTTGCAGTTCTGTCTGCCCCAGCCTGGCAGGCAGCCTGGCTTTGAATGGGGGATCTTCCACCTGTCCACGGATGGCTACCAACTCTCCCTTTCTTTTATCCTAGATCTTTGGCTCTGAGGCTGACAGAACACAAAGCAACCACTCTGCCCTCCCTACCGGGCATGTGTTGGAGGATCCCACCCTAGTTCACTGAACACACACAGCACAGCACGTCGAGGACCTCCAGCCACTATAAGCTGGCCCCGTGGCTGGGACACCCATCACTTCGAGGGGCAGATTCTTTG